TTTGAAACAACTTCCGAAGGCATACTCACGCGCGACCCAGTGCCAGGATCTTGTGTGCTCTACATCAGGGACACGATCAAAGGCATCATTCTGTGGTCGCGTCAGTCCAGCGAGGAAGAGGACACCATCATCCCGGAGACTGCCCAGGATCCCATTGTCGATCCTGGAGCAGCTGAGCCGGAACAGTTCCCCGATGTACCGGAGGAACCTTCAGCCCCACTTAGTGGTGGCCATGAAGAGGTCGAGACAACAGCGTCTGCAACAGCAGACGAGCCTATGGTCGAAGTTGAGGTTGAGGTGGCACCACCAGCATCATCGCCAGAGCCTCTTGCACTCAACGACGCCACAGCATCCGACTTCCTTCCGGAGGAAACCACAACATTGGACCAGGGGGGTGCTTCTCCACCGGAGGCACCGACTGAGTCCAGAAAGCGTGTCCGTTTCCTCGAGCCGGAAGATCCCGTTGAAGTCGAGATCGAGATCGAGCCTGAAGAAGGAGATGTGAAAAACGAGGAGGAGATTAAGATCGAGCCGATGTTCGAGCAGGCACCGCCTCAGCCGGAATCGACTCCTTTGGCTCTCCCTCCAGCCCCCGTTACGGGTGGCCGCCACAGGGCATGTCCCCACTGCGGTACTCAACACCTTGTGGGACAGATGATATGCTTGAGCTGTGGCGTGCACATCGTGAAGCCTTCTCAGCAGAACGCACGCAAGAAAGCGCGTTCGGCTCGTTGGTTCGCTGAAGAGGCAGCCGCCGCCGCTGCGGGCAAGCCACGTTCCCAGCTTACACCGGAGGAGGTCATTCATGAAATGACCAGAGATTCTTCAACACAGCGGGGAACGACATCGCTCGACGCAGAGGCGCTGGACAAAGCCCGGCAGCAGCTCAAGATGGCTACAAAAGGAGGCTACACAAGCATCGTACACCGGTTCGATAACGATGTGGACTACACAATGAGTTCCATCGGCAATGGGTACGATCGAGAGTTTCTGGCCATCGAAGACGTGCTTACGCATGCTGCCTTGCCGAACCATGGCCGTTCAAAGGAGCAACGACAGTTAGCTGTCGGGACCTATGGTGGAAGCTCCGAAGGGCCACGGAACCAGGAGATCGCTCGGTTGCTCTACCTGCACGACTGCAATCCAGCCGCCCTTAGGGCAGGCCTGATCTCCGCAGTGAGTGACGATCCGTTTTGCATCATGTGGCTGGGAGGGGCATACAGTTTGCGTAAATTCGTAGATGTTTTCCTCCAGCACAAAATCGTGAAGATGATTGTTACTTTCTCAGAAGAGGCACTCTATGTTGATCCAAGACTCGGCTATTCTGCTGAGGACTGGACTGAGTGGCTCCGTGAGAAATTCGCGGAACAGGTCGGAATTGCACGCCGTGCATACGAAGAGCGACAGCGCAACGCTGAACGCTCTCGCATCGCGCAAGCCAAAGCTGATGCCCGCAGAGCAGAGCAGCAGCGCTACCAGGAGCAGGGATGGGATCGCGGCTACCAGCGAGGATCCCACCCCTATGGCCGCTCCTCCGGTTCCCGGGGATGGTACTAAGTACCTGACCCACATTTCGTGGTTCCGTCACGTTAACCGGTACTCCGAAATACAGCCCCTCTTAGAGGTGGCCGAATTTCCTTAAGACCAGAAAAATTTCATCTTGCATCATCTGGCAGTCACTTTGTGACAACTCCGACACCAGGTCTTTGGACCTCGAGGGGATTCGTCAGCAGCTCCAGTGGATGATGTATTCGTCCCATGCTGCACATGTCTTGCGACTGTATCCACGCCATCATTCAAGGCTTGCTGGATCGTCGCCATTTTATAATGCATGTCGCGACTTTAAACTGCGCGCTAAAAGAATTAATCTGCTTCCGTATCTTCCGCTTTACGGTAGTAGAAAGCCTATGAGCCCCGAGCCACAATCCAGCCGCCTTTACGGCAGGCCACACAGCACCAAGCTTCCGTGCATGTTTGCGCCTCAGACTGACGCTTCGGCGAGGGGGGTGTAATTTGTGCACGTGTGAAGTAGCATGTTGTGTGTACGGCATTGTGGCACAAGTGCTCTAGCAGGAAAAAGGTAGATACCCAATGGTATTCTGCTGTGTTTGCTAACACTTGGACGGGTATATTATCAGTGCGTGTGTGCAGTGGTTTACAACAACTATATTTCCAATCTAAAGGTTGTAAGTCCTCTCTCGAGCGCAGAGTTGAGATCCTGTACAAAGCCAGGTATGGAGTTTACCTCGACCGCCCCAAACCCACCGTCTTCAGGACATGTACCAAGGAAGTCGTACTAACGAACCATTAACCGCTATTGTGTTGCAGTGTTGCGGTTTGCTAAATCCTGAACCCTAAATCCCAGCCGCGAAGTTCTGTAAATCCGGAACCGGCTGCCTGCATGTCAAGGTTCCTGGGTTTAGGGTTCAGGGTTTAGGGCTTAGGGAATGGTTCCTTGAAGAATTCCGTAACAATAAGGTTTCCAGAGGTTGGATTGTCCTTACAGGAACTCGTGGTATATCCCTTCCCGGAACCTTCGCTGAACCTCCAAAACCCCCAACAGGTCCTCTTTCTCTAGGCCGGTGTGATCTACTGTTTTTTTTTTTTTTTTTTTTTTTGGGGGGGGGTATCTTTAGTAGAATTAGAGTATAATGGCCCCCACAACCCGAGTCTAATTTTTAAGGCCCCTATCCTCTATCTCTGAGGCCGGTGTGATTCTCGATGATGGTTATACATCACCGAAGTGAGGGTGGGATCAAAACTCCCATGCCTACTCGGCCAATGGGGAGAGCTATTAACACCATCCCCGATCCCCGAAAATTCAACCCATGGTTTAGGGTTTAGTGCTAAGGGGGGGCTGTGAAGTTTACATTCCCTGTAGCTGAATTTCGTGCGTGGTCGGCTACTATGTGCTTACCTGCCTTTTTGTGCAGGTTCTCAAATCAATCAGCCGCGGAAAAGGTGTAGACGGGCTCTGTCTAAAACGGTTGTAGTGGTTGTAGTACCTCAGTTTGTAGAAGGCTAGGTTGGGTTCAGGTTCACGACGACCTGGCTGTAGTAGCCAGGGCTTAGGGGGGACCGGTTGGCGCGAACGGCGCCAATGGGCCCGAAGCGAGACACCCCCGATGGAAGGCTACTACGGCCTTGAGAAAAGCTGCCATCTTAGTTCCCAACACCCTTCCTCTTCGGTTCGAAGCCGTGTAAACCCTAAGCCTTAAACTTAGGGGTACTTAGAAATGTTTTTTTGCTTCTGGTCATTATAATCCCTAAGAAACCGCTAAAACTATGATTTTTGCCGGGGTTCTAATGTCTAAGTTCAGTATAGTAAACCCCAAACCTTAGAAAGACCCTACTTGCAGGTCAGGTGTCTCGAAGCAATGCCTGTTCTGTAGTTCGTCTCTGCGAGCTCCGCGTCGCTTGGGGAATTTCTCGAAACCTTACCCCTAAGGCTCTGAGGATGCATACTGTTGATGGACAAAATCCTGCATGACCTTAAGGACCCTAAATTATGGGAATTATGGTATATTCCTTAGAATGGGTAATGCAGGATTTTGTCCATCAGCAGTAGTTTAAGGCTTCTGGGCCCAAAGACCACACTATATAAGGCTTTTGGGCACTTTTGAGCCTTAGGGTACTGGCATGTGCAACAGGCGCGTATTGTGTTAGTGTTGGCTGTCCTGGAGGTGCAGAGGTGAGTTGGCTTGTGGAGTTGCACATAGGTGTTGTTTAGGATTTAAGGTCTCTTCTGCCGCACACTTGTGATGGGAACTTGCCCGTAACAATTTAACCTACGCAGCTCGAGACCAAAGCAAAGTCCTGATTATTTTTATCCTCTACCCAAGGACCCCTGAACCCCAAAGCCCCAAGTGACCTAAACGCCATCAAAGAACCCTGCACTAAAAATCACGAGAAATTCCTGTTTTGCAAAGGAGAGCATGAATGCAGCAAGGCTGCAGGGCGTCAACGAATGTCTTCTTCTCTGTTTCTGTATTTCGCGAGGTTAGAGTTCAGAGTTCAGGGCCTCGTTGTTCATGTTAATTTAGGTTTCAGGGTATGGGTTTTAGAGTTTGGGGTTTAGGGCTCTGGGTTTAGTGTTGAGAGTGTTGTCTTTTGTGTTTTGCAATCGATCATAACCCGCCCAGGTACCCTCAATGCAGCCCCGAGTGTCTTCCACTCTGTTTGGGGTCAGAAAGGGTTTAGGGTTTAGGGTTGAGGGTTTAGGGAAGTTGCTAGTGACATTTCTGAGATTTCTTCAAAACATGACATACCTTGGCTATAATGTACCCCAAAGCCCAATGCCAGTTATTCAAGTTCCGGGGCTTAGTGTGAATTTACGTATACAATACGCTCGGTCTAAGGCCACAATCCACTGCGAGACCCCTGGCCCCAAATTTAGGTTCAAGAGAATTTGGGCACCCCGTCAGCCCGCCCCCCCCGGGCCTCCCTCCGATGTCGAGTTTCTGCCGAACGGCCCTTACCTCCAATCTAAGGAGCGCAGACTCTCACAAAGCCCAACATGCCTATAGCCTAATATAGACCATTGTCTCATCCTTCAGAATATCTACGCACCCTGTAAGGCTACGGGGCTTGTGGCCGAACTCAACAGTCTTGTGTTTTCTCCTGTTAACGCCTTAGTCGTCGGGTAAGTGACCGTGATGGGCTTGGGGTTAGTATAACCCGTGGCGGAGGGTAGACCTTCAGTTGCCTGACGAAGCTGGACAAGCAGATGGGTTCTGTAGTATTCTACACTGTTTTTTTCATCGGGGTTGATAATATGGCATGATGCTTATAGTTGTCCCCGAGTCGAAAGTGTTCAGCGTCATTCTGTACATGAGCAGTCTTGTTAATGCTTGTTATTGTGAAGCTCTCACTCTGCAGATGAGTCGTACACGCTGTTGAACAACACCGAATTCTGAAGCTTTATGGGTTTATGGTTTAGGGCCGTTTAGGGCTAATCGACACGAAACCCTGCAAACCAGTTTCTCCCAAAACCTTCTTAGGAACGACGGAAGGCATCCCAGAACTAGAGATTCGTCCCAAATTGGTGGGTTTGTCACGTCGACCCTGCTGTGCCTGCAGTTAGCCACATGCTATAGCAAGAGTTATACTTTTACCACGCAGCTGCACCGCGTCTACCGTGCGTAAGGCCCTATCGTGTTTCAGGTTGAGGAGTGTTTTTTGTGGCTAGTTGTTCGTGTGTTCCGGCATTGGTTTGAGATGATGAGGTCCCTTGTAAGAGCTAAGCTCCCCCGCGTTGAGTATAAATTGCAGTCCTGGGTGGAAAGTTGCGGTGTGCTGCTGTGCTGAAGCCATTTTTGAATTTGGACCTGTCGTCCTTCCTAGGCTAAAAGCGCCGGCGGTTGCAGAGAGGATATGACAAAAGATCCACAGCTCGAGTCGCCAGTTGAGCCTCCATTCTTTGCAGGAACTTCAGCAAGGATTCGAACGATCCACATGTCGAGTCTAGCAGGATGGTGCCGCCGAAGCCCCACAATCCCTAGCACAGCGCACTTCATGGTCTCGCGAAGCAAATGCAGAGTACCTAGCTGGTGATTTTAGTGCTTGGGGACTTCGTCTTTCAGGGTTGAGGATTTAGGATTTGCGGATTGTCACTCCACCTGGAGCGCGATGGGTCCGACTACCCACTACGCTTGAAAGGTTCGGGGCACTCATACCTGCGCAAACCCCAAACCTGCAAAACATACTAGGTTGTGAGCCCTTCACACAGTGGGCAAAAGGAGCCGCAAGTAACGATTTCAGTGTTCGGGGTTCTCCCTAAACCCTAAACCCAGGGTCTTAGGGTTCTAAGTTTAGGTTTTTGGTCACGGGTTTAAGGGCGAGGGCCTAGGGCCGTGGAATCTCATTATACCAGCATTCATACATAACTTGGGTACGGCCCCCACTCAGTAATAGTTGAAAAAATATTCATAATATAGATATAGTAGGACCTTAATAGTAGCCCTGTTATGGCCTCTTAGTGTATGGGGGCAGTACCTAATACATAACCCAATCTGGGGTCTCCTCAGAATGATATGCGAAAGGCATCGAAAGGCCTGCACTCTATACCTGAGCGAACCATGAAGTTCAATCTCGTCGCATGCATCCTTAATGTAGGGCTTATCAATATTAGGGTCCTCTGTTGGGTCCTTATTATAATACGGCACCTAATATTTAGGGTACCCTAAAAGGGACCACAATTTTGACAACAACCCATATACCGCTCGGATCGTCGTGCAGCGACTTCTCGAACTTCTCGAGGCCTTCCTGGACCCTGAGAACCGAAGCCCTGGGTTCAAGACCATGAGCTCCTCACCTAGACCCTCCATCTACCCTCTATTAGACCCTAAATGCCCCTTATTTGGGACCATATACCCTTACTTGAGAGTACAAGAAGGGTCCTGGCAAGCCCTGAAACTCATCACTCAGAGACCTAACCCCCCCCCCCCCCCCCATACTCGTAGAATTGGAGCATAGAGCTATGACAGAACACCGTTGAGATGCCTTACGAGGCACTACCCAGGCTGCTTTTGGAGTGAAGCTGGTGAAGTGGTTGTGTTTAAACATGAATTCCAAGAATGCACTGAAACTTTGAGTCCCGCTTGTCCTTGTCATGGCCCTAGAGCGACTCCAGCGAAGAGGCACAGTGCTCAGAAGTTGTAGAGTTTAGGGTTGGAGGTTGTGGGTGCAAGGTTTAGGGTTTAATGAGTGTTTGGTGGCCCAGTGTCTTATCCTGATGACATGTGTCTATTACTTAGAGTTCCTTGTGTGGGTGCTTGATTTTCTACCTAACCCCTAGAAGCCCTCAGGACCCCTCCACCACTCAAGGTTATGAGGGCTTCGGGCGTGGATTCAGGGTTGGGTCTTGGGTTACTGTTTCTTCGGCCGAATACCGAATACCTAAACCCCGAACCCACCAGCACCTCGCCAGAGTACCGTTTTCAAGCAGGCTGTATCCTGCTGAGCCGGGAGTGTCGGCGCTGGCAGAAAGGGAAGTCTGGGGGATCTGCCAACAGTAGAAGCCTGAACAATTGTATTCATCTCCCCTTTCGAGCCGAAAAAGTCTGTGCCCCAAAGACCCATTCAAATCAGTACGTATACAACACCGCTATCGCTGATTCTCGGCTGACTTGAGGTGGCCATGCTTCCAAACGGTTCTGACCTCAGCGAGCTAGGCTGACAAAGGGTTTAAAAGGGTTCAGGATGCCAGGTCCCCGAGGTTTTACGGTTTTTGCGGGCATAGCTTGGTCTAGGGTTTAGGGTTTAGGGGTTTAGGGGTTTAGGGTTTAGGGTTTAGGGGTTTAGGGGTTTAGGGTTTAGGGTTTAGGGTTTAGGGTGTCACGCCAGTTCCTCCAAGGCTGCTACAGCCTTCATGCTGCGCACGTAAAGGGGCGTCCGGGACTGGGATTTACATCCCCCCCCGCCTGCAGAAGCCTGAAGCCTTGCTACGTTTGATGATATTAATCCTGCATTACCTTAAGGACCCTAAACTATGGGAACTATTGTATATTCCTTATTAGGGGGAATGCAGGGTTTATATCATCAACCGTTGTGCCATAAGCCTTGGGCTCCAAATTCTCACCCCCCCGAAATGCTTAAAGCCTGAAGCCCCGAACCTGTCGAGTACGAAATCGTGAAACTCCACTTCGGCTAGCCCAACCCGCAACCCCTTATAGAAGATTTGTAGGTTGCTGCAAACTGCTTAGAGGTTAGGCCTGGGATTATTCCATACAAGGATCCATACTTGCACGAGCCGTTGGACTCGATTCTCTAACGCAAAGATGCAACTTTGAGCCCTACACCCAGAGTCAACCTTGGATAAGAGCCCTGGCTATACCAGGATTAACACAACTCTTGACAGCTACCGACCAACTGGCACCAGTGGAAAATACGAGCAACTTCGAGGTGATTCGAAGAACACTCGCCGCTCACGGTGAGCTGTCAGAATTCACTGATGAAATATTGAAATGGTCTCATTTAAGGGTCCCTCCCAGGGATCTATAGGGTTTTAGGGTTTAGGGTAGATCCCTTAATGGGGGTTCCTATGAAGTACCGGTCACGAAGCCAGCGGGCCCTTTTGTTTCATTTGGGTGATTATCAACATTAGGATGCCTTTCTGGGTCCTTAAGGTACCAAAAAAGGGACCCTAATTTTGACAACCACCCGTTTGTCAAACGTCCTTGACAACCAAACCTCGACCCTCCATCTACCCTCTATTTGACCCCAAATGCCCCTTATTTGGGACCATATACCCCTATTTGAGGGTACAAGGAGGGTCCTGGTACTCTTAAGCATCTAGGCAGACTGATAGATACGCGCATGCCCCGGAGATGATGCCTTCGCCCACTTCTCCACAAAGCCTCAGCCTCACCACAAGCACGCCCTCATAGCAGAGCAGTTGCGAAATCGTCTTTTGAGTTGGCGCCAGAGCGCGCGCATTTCGCGCGCAAGGCCTCCATAAAAATGCCCGAGAGCTTGAGCTTTTGAGGGATTCTTCGTTGTCCTCCTTATGGAAAGACTCCGAGCAGACCCATCAACATCGGAACCCTCGATCCTCAAGTTGCTTTTGGGGCCAGTTTGAACAGTCAAAATTTTCAAAAATGCCAAAATGACTTCCCATATTATGCTTCAGAGCTCCTTTTTGCAACTACCGAATGAAGGAGCCCAAAACTCTATTCTAATTATTACCCTACGGGTCCATGTACCCATATAGAGATACATGAGCCCCAAAGTAGCTGTATAGGGACTACATTAAGGCCAATGTATATACTTTTTGAGTGCATGGACCCTTAGGGTTAAGTCCCTTACGTAAGGGCTGCTGGAGCCATTTTTGAACCTTCTCATCAGGTAGAGCCCAAGACATCCGAAAGCGTTCACCCGACTCAAAGCCGTAAACCCTGAGCTAAACCTCTCCTCAACCCTAAATCCCAAAAGCACTGAACCTTCAACCTTTAAAAATGAAAAGATAATCATAAATAATCGAAAGAGAGAGAGAGAGAGAGAGATACATATGTATGTATATATATATATATATATGTATGTATGTATGTTTAGATTATTCCCTAAACCCTAAACCCCTGAAGCTACCCCAATCAAGCCCAAAAAAAGCCTGAACCCGAAGAAAGCCTGCATAGGAAGGGACCCGGCTGCAAGCCGGCCGGCTACCACGCCCAGACGTGTCCGAGCCGCACGGCAAGATGATTCAGCTTAGGGGTACCTAGAAATCGTTTTTCATTTTTGGTTACTATAATCTCTAAGAAACAGCTACAATCATAATTGTTGCTAGGGTTCTAGGTTCAGTATAGTCAGGGTTGGGGTTTAGGAGTTTAGGTCCAGTTTTTATGTTTTATAAGAGCTTAGGGGTACCAACGCCTACCCTATAATGGTCAAACGACCCAAGAATGTTGCATTTGTGTGTCGGGTAAGATAGTCTAAGGGAACTGCAGTTTGTAAGACCGTCGAAACCGCGATTCCGAACCTCCCCAAGGAGGTACCTAGGACCTGGGGCCTTCAGGGTAGTATTCATTGGCGGATAAGTATAAGGCTTTTGGGTACTTGGACCCTGAGACTCAGGTGTGGGTTTTGCATTCTGAGTTTGTTACGTTCCAGCCTAGTCATTTTTTGGTGAAGTTAAGGCTTTAGGGCTACAGCTGAAGGGTTGAGGGTTAAGTTATGGTAGCCAACAGCAAGGAGCTTCGCGTGATGTTGTAGGTAGGGTGTACCTGACTCTATCGTAGCTCTCCAATACTACCATTTGCTGAATCGTTTGTGGTTCCCATAATGTAGCATCCTTCTGAAGGTTCGATCTTTCATGTCTTTGGGAATTGGGAATTGGAATGTCCTATAATCTAGAGATTGCCATGTATAGTTTGCTGCCCGCAATCAGTACCTCAACCCTAACAAAAGTCGGGGGTGGTACCTATCTAATGTTAATCCCCCAGGTAGCTAAATCCTACCAGATATCTCTGAGCTCCCATTTTCTGCATCAAGAGCTAGTCTGACTTTACTTGCCAATCCTCCAATTACCTCTATATTCGTCGCTCGTGTCAGGAACGACCCCTCAACCGACAGAAGTGGCTGGGGGCCCCGGAGTACATAAGGGTTCAGGGATGCGTCCGTGAGTGTGATTGTGATTGTGCTTTTCAGTTGGGGTTTGTTTTTTGTTCAGGTCGTCTCTTGAAGTTTATGCGATCCAAAAGCCCTTAACACTGGACCCGACACCCCAAATCATTCCTCGGTTTCATGAGGTAGGGTTGACATTGCAGGCAGTGGGGAGTGTATGCAGGGGCTCCCTACGATTTCGACCTCACATGTCGCTTCTGTATCAGAATGAAACGTTAGCTTCTCAATGAAGCGTTTTTGGAGTCTCTGCAGAGATGGAGATTCGTCTGCCTTTAAAACATCCCTAAACCCTAAACCCTAAACCCTAAAAGAGGAGGAGGAGTTCAGGGAGAACGACGTCGGCGGCTCAGTGTTGAGGGGAGGGGGTAACGGGGGGTGGGGGGGGTTGTGGGGGCCGTGGTTAGTGTTTTGTGTTGAGCGTAGGGCCTTTTTTTCTTGCTTGCGACCGCGAGGCCACGCGGCACGACGGCGAGCTCGTTGCAACTTGAATGCACTGTTCTTTTGCGGTGTTCTGCATCTTCGTGGGTTTGCTTGGCGTGCTGCTTCCGAGGCCCAGCTGGCGGTGGATCCGTTCTGCCTCGAGTTGCCCATCCCTTTTGTGTCTTGTCTTGTTGCTTGTGGATTTTTGGGTTCGGAGTTGCACTTCTTTTTTCACATGCCTTGTGGTTGTAAGGAGCTGGCCAGCAGCAGCCACGAGGTTCCGGCTCCTTGAGGTTGGGTAGTTTTGTTTGGTGGTTGTGCCTTCGGGGTCGTTTTGTTTGTTATGCAAACTGAGGTTAGCGTGGGTGCTGGCGTCGGGGACGAAAGTCCCACGAAGCGGGCGAGGCGAGGGTTTGTTTCGTTCGTGTCTCGGGCTTTGGTTTAGGCTGTGGTTGTGCCGTCACTCTCTTTGCGCATGTCTTGTCTTCTTTGCCGGCTTGCGACAGGCGGGCCTATAATACGCGGTGGCTGCCATGCGGGCTCTGCCCGCGATGCCTGTGCAACATGGCTCGAGGCCTGGCCTCCTGTCTTTGGGGTTTGGGGGTTCTTCTGTCGGGTTGCCGGGGCTTGTTGTTTTTTTCCGGTGGGTTTTGAGTGGTTTGTGGGTTAAGGGATTGCCGTGCGCGAGGTTTCAAATTTGACGTGGTTCGGGTTCGTGGGTTCTGTGCTTGGGGTTCTTGCCGTTGCTTGCCGACAGGCTACCAAATCCGCAGCGATCGCTGCGATGGTCCAGTCCCGCGTAACCGGATTTTCAACCAAATTTGACGTGCACGGAGGGCTGCGCCCAAGGCGCAGCCGGCAGGATTGGCTGGGCAAAGGCCAAAGCCAAGGCCAAGGCAAAGGCCAAGTAGCAAGCAGGCCTCCGCGCCGTTATTAGTTTATTTGTTTCATTCTTCCTTATCACATTTTACATCTCATCTTTTGCCAACTTTATAATCTCTATGTACCAATATACTGTACCAATATCTATCAAATACAACTTCATACCAATAACATTTTCAACCTCCCTTTGCCATTGCATGTGCATGCTTTTTCTTATATTTTCTTTTACTTGGGGTCCCCGATTCGGGTTTTGTGTGTGGTCGCTTGGTTCTGTGTTGTTGTTCTTGTGATGGGAGTCGATGGGGTTTTTAGACGCGCAAGTCGCCGCTAGGGTAGTTTTGTTTTTAATCGGGTACCTGGAGGTAGTAAGGCCGTTGCGTCGACTGTCGGCCCGGGCAAAAAGAGGGTTGGGGCCAGGGGGGGCCGAGCGGGAGCGGCGCTCGCGAGTCCCGGTCCCTCCCTGGTTTTTTTAGGGTTTAGGGCTAGGGACCGGCATGGCGAGGGGCAAAGCCAAGACCCAGCAGCGGAGATGGCGAGGGGCTAAGCCGAGAACCCCACATCCGGAGCGTGATGGCGAGGGGCTATGGCCTATAGGACCCCACACGCACGGCGCGACGACACCCGCGACGGCAAGATCGTGTGGCTGAATTCCAAAACAGAACTCTTTTGGAGCACATTTCCCAGCTTTTATATAGGGGCTTGGGGACCTTAAAACGGCTAGGAGTGAGCGTCATGACTTGCATTTCGCTCTGCCGAGCCTGAGCCTGTATCATCAGCAAAAGCACACAGCTTGCAGGCTGATTAGCTTGGGGCACGGCAGAGGAGACAGTCCGATGTGGAAACATCTTTATGTAACTCTGTTTCTCTTGTAGCAGTAGCAGTAGCAGTAGCAGTAGCAGTAGCAGTAGTAGTAGTAGTAGTAGTAGTAGTAGTAGTAGTAGTAGTAGTAGTAGTAGTAGTAGTAGTACTAGTAGTAGTACTACTAGTAGTAGTAGTAGTAGTAGTAGTAGCAGCAGCAGTAGTAGTAGTAGTAGCAGCAGCACTAGTAGTAGTAGTAGTGGAAGAAGAAAGTAGTTTGAGGAAGAGCCTTGGTAGTGATAGTAGTAATTTTCATTATTCTTATTGTAAAGTTTAGGCTCCGTCCTCGACGTTTTCTTTCGGGTTGTTTAGGTTGCTCTGCGTGGGAGCGTCTGTGTTTCCTTTTCGTCTCAGGTGCTGGTTCCAAGGCCTCCGGCGTGCGTTTCTTCTCCGCACCTGTCCGGGCCACATTTTGTGCTTGCTTTGCCAGGTTGAGTGGCTTTGCAGAGTTTTGTTTGTTGGTAGGTTCACTGTTTCAGGGGTGTTGTTATGTTTTGCTTGCTGCGTTTTGACTTAGGGTTTTGTCTCGTTACTTCAGGAGGTCGTTCAAGGCTTGCTTTGGTGGTTTCGGGTTGGGGTTTTATGTCTTCTTTCAAGCTTTCTGGCTCAAGCATTGACCTCGCGCGCTCCTTCTTTGTCGCATCGCCTTGCAGGCATTTTACGTCTTCCTCTTTTCTCCGTGCTCTCCTCTTTCTATCTTTTACGGTACCTTCTTTTGTCTCGGCCGCTCCGGAGGATGATGCGCACTATCTGCTTCGCCTTGATCTTGGTGGTGGGCTCTGCTTCACCCCGCCGTTGCCGGAAGTGCCTTGGCTTGGGTGCTTCCCCTCTTTCTCGCTCTCTCTCTCTCTTTCTCTCTTTCTCTCTTTCTCTCTTTCTCTCTTTCTCTCTCTCTCTCTCTCGCTCTCTCTCTCTCTCTCTCTCTCTTTCTCTCTCTCGCTCTCTCTCTCTCTCTCTCTCTCCCTCTCTTTCCTTCTCTCTCTTCTTATCTTTGCCTTCTGTGCTGCCAGCACGTTGCGGACGTGGCCAAGGCTCCCGCGTCGGTGGCATCGCCGGCAGTGCCTTGGCTTTGGTGTTTCCTCTCTCTCTCTCTTTTTATCTTTGCCTTCTGTGCTGCCGGTAATATTTAGCACCTCGACGAAGTGTGGCAACCTGACTTTGGTTCTGGCGGTTGTTCTTTTCTTTGTCTCACCTTCTGTCTCTCCTTCTCTCTCCGCGGTTCGGATGTTTGCTTCTCATTTCCTTTCCCTCGGTGACTTAGGCTGTGGCGGCAGGGATCTTTACGCTCGAGGAGCTTGCGGAGTACAACTCTCCATTGGAAGTGCCTTGGCTTTGCTGTTTCCTCTCTCTCTCTCTCTCTTTTTATGTTTGCTTTTTGTGCTGCCGGTAATATTTGACTTAGGACCTCGACGAACACGTGGCAACCTGACTTTGGTTCTGGCGGTTGTTCTTTTCCTTTGTCTCACCTTCTGTCTCTCCTTCTCTCTCCGCGGTTCGGATGTTTGCTTCTCATTTCCTTTCTTTCGGTGACTTAGGCTGCGGCGGGAGGGGCTCTGCCAGAGCTGATTCCGGCACCGTACCCTTCGCCGGTCAGCAATGTCGGCGGCTCAGTCTTGGGGGAGGGTGGGTGGTAGTGGCAAGGGGGTGGGGGAGGGCTGGTGGCTAGTGTTGTGTGTTTGAGCGCAGTTTTTTTTTTGTGTTTGAGCGCAGTTTTGATTGAGAGGCCACGGACCTCGATGGGCAACTGGCCGCAGCTCGGATGTGTTGCTTTTTTTGTTGCGAAACTCTTCTCCTTTATGTTGCTTGCTTAGGTGCAATTGGCCTTGTTACCCGAGCCTGCCCAGATCGTCTCTTGGCTTGATGTTTCTTGCTTTTCTTGTCTGGGGACGCACTTCGTTGCTTGCACGCGCTGTGGCTGTGAGGAGCTGCCTAGTGGCAGCGGCGACGTACCCGTTCCTTGGTATTGCCTTGTTGTGGTTTGTGGTTGTGTTTTTTGCAGTTTTGGGCTTTCGTTTGTACGCACCTTGAGGTGATGGTCGGGGCTTCCTCCGACCTCGACGCGGATGCCGTCGCTGTCCTCTTCGAGGACTACCCCAGCGAGCCGGTGGAAGAGGGGGAGGAGGAAGAAGAGGAGGAAGAGGAGGAAGGGGAGGAAGAGGAGGAAGAAGAGAAAACAAACCCAAACTCTAAAACCCTAAACCCTAAACCCTGAACCCTAAAACCCTAAACCCTAAACATGCTTGCTCGGGGCGATTTGAGGGGTTCTGGTTTTTGATGCAGAGGCCCAGGTCTAACTCTTCAACTGTGAGGTAGGGTTTAGGGTTTAGAGGTAGGGTGCTTGAAGCAGGAGGTGAAAGGAACGAGTTTGCAGGTCACGATGCCGAGTCGCTGTATCGTTTGGCAGGGCTCGCAATGTTTCTTCTTGACTGTGTGTGCTGGGTGCTTGTTTTTGGTTTCTGGGTTCAGGGTTGTTTTTTGCAAGCTTGGGTTTTGAAGGTAAAGGCTTGCTATGCAACTTGACGAACATACATAAGCATCAAAGAGCTGTCTTACCCGATATCTTGCAGCCGACAACCTTTAAACCATGTTGAGGGAACCAGGTTCTCGAGAGCTGGTATACAGGCCAAGACCCTGTAGAAACCGATGTACATAAAGGCCTCCGGCACTAAAGTCTTGAACCCCAAGCGCTAGATCCTGAATCCCAGAGACAAAGGGGGTGAAGGATTTTACGAGTTTGAACGGTGAGGCAATCCAATTTGGGGTTTAGTTTGTAGGGCCGGCAGGTTGCGGAGAGCCAGCAGCTGATATTCGCTATGGAAATCCTAGGGTTTAGGGTTTGAGGTTTAGGATTGCTTGCAAGTCGGTTGTACGTAGGAAGTTAGTTAATGAAACAAAACGATTGAGCCGGGTGGCAGGGAACATTCAACTCCTGACCGCAGCTATTTGGCCCGGAGATGTGGCTAAGTGGCTGGTTGGAGGGGGTTTAGGGTTTCGGGGCTGGGATATGTTTTGGCTTCTAGCTGAGTGTAGCAGGATTTACTTCCTAACTGCAGCTTCAACACGTTTGCAGCAACAGGCATGAAGGCAGAAACCCGCAGCCTGACCCGAGACCTGCGAATTTATTAATAAATCCGAAACGCGATTCTGTGTGTTGTCAAGCGCTTTCTTCACATTTAGAGCAGTCAAAAAGCTTAGAATTGAGATGCCTATCCCGGCGCATCGTATTGACATGCCATGCTTTGAGGAGCATAAGATCAAGCTTGAAAGCTCGAATCGTTGAATGAGGAGTAGTTGCGATCGAACAGACGCAGGGTGGCTCGTAAGGTTTAAGGAGTCAGGGCCGCGCACCCTTCTTAGCAGAGATGCCTGGAATCCGAAGCAATGCCCCTCGAGCCGCATTTACTTTTTTTGTTTGGCGGGCAGAGGATGCAGAATGCAGCAAAATTAATTATAAACTAAACCTGACCCTAAAGTGAAGTAATTACACCATTTTGGATAACGTGTTCTATGGCATTGTCAGGAGTGACAAATATGGTGTACACACGAGAGTGCAGTACGTAATGCAACCCAACGAAAGTTCAGCAATGCAACCCTGCACAGCACGTCCACTACCTGCATTTTTCTGTTGCGCAGTCCGAAACCCTAAACCCTATAAACTATATAAGCCTCATTTCGAGAACCTATCCCAATGCTAGCGGGTTTCTCTTCAAACCTGAACACATACCACCGGCCCTACCCTGAGCCTCAAACCATCGAACGCTTTACCCCGATCCGAGCTCCTACAGAAATGGGAGTTTCCGAAAATCGGGGATCCTAGTATAGTACCCTAAATCAGTAAATCGTAGGATCCTTATTATAAGGACCCCAAAACAACGTAACCCTAATTTTCGGAAGCTCCCATATGGCTGCGATGTGCAACCTTACGTCCAGAAAGCTCTTGACCTTCAAAGGTCGGATGTTGCATAGAATCCGCATAGCCCACTCCTATATGGTTAGTTCTCAAGATTAGGGCCCGTGCTTGGGTACCCTAAATAATAGGTGCCGTCCAAAAAGGGGGTATAATTTTGACAACCACCCATATCTTTACTGGTATAAGGTACTTCAGTCATGATATGGTATAATCAGGTCAGGGTCATTGGTCATAGGTATCCCGAACCCCCACATCTAACTAGTAACACCGTTTCCCCAGAAGGCCTTCCACGCCGCAAATATACAGAAGGCTTCAACAAGGCTTTAAAAGCCCCAAACCGACCAACACCCTTAATTGAAACCTTCACAAGTCCTTCAAGGAGGCCACGAGCCCTTAAACCCTAAACGCCTTTCAGTCACCCCCTGAACTCTGAACCCTCAACCCCCAAGATCCTATTCCTTCAAATGTCCCCAAACACCTGAGCACTAGACCCCCCAAAGCTACCTCCTCAACCAGCTCCTAAACCTGGAACCCCAATCCCGACCGTGGGGGCCCTAATTCTTAGAACAGGGTTTTGGGGTGATGCGGGCGAAAACCTGTCAACGAAGAGCGAAACGAAGGACGACATGTGCATCCTCAAAGACAGGGTATATACACGTGTAGGGCTTTTGCGGTATATTAGAATCATAACAAGGAACCCCGAAAATGGTATTGTTAATTCTTTTGGCCCCGAAAGGATCTCTCAAGAGCCCGCTAAAGCCGAGGTTAATGTCCGGCGCCCCCATTCCCCCGGCGGGGCGAGCGCAGGACGGAACAAATACGAGCGCCCTTGGGTCCGTAGGGCCCAATACTTGTAGTTAAGGGTTCTTATACGATCCTACAGGTTATCGTGTGGACAGGGAGGACAGTGCGATCGAATGAGAACGATCGAACACAGGAGAACCCAGGGCCGGTAGAGGCTCGGTTTCGGATAGGGCCTTCGTTGGTCACTGGGAGAGCATTTGTCCCAAACCCCACGACGTTAAACTTACTTTTTGTTCGGAGATCTATCTTACTTAGTTTGGAGAGGCTGCTGGGGCTTTGAACACAGGTTCGCTTTGTTTGCACAAATATTCCAGTTGAAGTAAGGAATCCGCCCCTTAAATTTCTAGAGGGGCCCCTAACCAGTATGATCACACACTCACACATACACACCCTTCAATCATTTTTGGACTCTCTGGGTGCTGCTACACTTGCTTGCGAAGTCCACGATTCTGCAAGGTCCAATGTACCAAATTAAACTAAATCTAAACTTGAGAGCAAAGCGACCGAGTGTCTGCAAAAATCAACTATCCCATGGTCCATGCCCCAACAAGCAACACCCGATGTCCCCGAGACCTTAGATAGCGGACACTCAAACCCCACAACCATCCAACAAAACAAGCCCTGAGCCCAACACCCAAAAGAAAACCACAACCAAAAACACGACTCTGCAGGGAGCACCCCTGTAAATTCTATTCGAAGCAGGCCCCTGCCGCAGGGTATTGTGAATTTGGAGTAGGAAGGCTGGGGGAGCTACAGGTTTGGGATTTTAACTTTGGGATACCAACAGTGACAGTGCTCATAAGCCTGCTGATTGTGGATTTGCGCAAAGTGTATTAGGGCTTTGTTGGCCTTAGCTCTAGCTGCTTGTTGCCTTAGCTATGTATGACATGGCTTATACATTCATGGATATCACCACTTGACGTAGAAATGTCGAAAGACCCTGATTCTTGCGTATCATTACCATTAAACTGACCTCCAAGCCCTGACTAAGCCCTACTGTACGAGGACCCTTAAGCGTGATCACGGTTTCCATGACGGCATCCTTCAGCCTCCAAGTGTTTAGGATTTCGGGTTTGGGCTTGGGGAGGTGGGTGGGTTGGGGGGTGGTGGGAGATGTAAGGTCTACGGTACAGGACTTAGCGCTACGATTAAAGGTCACGCAAGTGGTCATTCTACAGCGCAGAAAGAGACTAATTATACGCATTCAGCGTAGCATTTTGAAGTTGACAGCTCAAGGCTCTATGCTTTGTAGGACAGGGCTTGAGAAGGGTTGTCTATGCATTTGACATCGGGCTGCTTTATATGGCGAGGACGTCATTTTTGTTTGGGCGGTTTAGGGTAAGAGTTTGGGATGCAACGGTAGTTGTGTTCAAGAATGGGGACTCGATGGTGGAGTTGGCAGATTTTTTTTCGGGCTGCTTGGGGACCTGCCCTGCCAAGAACTTACTGCAGCTTGAATGTGCACACCCCTGCCCCACCGCCTCCATTGCGAGAGCTCGGCACGGGAAGGCGATTGGCAAAGGCCGTGAACTTTGCCAACATCATGAGCGCCGAGGCACCGCAAATCCTAGACTAGGACTTAGAGTAGGCCTTATTCCCTTTCTTTTAAGGTTTAGGTTGCCTTACAGCCTTTAAACTAAAAGGGCACCCGTTTTATTCCTAGGCTACTCTTGGGTCTGGTAGAACCTTCAAGCATCAGACCCAAGTTTTTGTTGATATGTCCGGCTCCCGCCCACACCCGCCCGCTTCAACGGGCTAAACATAAAGGTCCAAGAGCCGAAACAGCTTTTGAGTACTACGGTTGATGATATAAATCCTGCATTTCCCATAATAGTAAGGAATATGCTTGAATTCCTATAGTTTCGGGTCTTTGAGGTAATGCAGGATTTATATCATCAACCGTACCGACAACCATTCAGGGTGTGTTTGATCCCTTTATTACCCAGGTAGCACGAACCCCTGAACCTCAGAACTGTGGTAGGGTGTAATTAGGGGTGAAGCATTCGGGGCCAAACCCTGCAGAACTCTTACACCCAGAAAAAAGGCTTCATCACCATTTAACCACCCAAAGAAACGTACACCCGAACGCATGAAATACCGATCCCTTAAGCCCGCAAGGCTAATTCTCCAAACAGAATCAGAGCTTCGGATGTCAGTGGGTTTTGGGGTTTAGTTCAGGGTTTAGGGTTTGGGTCCTGGGGTCAGGGTTTCTGGCACATTGGACCAGACTTTAAATTACATGAGGAGTCTAGCAATAGAGGACCTGTGTCCGGAATCAAAGAAAATGGATCCTTACTCCCCCTACTTCGTGGCTCATGGGCTATATATAAGTGGAGCTATAAGTAGGATTATAATCGGTATAACCCATAACATGCAAAGCCAGCCGGACCCATCGAAGTTCCGAAACCTGCCTCGTAGTATATGACCCACAGAGCAGTTAACTCTTGTGGGGTGTACGTCAGGGCTACAACCTTCATAATCCCTCAACCATAAGCCCCCCAAGCCCTACATGTGAAACTGGGCCTGCGCAGTTACACGAATCCCAGCGAAGGAGCAGTCCAGGAAAAGCCCGAAGGCTATCCCAGAGGCTCTGTGCCCGAAACCGTACCCTTAGCACCCCTCGCCCCTCCTAGACCCCTTAAACCCTAAACCCTATACACCCTAAACATCGCTAAACCCGAAACCCTAGACACCCTAAACATCCCCGAACCCTGAACATCCCTAAACCCTACACCCTAAACATCTCTAGGCCCGAAACCCCTAAATCCTAAATTGCGAAACCCGAAAGCCCCCAGGAGGCGGCGAGCTTCGAGGACGAGCCCAGCTCCCAGAATTCGCAGTCTGCGGTCTCGGGTTTGGGGTTTACGGGTTTAGGGGTTTCGGGGTTTGGGGTTTAGGGTTCGGGCTAAACGGTTTAGGACTTTAAGGGTTTGTGATGCAGGGTCCTTTTTGGCGTTAGGGTTTTAGGGCCCAGCAATCGTAGGACAGGGGCGAGATGAAGTCTGCAGGTGAGTGAGGGTTGGGGTTGTCGGTTCGGATTCGGGTTGAAGGTCTAGGATTTCCGGTTTTGTTCTTGATTTGGAATTTGCGAGGCTTTGGGCTATCCAGTCTCGAATGCAGATTAAAGGGTACCCTTGCGCGAGTAGGGTTTGGGGGATTCTGTGCTCCCATGAGTTGTGTGTTTTTGTTTTAAGTGCAGGCGTGCTAAACCCTAATCCTCTCAATCCCTAGAAGTCTATGTACTAGGAGCCCCAGAATATGATTATGTCAACAGTCTATGTACTAGGAGCCATATAATATATCAACAGTGGTATAGGCGACGGCGCCAGACCAGGAGCCGAACAGCTGGAGTGCTTTGCTCCCAGGGCCAGGGCGTGGTGCCTTTTTGACACCCCGAAGAGTTGGTTGCAAGAGGACATTTATGATTTCATGGGTAGTTCTCAGGTTGTACCTTAACCCCAAATATCCTACCTTTTTAGGGTTCCTTATGAAACAAAGCGGTTGGAGGCAAATCCAGATTGTCACCCTTCGTCAAATTAGCAAAAAGTCTGGAGGTCACATCTGGGTCGTTCGGGCCCTTGAGCCAGAAGGACACCACGCTGTCCTAGCTGGGAGGCCGTGTGGAGACGAAGAGGACGACGAGGTCCTTAAGGCAGAGGAAGGCCAGGCCGTGGCCTTGAGGCGTCTGGGAAACTTCTCGCGAGACACTGCCTCCTCAGACACCGAGACGGACTGTTCAAGTCTACAATTAGCAGCGATGAGAGCGAGGCCAAGGCCAAGGAATAATTTTTTCCACCGAAACCCAAGTGGCATGAGCCTCAGCCGGCGGCGTGAGAAAACACACACTCCAGGCCCGATGCTGCTCTTGATGCTGCTGTTTTGAAGAACAGGTCGAAGATCTCTCCTCCTGTACCGACTGTGCGAGTAAGCCCTGGCATATTATGTTGCCAACTCTATTCATGTCGCTTTGACAAAAGGCCACTCAACTCAATAAAACCCTGCCCCCCGCAAAAGCACAACAGGCTCCAACGCCCAAAGCCCGAAGCCCACAAAGCCTGCAAACACTTATGTAGCCTTAACCCCAATAGTGGCAGCCAGACTGTTGGAACACCATGGGCATCATACCTGGAAAAAGTCACGGGCAATCCTCGCATTACTCATCCGTTCCACCTTTTTATGGCTGCTGATTGAAGCCTTATGCCCAATTTCAAGCCCTACTGTTGATGATACAAATCCTGCATTACCCATAATAAGGAATATACAACAATTCTCATAGTTTAGGATCCTTAAAGTAATGCAGGACATATATCATCAACCGTACAAACCCCAAAATCCCCATTACCATTATCCTAGGTCCTACATTTTCTTCGGCTAGTACGATGATTCATTGGGAGTTCTTTCGTTCATTGTATTTCTGTGATTACCCCAAGCCCTAGATCCCTGAGCCCAAAATTTATACTATCAACCGTTATAATAAGGATCCTACTATATCTGGGTCCCCTATTTTCGGAAACTCCGTACAAACCCAAAATCCCCGTAAGCCCAAGAGGCTCTTCGAGCTTCCAGACTTCGTCACGGAAGACTTCGATCCGCATCTCCTCAGTCGCTTGAAAGCGGCTGAAGGCACCTGCTAGTGGGTTTCTTCTCTGGTTTTGGGGTTTAGGGTTTAGGGGTTTAGGGCTTAGGGGTTTAGGGTTTAAGGTTTGAGGTTCAGGGCTTAGGGTTTGCTTAGGCTAATTCGGGTTACAGGGGTACAGAGACAAGAAATGTATGCGAGGGTGTGAGATTCGGAGTTTGGGATTTCGTGCTGCCCCGACGTGAGCCTCCAAGCCATCATGGGTTCCCTTTTTGGGTCCCTGTTATAATACGGCACCTTCTATTTGGGGTACCCAAAAAGGGACCTTGATTTTGACAACCACCTACATGTAGGGGCCTGCCTTGGCCCTGAATCTCCTTCCTTCTTTAGAACTTACACAAGGAAACCTACTTCTTATAAGGACTTTTGTAAGGAAATCATATGAAGGAACCCTAAAGAGCAAGGTTTCTGTAGTAGAATTACGACTGCTGTTATGGGTTTCCTTCTCAAACTTGCATAAATGTACCCCCCCCCAACCCTATGCTAATTTTCCCGGCCCCTGCATTGCGTTGAAAGCGCCCGCCCCATCCTCAAATTCGACAAATCCCAGGTTCTGCAGCAACTTCAAAACCGTCAAAGCCCAAAAAGGGTTCGAACATGTTAATGGTGCTGCTCATTCGGGCACCCTATTAGTCTGTTATGAAGATCGCCAAAACTCTACATAGTCAGCTTCCCTTCGAATCCCCAATCTGTCAATTCCTGCTCCTTTAGCGAATCATCAAGTAACAGGCTCAATGCTGGCAGCCAAGGCCATTGCCTCGGCAGAGGGATCGGGGGGAGGGGGTGAGGGTTTGGAGACCTGCTTCCTACATATTACATATGCTTAGGGTTGCTCACGATCACTCTGGTATGGATATATATATATATATATGTATGTTGTATACAAATCTCGACTATCATTGAGGGGTTGAATGCATTGGACCAGGATATGGGTTATGGCATTGGAAGTTTAAGGCCTATGTTGATGGCCCGTCCAGCTGCTCCACAAATTTCAGGGTAGTCGTGGGTCTTCTGTTGTTTCCTTTGACCCTATGACGGGGGCCCTTTGCAGCTTGCTGGGCTGGCGAAACAAAGCAGAACAGTGTTTGAGGCTTGAGTTGCTGTTGTGGGTGTTGCCATCACATTAGAAAGACATGAGCAGACAGCAAAGCAAATTTCCGCAATGCCTACGTTCCAAATATCTGAAATCCTGCTGCAACCCTAAACTCTTGAACCCTGAAGCCCGTCTGTAGCTCCCAAAACGAACAAAACAGTAGGTGATGGCCCCGTAACTAGTAAAAGGGTGAGACTCCTAAAGCAGAAGGCTCTTGGATTCGCAGATAGATCCTACATCTTACTATCCAAAGTCTTAATTCTAATTTTATGCAGCCCTAGAAACCCGAATCTTCATAATGGCTAGGTTCGCATTGGTGCGCTGAAGACGATTACACCGGCCGCTCGGCAGTGGATTTTCCACCCAACGCCCTGAACGAGGTTCTGCAAGGTAGCAATACTGTTCTATAGGGTTTTGCATGTTTCTGTAGGGTTCAACCAGGCTTTAAGACTGGAGCTTCGGCGTTTAGGGTGGCTAGGTTTCGGAGTTTGTTGTTTTGGGGGTTTGGAAGGCTATCGGGTTTCGATTAGCATCCCCTATGAGGTAGATGGGTTTGTAGGGTGCTGGGTTCTTGTTACGGGGACCTTTCTGTGTGCCATAGTAGATTGCTGCAGTAGAGTTCAAGCTTTGGTGTCGCCCTGGCGCCCTCCGGCATGACCTTAAGAGATCAGGAGGCCACCATAGGTCAAGCTGCTGGTGAAGTAATCTGTGGAGGAATCCTGGGCCAACATTGCTACATTACAGTAGAAGCCAAAAAGTTGGAAACCCAATAGCCTCAATCCTTAAGAGTAATGTATAGTATAGGGAATCCCAGCACTATTTGGCCTTAATCCGGTTTCCAACTTTATGGGGTTTACATTAACAACTGGGCGAGATCTGTGGCATGGATCTGCGGTCATCTGAGGGCAGGCCTCGCGCTGTTCCCGTATTCACTGAATCGACCCAAAGGGTTCTAGGTACTGTTATGGGGGATAGTTCCCTAACTCATAATAGTAATTCCTAATATGGTAACCCTACACTCTACTATATCGGTACATAGGACCCTTTGGGTGATTCGATCATCTTATTCAATCCTGCAGGTATCGGCTTGTCGCCGTGGTTGAAATCCTACCTACACCATAAACCTTGAACCCTAAATCCTGACCTACACCCAAACGCCGTGTTGGCACAGGGTTTAAGCTTTAGGCGGCTATGCTGCAACAGGCGTTCATCGTCGTAGGGTGGGACACCGGAGTCTCTCACAAACACTGAACCATAAATCAACAACCCAATATCCTTAACGTCAACCCCTGGTCCGAAACCAACGAACAAGATTGCAAGCACCATCGACAATGCTGAACCCTTCTCTGAAAAGAGTCCAGCTCCGAGCTGTTAAACCACAAATCTTCAAACCCCCAAACCCTTGCTCCAAACCCCAAGCATCCCTAGGACATCGACCCCAAGCCTCGCAACACGAAAGAAATACGAAACTGGGTTGTCCTTTAGGATCTTTTTTAATTTCCACTACTATTTTGTAGAAAACCATAATAGTGCATAATTTTCAAAGGGCTCAAAGGACAGCTCAGTAAATCAATAGCTTTCCACTTCATGAAACCGACGTCCTCGACGAATTCTGCAGCCGAGGCCGACGCTGAAGAGCTTTGCCATATGCTCGGCCTCAGTGTGGAGATGAGAATACAAAAATCCAAGGCACGCACGTTGTTACGTGCTTAAGGAGGGTTCGGGCTGTTGTAGGGTTGTGCGTTTGCTTTTTCGGTGTCCTACATGCGATGTTGTTGTGATTTACCATCATCCTCGGCATCGTCATCTCCATCAGAGCCAGCATCATCACCACCACCACCACCACCACCACCACCACCACCACCACCACCACTATCATAAGCATCGCCATTATTCGTCATCGCCGTCTGCCTCATCGGCTTCGCCTCGTCCAGCCGCCATGCTCATCAACGTCCTCAAGCCAGCAGCCGTGACTTAGCTGTATGACTCGGGAAACGGACCCATCGTCGGCGATCGAACCTGAACTCTAAGGTGCCGTAAAGCCTCAGCTATGAACCCTCAGCAATCAACACAGGCCCTTATCTCCTTGAGCTCAGAGTCGCCTAACAAACCTGGTTTAGCATGTTCTTGGTGACTGTAGCCTGATATACTTCCGACAGACGGAACTTTGAACTGCCCTAAGTACCCCAGGTCATGTGGATGATGTAGGAATTTCGTCCATGCGAATCCGTAAACCCTAAACTACTGTTGATGGACAAAAAATCCTGCATGACCTTAAGGACCCTAAACTATGGGAACTATGGTATATTCCTTATAAGGGGTAATGCAGGATTTTGTCCATCAGCAGTAGCCCCCGAAGCCAGGGCCGCTTCTTGGGTGATTCATGTCTGTATGCCCGAAGCGTCTGTGGGGCTGCAGGGATTGCTGGGTTCTTGTAAGGAGTCTAATTTAAGTTACCATAGTAAGGAGACCATATTATCCATTATAGATCCCTATTCTGATAACTTAAAGATAACGTCGTTAACAAGAACCCCCAGACCTTCCAAAACACTTTAATTGAGGAATATACCTTAAATTATTTGTAGGATCCTTAATTTGATTTAAGGTATATTCCTTAATTAAGGGATTTTGGAAGGTCTGGGCCCAGATTTAGGCTCCTGAAAACCAGGCTTTCTTAGAGCCCGAAGGACACATGGGCTCTCGTCGGAACCCTTCCTAGAAATCCCTGGACCACTGTGGGGTACCTAGAGGGTCATACCGGTCATACCCTACCCCTTTTTTTGGATACCTAGTTTTATGGTTAGGTTCTCTTATATAGAAAAGTAGGTACCTTGAAAAAGGGGTAGGGTATGACCCTATAGGTAGAGCTTAGTGTTTAGGGTCCACGGATCCAATTTCATGGGATGTTGAGGGTAGGGTTCCAGGGTGAGGAACCTTCAAGAAGCAGACATACCGCTGATGGACAAAATCCTGCATTACCCATTATAAGGAATATACCATAATTCCCATAATTTAGGGTCCTTAAGGTCATGCAGGATTTTGTCCATCAGCAGTATGTTCAATGATATTTGCATTCTTTACTTTACACTCCCTTTCTATAGCAGGCATCCTCTAGTATCCCCCTCCCCCCCACATCGCATGTTAGTGGCTTAGAAATTCAGAGTTCAGGGAGGGCTCTCGGGCATCTAGAGTTCCGGGTGTTAGGGCTGTCAGGGGTCTGTTCAGGGTGCAGGGTTTAGGGTGTTGGGTTTAAGGTGTAGGGTCTGGGGACCCTCAGACTTCTGGGACTTCTGACAGCGGACGTGTAACAAGGCCCCTGCCCTGGGCATCAAACCAGCCCAAAAGCCTCATATATTATGGTCTTTTAAGCCCAAAAGTCTTGTTATATGAGTCCTTAGATGCCTAGGGCTAGACTGGCCAAAGTGCCCAGCCTGCTTTCAGGCCAAGAAGTCCGACGCCCTACTCCAGGTAGCAGGGTTTTGACTGCCGGGGGGGGGGGGGTGGGGTATGGTTCATAGGTGGTTTTTTGGGTTCCGCGAAATTTGAGGACTGAGGGGTGTTGTTGTCCAGGGCTTTCCACTTAATTAAACCATTCATATGCTCGTTCGCCGACCTCCAAACCCTGCGCCCTGAACCCCGAAGCTTAAACCCCAACCCCCACAGCCTGTTGCCGATTTTTCAATCTCAGGGTGCTACAGGTGTGTCGGCATTCTGCAGGCTCTTACCCCAGAACCCTTGGGCTGGAATACGGTTGTATTGTTTCGTTAAACCAACCAGGACCCTCCTTGTACCCTCAAATAGGGGTATATGGTCCCAAATAAGGGGCATTTAGGGTCTAATAGAGGGTAGATGGAGGGTCTAGGAATTTGCGATTCATCAAAATTGTACCCCGTTCCTCCATTCCCTACTAACCACAGGTAAGGAGAGTGTGCAGTGGTTGGCCATGGTCCGACCCGTGATCCAAGCACACGGGAAGGACCCCGATCCGACGAAGCAGAAGATGTACCCAGACCTTCCAAAGTCCCTTAATTGCCTTAATTAAGGAATATACCTTAAATCATATTAAGGATCCTACTATAAATCAAAGTATATTCCCTAATTAAGGGGTTTTGGAAGGTCCGGGTATCTTGCTTCGTCACGCAAAGTGGCGTCCTTGCAGATGCAGACTCCGAGTGAAGTTTCCTGTCGCACCGACGTCAGCAATTACTCTGCACTGCGGTACCAGCATGATTCCCCTTGCATGCCTCTGGACAAGGGAGCCGTATTGCATGGCGTTGGTTCTAATTCAGGCTGTTTCCCAGGCAAGTGTATATGGAGTCGTTGGACAGGGTAGCATGCCAGTATCCTGTCAGTCTGCACCAACTTCTCCTGCAGACGTATGCCTCCCGTGCAGACTGCAGGAACATCCACTTCCAACTACTCGATTGGTTCTGTAGGTTGGATGCAACAGCGGAGGCAATCGTCTGGGAAGCAACAGGTCTCCACTTACCCTGTGGGGGAATATTGCTTCACCCAGCCCCAATCGACGGTTTGTACTCTAATAGTTTACAGGTCTAGGAAAGGGCCTGAGGTTTCAGGTATAGCCTTGGTTGTCTTACACAGACTTACATGGCCGACGCTACGGGAAAGCCGGAAGAGATGAGCATGGCGTAGAGGAATTTGTTTTGATGTCAAACCCCAAGGCTCCACATACCTACATAGCTTATATAATTGGGGCTTAGAATACCTATATGGGAATCCTTTGAAGCCTTAAGATTTAAGGCTATGCAACATGGGCACATGTAGCCCAAGGGAAATCAGCTACAACTACCAAGAAGGTCCGCTGATGCTTTGATCAAAGGGTCCAAGATGTGCTGCTGGCGGAGTTGACAACTTAGTCGTTTTTCGTAAGAAATACTTAAATGAAAGTGTAGCCAACCCCCAAGCCAAGCCATGTGGGTAGTTGTCAAAATTAGGGTCCCCTTTTGGGTACCCTAAATATTAGGTGCCATACTAAAAGGGACCATAATTTTGACAACCGCCCATGTAGTCACACACACTATGCAACAGCTACAACCCTCAGCGAAAGAGCCGTTACGGATTACGCCCTATCTCTGTGGTGTGCAGGAGTGGGAGATCCGCTTGGAAAGTCTGGACTTGGAGGCATGGACAGGGTTGCAACGGCTCATGTTCCTGCGCTGAATGGGGGTTTCCGAAGATAGGGGATCCTAATGTAGTACCCTCAATAGTAGGATCCTTATTATCAGGACCCCAAAGAAAGGTACACCAATTTTTTGGGAAACCCCCGAATGACCAGCCATGTAAGCCTTCGAGCTCCAGTCGTCAAGCCTCGACCCGTAGATCTCGAGGGTTTAGGGTTCAGGGTTTAGGGGAATTCCTACTCATCTCATGCCTCCCCAGAACCCTTGTAGGAACGTTTACAGAAACTTCAAGAGCCAGGGACCAAGCCCTGAAGCCAAAGACCTTGCAAAACGTAAGCCCTGAGGCTAAGGAGCAATCCTTAAATATGGATTCTCGATGTCAGAACCATCGAAAAATCTTGGACAAGCTTTCGTAGAAGGCCCAAAGTAAAGCTTACATACAACTCCACGAGGCCCACCCGAAGGCCCTGAAGCCGTATAAACGACACGGGTTTAGGGTTCCCTGCATTTGCGGAGACTTCAAACTCCGGTACATAAACTGCCCACCTTCGGGATCTCATTGCTATGTGGTCAACGGGAAAGCTGGACCTTCTACGGGCTCCTGTGTGTGGTGTGTGGTAGAAAGCTGCGAGCTTGTGTTTGCAAGTCTAGCTATCTCAAGAGAGATGCGGCATGGTAATTTCGCATGATTGCAGACTGCATGACGACCAGTTCCCCCGAGTCCCGCGCAATAGTAGGTTCTGGAACTCTTTAATACCCAAACGGTCCTATGTATCGATATAGTGGAATGTAGGGTTTCCATATTAGGAATTACTATTATGATTTAGGGAAGTATCCCCCATAACAGTCAGTACAAAGGGGTGTTTGGGATAAGGAGCTCGACACTTGAAGGTTCTCCAGGATCCAGGCACTTAGCCTTCCTTCGCTTCAGCCAAGGCATCTAGACTCTGCACCATTTGCCTCGGGTTTCGGGTTTGGGAAGATCAGGCTCAAGGTACTCCACGGAAAGTTTCGGGTTTAGGGTCCGAAGCCTTCAACCCCAAAAAACACTAAACCCGAAACCCTTAGCCCGCACAGATGGACACTTCTTGAACAGGGCTTCATCCTGCTCGCGGGTCCGTTGTTGGGTTTACCCCTGCCACTTGGCTACACCTGACTGGAAGGTACCTGAGGTAGATGGGAGTCTCCTAACATTAGGGGTACCTTATTTTGGGGTCCTTCTGATAAGGATCCTACTCTTTAGGATACCATATTGGGGTCCCCTATTTTCGGAAACTCCCAGATTTAGGGTTGAGGGATGTTGAGGATCCCGGGTTGCTAGCTTACTTAGGGCAGTTTGTGCTTCTTTCCTCGGTGGTCGGGTCCGGCTTCGTCTTGAAGGGACCTCCAACAGCATTTTTGTTGCTGGTCTCCTGAGGGTATAGTATGGAGAGCAGGGTTGCAGGGGGGTCCGGAAACTACGGCCCCCCTTGTAGAGTTGAGATGTCTACATAGGGGTACAGGATTTAGGGCGAAGGGCTTGCCCTCACCTCCTGCAGAAGTTTATCCTTTTGTTTCGGTTTCGATCAACCAAGAACTTTTCCTTAAACACCGAGCATGTTCTTTTGTTGAAGCTGTGCGAGGTGGGTGGTCCCTCAAACAACCCTTTGCGGGTTTAGTCTTGTTTTAGGGCAGAGGGCTTAAACTTGAAACTCTAAACACTCCTTTCCTTCAAGGACTTCAAGTTTCACATACCCATGTGATAATCCTGATTGAGAGAAGCAGATTGGGTTTAGGACTGTTGGGTTTCAGGGCTTCTGCTCTTTTTAAAGAGGTCTCTCAACGACCTGCAATTTGCTTATTGCTCATACCTTCTGAGAGGAGTATTTAGGGTACCTGGGGACTTGTCAAGGTTTTTTGGCCCGTTGAAACGGCAAGTCAACGGTTCGCCCCGGTCCCAGCAGAACATTGAATACAGCTGGGTGCCACAAACTTATGGCCTACATACCTAAGCCCATCTAAACCCTAAACGCCTGAACCCTAAACCCCTGCACCCCAAACCCTTAAACTCGTAAACTCTCAACCCCTAAACCCATCTAAACCCTAAACGCCTGAATCCTAGATCCGAGAAAGTCCGACACGCCTAAACCTTAGACCCTATACACACCGAGACCTTGAAACCCGAAAACCCCTAAACCCAAGCGCCTCAACCAAACCCTGTACTCCACGTCACCCACACACGTAAGAACCTATCGTCTCTGATTTCTGGCATAGACAGGTTGATTTCAGAAGACGTCCCGGTAGCAGCTCTCTCATAAGCCAAAAAACGCTTAGCTCCAGACAGGAGGGGACCTGGGTCCTGCTTGTATTTCCTGATCCAGCCTCAGACACCAAGCCCCTGAATGCCCAAACCCTAAACCCTCGACCCCTGAACCTGCGATGTCTAGACAGCTACCCATTGGACTCCGCGCATTACTCCAAAACAAACCCAGGCCGGCACTCAAAAATGTTCGTGAGGAGGACGGGCCAGCTGTTCGCACAAGCGTGAGCCAGCTGTCTAGATGGCCCAAACCCTAAACCTAGACCTTCCAAAACCCCTTAATTAAGAAATATACCTTAAATTCTAGTAGGATCCTTAATATGATTTAAGGTATACTCCTTAATTAAGGGATTTTGGAAGGTCTGGGAACCCTATCAACCCTGAGCCTGAACCGTGAACAACATGGAGTGCCGGAAACTCCAGATTCTAGGGGGATCCTCGAGCAGTTCGCCTTTCTTTGTCGGATTCTCTTGTTGCTTTCGACCTGTTCGCTCCTCTTAGTCAGATTCTCTAGTGCATTTCGAGCGGTTCGCTCCTTTTTCTTAGTTCATCCCCAAGCGCTCTGCACAGTTGCAAAATAGAGGTCAGCCGATAATCCTGATTTAGGGAGGGTGCTTTACTTGTCACAAAAGCTAGGAACTTCCTGCGATATAAAAATCTAGGGTATTCGGCCATTGCGTGGTTGTATAAAGTATAGTGAGTTGAGTCGAGTATAGTGGCTTAAGGGGGGTTCTGTGAGGCTGAAACCGTTGTGTTGATTTGATGTTGGTCTTCTTGTGTTTAATTGAAAGATGTGTTGTTCTTCAGTACTTCGCTTTCAGAGATGACATGGAGCAGAGCATGAGAGATGCAGAATGAACTTAAGGAAGTTCGCAGTCGATCGGTGAGCCCGGCACCGACGCCGAGAGGGCCTAGGGCTGGAACGGGACCCGCCCCAAGCCCCGCGGCGTCCTCTACCGGACGCTATGTTGTCGATGATTGGCAGCTGGTGCTCGGTGGATACTCGGATGCACAGAGAGAGGATATTCAGCTGCGAAGAATGGCAGCAAAAGCGTGGGCGGAGGCTTGGATCTGCTGGACATTTTTCAACTGATGATGCACCGCAGCACTGTCGCCACCACGGTCAGCATTGCCCCAGCTCACCAATTGACCCATCGCCAAGAATGGCAGCAAAAGCGCATTTGGTAGCGTCTATAAGGATCGGAGTTCAGGGTGTAGGTTTGAGAAGTACCTACTTCCAACTGCTATCATTGAGAGGCTCGTGACCCAGTCTTTACAGAGGTTCTTGCTGCTGCTACTATGTCAAAACGTCTGTAAATCATAGCCCTCTTCTGCCATTCCACTCTGGAGACCCATCTGTCTCAGAATATGGTTCCACTAGACAGGCAGGCTACACGCGGGCATAGAAGACATGCCACAGCACAAAAAAACGAACAGAAGACCGAAAACAAGAAGAGCTACTACTACTACCACTACTACTACTACTACTACTACTACTACTACTACTACTACTACTACTACTACTACTACTACTACTACTACTACTACTACTACTAGCCACCCCCCCCCCTCCCAACTACACTTGTTCCATCCGGGCTGGGCAGCGGTAGCTGCTAGGCGCCTTAACTGCGATAGTTGCAGAAGATGCACGGGGTCAGGCTCTTTATCTGTGACAGCTGCAGAAGTTGCAGAGGCTCAGTTTCCTTAACTGTCACAGCCGGTGAAGTTGCAGGGGCTCAGGCCCCAAAACTGCCACAGCAGCTGGAGTTGCAAGCTCGACGGGGAAGAAACTGATAAACCCCAGGTGGTCGGAAAGTACGAAAATGCTGTAAATACCGTGCAAAACCCAGGTGCTGCCAACAAGGGTTTAACGTTTTTAAAACCTGAAGCGCAACATCTTCTGAACATCAAAAACAAAGATGCCAGCTGTATTTGGGACGGGCTCGGCAACACCCTTACCGCCCAACCTCTGCGTAGGAGGGTTTGTTTTTGAAGTGGTGTGTGTGGTGTGTGCGCGCTTGAGTGTGCAAATATTGTTCAGGGTGTCCGCAAAACAGTGTCGTGATCATCCCCGAAGAAGCTTTCCCCCACCCAATTTCGAGTTTTTTGCAAACAGTTCCAAAGAGCAAAGTTTAATACGCATAGTCGAGAAGTAGGGGCTCAGAATATGTAACAAAGTCTGACATCACGAAAGTACCGTAAATACCGAGTTAAACGGCTCTTGTGGTGATACTGCTGGGTGTGTTCGCGTAACACTGTCGTCATCATCCCCCCCCCCACCCCCCCACCCACCCCCAGAAGCAAGTCCAAAATCAAGAGCCCGAGTTTGCAAACTCGACAAGTCGATTTTTGGGCCTCTTAGGATGATCGCACATGACGAAAGTGCCGTAAATACCGAGTAAAATGGATGTTGTCTTAACATGGTTGAGAGCAAGTGTAGTTGGTAGGGGGGGGGGTGCCTACTACTACTACTACTACTACTACTACTACTACTACTACTACTACTAGTACTACAAACCCTGGAACCGAAGTCCGCCTTGGGAGGACGAATCGCCCTTGTGCTTGGAGGAGATGCTCGTATACCCCGAAGCCGAGGCCGACTCTTTCAACCAAGGGTAAAAGGAGGGACCCTTAATAAGGACCCCTAGGGTTTAGGATTTAGGGTTTAGGGACCCTTTAATGGGTTTAGGGCTTAGGGTTTCGGGTAGGGTGGGTTCAAGGTTTAGGGTTTAGGGTGTACAGGGTCACATTCCAAGGGTAAAAGGATGGACTCCTTTGAAGGGGTCCTATCAGGGTTACTATAAGGGATCTATAGTTCTATTCTGAGCTTTTCTTGAGTCCAAGGGTAAAAGGAGGGACCCTTAATAAGGACCCCTAGGGTTTAGGGTTTAGGATTTAGGGTTTAGGGTTTAGGATTTAGGGTTTAGGGTTTAGGGACCCTTTAATGGGTTTAGGGCTTAGGGTTTCGGGTAGTGTATAGGGTTTAGGGTGTAGGGTGGGTTCAAGGTTTAGGGTTTTTAGGGTGTACAGGGTCACATTCCAAGGGTAAAGGGAGGGACCCTTAATATCATAACATAGGGTTCCTTTAAAGGGGTCCTATCAGGGTTACTATAAGGGATCTATAGTTCTATTCTGGGCTTTTCTTGAGTCCAAGGGTAAAAAGAGGGACCTTTAATAAGGACCCCTAGGTATATACCCTCAATATAGCCATTATATATACCCATTCTATAGCCCATTATAGGGTAGGGGTCCCTCCTTTTCCCCTTTGATCCCAACCAAGAAGCAATGTACAACACACATAAACTAACTCTCTCTCTCTCTCTCTCTCTCGCTCCCTCGTGTCTGTATATATATATATATATATGTATGTGTGTATATGCACATTAGTGCAACAATGTGTATGTATGTATATATATATATATATATATATATGTACACAGACATGTATGTATCCGTTTAATATAGGAGTGTTTAGGTTTTTGTTCGGTTTAGCGTAGTGCTTCTAGAGTGCCATGACGGTGTTTTTTTGCAGGCCTCACTGGGCTGTGATTACAGGGTTTCGGTTTAGGGTTTTAGGGTTTAGTGGTTTTGGAAATTTGGGGCTTTGGGGGTTCAGGGTTTAGGGGTGTAGGGGTTTAGGGGTCTAGGCAACTAGGGGTTTAGTATCAGAGCGTGAAGCATGCAGGAACAAGGCCTGAGTAGTTGGATGCCGGATCTTATGCCATCAATTGGCGGAATTTTCCCTTTCGCCGTACTTCTTCTAGTACTCTGTAGTTTGGCGCGGACTCCGGACCCTTAGGACTTCGGATGCCTGTGAGTGAGTGAGTGAGTGAGTGAGGATCCCTATTTAGTCTAAGCCGTTTGGAGTGGAGGTGAGGTTTCATTGTTTTGGGGAGATAGGGTGTGCGTATTGTTGAGGCTTTACTTAGGCCATGTTTGGCAGTTTTTGTTGCCTTCGATAATTGGGGATAGATATGACTACTCGGTGTATGTGTATGTCAACTAAGCATACAAGTGGTGTGGAGGTCTGGGGCTTTGGCAATGGGGCGGGGTAATTTTGTAGGGTCTGCTGGGATCTTATATGAAAGGTTCTTCACATTGTACAAAGCGGCTCCCTTCCTCTCAACTTCGCAGAGGAGCTTGTAAACTATGATCTTCCGAACCCAAAGCCCGAAACCCTGCAGAGCATAAAGTCAAAACCCGAACGCGTGCTCCAGACCCTCACCACGAAGCCTTAACCCCGAAGGCGTTTCCAAAACTGAAAGCTTCTAAGCCTGTTGCCACTGGCCTGCCTTTGCTGTCTTGTGGGCAGTAAAGCTTGAAGATAATGTAGGGGGTCGGGTACCCAGACATTCCAAAACCCCTTGATTAAGAAATATACCTTAAATCATATTAAGGATCCTACTATAATTTCAGGTCTATTCCTTAATTAAGGGATTTTGGAAGGTCTGGGTATCTTAAGCCCGCCGAACGAAGGGGTCCCCACTTCCTGAAGCCCCTGAACGCGTGACACCCAACAAGGCGATCTTCAAGGGATTAGCCTTGGACGAGGACCTTTTTGGGCCTTGAGTTCGGGGTTCTTTAACCCTAAGGGTCCAAGTACCTTATTATCATCTACTCTCCAAAATCCTGGCCTACATAACTAATATCCTAAACCCGAGTACCTAATTATTGGGTCCTTTGGACCCTTGGGGTAAGGGTCTTGGAATCTATGCTAGAAGGCGTCTATCAGTACTTCTTTGGAGCTCGAGGGTTTGGGTTAACTTACCTTTGGTTAGCAGGGAATGGAAGAATGGGGTACAATTATACCTACTATTATTACCATTCTTCCATTCCCTACTAAACAAAGGTAAGTTAAGTGTAAGTGTTGGGGTATGTTGTAAGTTTGGGTTGGGGACATCGGTTTAGGTTCTCGGGTTCAGGGCATGGGCATTTAAAGGTTTAAAGGGAACTCCAGAAAGTTGGAATATGGTTTCAGGGCAGGATACCCTATAATTTACCATAAAGGGCTTAGGATAATCATATTCCAACTTTCTGGCTTTTACTTTAGGGCCTTGGGAGTTTGAGCGTTGAGGTCAGGGTCCCACCAGAGACTTTCCAACGCTGGGTTGTTTCACTTCTTCCCAGGTTTTCTCTGGATTTAATTTAATTGAGATGCCCGGGCATCTGGCGAGTGCAGATTTGACCCAGGCACACAAAACCCTGCTTCCATGGATGATATGCTTTAAGGTTCAAGTAGTGGATTTCGCAAATACAACTCGTTTGATGATAGTCCTCAACCCGGAGACGCTACTTTTGAGGGTACTATATTAGGGTCCTCCATCTTTGGAAACTCCCACATAGACTGTTGAGCCCATCGACCGGAAGGACGGCTGTTTGCCAAGCAAAGTCTTGGCCCAGGACCTCACAGCTCGGGCTTTGAAGGTTTTTGGAGGATTTTCACCAAAGGCGTTCATGGTTTATGTGTAACGGTCTTCAGGCGTGTTTTGTTAGAAAATAGAGGGGGTTTTATAAGGGTCTTGTCTGGGTCTGGGGCATTGCGCAGGTGGGTGTTTCTCAAGAGCACTCAGACGGTCGATTACTTTAGGAGTTCTATAAAGCCTTAGGGTTCGTAATTAGGGTGCCAAGAGTTTGTGTTTGATGACGGGGGAGGGTGTCTGCGTGTTCATGCATGGTGTTTGCAAGTCGACCCCTAAACACCAGTCCCCAAGCCGCTCCAGCAGCTTTCGTTGAGGAGTTGCTGACACCTACCTCGGAGGCGAGTCGCTGAAGAGTTCAAGGAGCTGTTTTATGCGTTTCCTATGGGTTCCTGGAATGCTTACCATGTCGGTCAAGGGGATTCCGGAGCCTCCCTAGGAGCCTCGAGGCTTTTCTGATATCCCAAATCTACCTAGAGTCTCCATTGTGGTTCTTTTTTGGGTTTAACCAGTTTTATATTCAGGATCCTAAAAGGTAACCCCACAAAGGGACTGCAATGGAGACTATAGGTAGCCTTCACGCTCAGAATCATCCAACCATCTTGTGTGGTTTCCAACACGAGAAACCCAGTTGCAGTTGTTGTTGTTCATGGCATTCTGCATTCTCCATACCTGGACCCTCAGAGTATGTACTTTTTGGGGGTTTAGCCTAAACCGTTTAGGTAAGGAAGATACTCAGAATCCCATAGCCTAGAGCACTTCAGGAAGCGAAGGATGCTGCGCATCAGCAGTGGGAATATGTCCTTAATGCCCAATGCCCAAAACCCCCCCCCCCAAAAAAAAAAAAAAAAAAAAAACCTTAACAACCGCTAAACCCTAAACTCCTAAACCCTAGATGTCACACTAAACCCTTCGTAGCCGGAAGGTGTCCATGTTCTTCTCGGAGAAAGCCCTCGAGTGCTCGCAGCCAATGAAGAGCCGATCGAAACTGGTCAGGTCCGAGTTCAAACAGGGTTTAGGATTTCGGGTTCTAGTCCAGACTTTTTACTTGGGGCGTAGGGCTTCTTTCAGTTTTGTTTAGGTCTTGTTGGGGTGTGTAGCAGAATTCAAACATAGTAGCAGCAATGAAGATACGCAGCAATGATAAGACTAATTTATAATGACAATACCCATATACAAATAATGGTGATAATGATGAATAGGTCCGAGCTCAAATACAGTAGCCTTATAGATACCTTTAAATGAACCCATAAAGGAGCTACTACTTACAGGTCCGAGTTTAATACAGTAGGGGCAGGTAACATACACAGCGATGATGATCATGATTAGTGATAATTGGTATCATTGCATAGGATTATCATCGCTGCTTTTTCTGATAATGCAGATCAGCTACTTATGGTAGTAAGAACTGTACTCGTAACACTAACAGACAGATCACAAACTGTGGGTGCCTGTGGATTTGCTCGCTGGATTTGGGCTCCAGGGTTCAACTCTTCAGGTTTTTGGGTAGTATCAGGTTTAAGATCGTAGTGGTCGTTGCGTTCTGAGTTCGAGGGTTTTGCTGTATATGGGAATTTCGCAGGACATGCCTTGCAATCGGACATGTAGTTTGCATAGGTAAGAACAACAAGCATACACATCTATATATGTATGTATATATATATATATATATGATTATTGATTTATTTATTTACACATATATATATATATATATATATATACACACACACTTTTAGATGAGTGGCAAACAAAAAGTGACGGCTGTACAGGTACGAACAGTTCTGTTAGTTCAGTAAGCCAGGACCAACTAGTAAGGTTTGCTGAAGTTGTTAATCATTGAAAGGGAGCCCCAGCCCTAAATCCTTGATTCTACATGGCAGGGGGTTCTGGTGCTGAGATAGTGCACTCTTCCCCAAATGCCGGACGTGCATACGACAGATCTTGCGGAACACCAGGGGGGCCAGGGGTGGGTGGGGGTGGAGCTTCTTCAGTGAAGCGCATCCTGCTTAGGGATCCGGATTATACTTTATTCGGGGAGTCTCTGATTTCGAAATTATGTATTGATGATTACTGGGGCCATTATGTGCTGAAGTTATGAGTTGTATAGTACTGGATTTAGCATTAGCATGCGTTAGCTGAACTCACGAACATATGATAAGAGCAAGATTTTGGGCTGTCATGCAGGCTCGTTACCTGGCGAATCGAGCGTGATGATGCGCTTGGCACACTTTTCTTCACCTTTTTGCTGCTGCCCCTTGGCTAGCCCATTCAGACGTCTCGTCTCGTGACTGCTATGTCGCGATTTGCATTTCACTTTTTCGTGTTCTGAGTTCGGCTGTGGGATGATGATGATGGACGGTTTCGAAAATACCTTACACCTTAAGCCAAAGATATGATCATTAACTCTTTCTGCCTGAACCGAAAATCCGAGTATCTTATACTCAGTTGTGTACTCATACTCTATAGGGTTTACAGGATTTAAAGGGCTTGTAGGGCTTTTCGAGCTTGCAGGGTTGAAAGGGTCTAGGACTCTAGGATTTAAGTGTCTTGGGGTGGAGCAGTTTGGGGGTGGTTTTAGGTTCATTGTCCTCGCTACTCCCCAAAACCGACCCCAAGTAGTTTGTCAAGACCCGTGAATCCTGCGCCTTACATTCTAAGTCTTAAGCCGTAAGCCAGGGACCCGCATATCTCCTAAAACCCTTGTACAGTGCCCCTATAGAGCCTTATAGAACACACTCAAAGACCCACAACCACACCTTTATACGGACATTGGAGCTGAGGCTCGTTCTGTACTTCCTTGTGCAGGCCAGTGGCTCTGGGTTGAGGGTTCAGAGTCTGCAGGTTCGCAGGTTAAGCTGATGGTTATAAGTTCCCACTCTGCATCCCTGAAAAGTCGTAAGGACCTGAGGGGGGTAGGGGGGAGGGGGGTAGGGACAATAAGGACTTAATAAGGCCTATTTAAGTAAGTATCGTCCTCCCCCCCGCTCCCCCCTACCTCCCTATGAAAAAGGCAGGTTCCTTAGGGCCCAGGCGGGGTTGAGTTTCAAGGTCGTCGACTCCTGGGATGTAGACGGTTCTTTTCTTGATCCGGTGCGCGCTGTGATCCATGTGAAAGGCTAACGATTTTAAGGCCTAGAAGGGTGTGGTAGGCACGCAATGCTTGAAGGCAGAGGTTGCGAGAAAGGTATAGAACATCGTATCAACAATAGAAACCAAAAAAATGCAATCCTTTAATCTACCCTAAGGCCCAAACTAGTTCCTTTTTGGGGTTCGTATAAAAAATCGTATAATGTAATCCGAAAAAGGAACCACTTTGGGGCCTATGGGTAGATCTTGGCATACATGTTGGTTGGGTTGGAAGGCTTTGTGCTGCAACCTGAACCCTAAAACTGTACACCGTCTCTCATGCTTTACGTCCTTTAAGGGATCTGTAGGGTTCTGCATGGCTTTACAGCTTCTTTTCTGGGTTTTGGGGCTCCTTTCAGGGATCCTTCTGGGGGATCTGGCTTCCGCAAGCTCAGTGGCCCGCCTGCTCCTCGGGAAGCCTGAGTTTCGGATCTGCTGTTACGTTTTGGGTTTGGTCAGGCCATGGGTTTACGGAAGGTTTAGAAAATATTGGCTTTTGAATTCGTCGAAAAGCCAACCTAGCCACAAGGATATGACCTTACTCATCTATCCTCTATCTATGTGTCTATCTATCTACCTATCCATCTATCTATCTATGTATGCATATATATATATATATATATATACACATGCACATATGTTATGGTTAATTAGATATTCTATGTACCCCGAAATTCCATGCAATCAGCCGCCACAGGAAAACTTGCTCATCCATAGCCGCCAGAAAGCCGAAAGCGGAGTTGCGCAGTACCTGTCCGCCGAGGGCTCGGCCAGTGTTTTAACGCTCTCCAAGAGGGTCCATCCATACCACTGCTAATGGAGTTGTAAAGGCCTCCCAAAACCATTCTTTGGATGGTCTTTCGGGGCCTCGTTCCATAACGGTAATGTATATGGACCCCCTGGGTCTTGTCGCTGCAGATACTCGCCCTACACGGGTTTGGGGTTCCGGGTTTGAGGATTTGACCTGTGGCTCAAGTCCTTGCTGATGCCATGCCTTCTAAACATATATTTTCCAGAAGACTAACCTGTAACCACTGCTATCCGCCCTGTGTATCCAACCATTGAATGTATCGGACCTTTCGGGTTAGATCGTTTCGACCTTCATTCGTAAACCTGAGTGAACCCGTCCTTAAACCAACCTGGCTATCAGGACCCACTATGTAAATACTGTGGGACACTATGACACCTTACTTTCAACGCAATAATAAGAAAGACCCATAATGTATCTCTATAACACCATACATAAACTCTGAGCCTTTAACCATATCTTCGCCTCGTCGGCAGAGCCTCCGAACCCAAATCTCTGATTTCTAAACCCTTGAAACCCCAACCCCCATAGATGCCTTCAATGATTCAAAGTGAAAGAAGTCCCAACACGCAACACGTATAGAACCCTGGCAGAGACCATGTCTAAACCTGATCACCCCTAAAGAACCCTTATACAACCGCCACAAACCATAAAACCCTATGAAGTCCTAAACCCACCCTACACCCTAAACCCAAAACCCACCCTACACCCTAAACCCTAAACCCACCCTGCACCCTAAACCCTACACCCTACACCCTACACCCTAAACCCTGCACCCTAAACCCTAAACCCTATGTGACAAGCGCCTGCGAGGCTTATGGGGGAAGCCTCACAGGCCCTTTCCTCCACGAGCACGTCGCCGACGTGTCCTCCTTCTGGGGCCCCTCAAAGCAAAGCAAAGTTTTGGGATTTTTGGTGTTTTCTCGAGGTTTTGATTTAGGGTTGTGACTTTTTTTGGTTCGAAGGTTTATGGCTCTTAATTAAGAAGGACGGTCTTGTTGGTTATTGATGTTTTTGGTGTAGACTGTACACAGGAAGCCCTAAACCCGAAGCCCGAAAACATCAACCCTAAACCCTAAACCCGAAACTCGCCATAAACAGGAGCTCAAAAAAACGAAACCCGAAAACATAAATCCTAAACTCTACGAAGGTTGGACGATTTTCTCCGGTCTCCCAGCCATCCTCGGCCAGCCGGTGGTTGATGCTTTCGGCCAGACGCGGCTGCACATCGCAGGCCCTTGGTTTTGTGATGGTTTAGGGGTATAGGGGTATAAAGTGGTGTAGAATTTAGGTTGATGTTTTGATTGATTTCGTGCTTAGTTGTGGATTTAAGATGAGGTAGGTTTAGGGCTTAGTCATAGGGGCGTAAGATGGTGTAGAGTTTTCGCACTTTCGTGCAGTCTTTCAGGAGAAATCTCATACTTTTGTGTTGTGCTCAATCGCTTGGCTTTCTGAATATATCGCTTGTTGGAGTTTCGCGTTTGCGCCCAACCCAAATGGCAACCAGGTCCCCGAGCCGAGCCTTCCAGTGTGGATGCAGATTGGTGTGCGCCTCTTTGTAAATCGGAACCCCTAAATCCAATGCCTGAAGCCCCACAGCCCTCCATAACGTGGTAAGATCTGATCCCCGAGGCCCTATGAAGTTGAAACCCTACATACCAGAATTCAGAATTTAGGAGGGTAGCATGGATTGTAGATCTGTCTTGGACGCTCGGCGATCAAGGTGCGACAGCTTTGTGTTTCATTGTAGGTTTGTAAGGCTCAGCGCCCAAGGCTCATATGTGACCCCAACCCTACCAAAAAATTCTAGGTTATCATAGCTTGAATATCAGGGCCCTTACAGCAGCCGGTCGCACATCAGGTTAGGGCGTACAGGGTTTGGGGTTCCAGGTACAGGGTTGAAGCTAAAGGGGCTTCGTTTTCCTTGTTGGACATCCCGTAAGGGAGGTACCTTGGAATGTAAGACAACAATCAGACCGTCATGCTCAGGCTTTTGCGGTACCACTATGAAAAACCAAAAGAGCACTGATTCAGTGTAACTCAAGCCACACAGGCTCCAACGTGCTTCTTGGCGACGTGATGCTGTCACACAAGTCGCAGGAGACTCTTGGGTTCAGGGCTTGAGGGTCTAGGTTTTATCGTCCTGGGGCTCGGTTTGGTCGGGGTACCTTTAGCCCATCTGACTCCTATACAGCATTTAGTATTTTTCAAAAGACTAACTGATATTGGAGAAGTAAGCTTCCGATATCGGGCTCTAAAGTTTGTGTTGTGGTTCTCTGAGTGCTATTGGAGAAGCAAGTTTTGGTCTTGAGGCTCCGATTTTGGGTTTATGGTGATCTCGGTTCAGAGATTTGGCGAACAACTGCGGATGCAACGAACCCTACTACACCCTCATAGAAGATCAGAAGATCTCAAGCCAGACCCCAAACCCCTAAAAAACCCCAAGAGTCCCCGAGTCCCTAAGCCCTTCCGGCATCCCTGAAATGGTTCATGTACGGGTTACGGGTGCCTTTGCGGTTTCCTGTAGGGTTTCCGTTAAGGCCTGTCGGTGTTCCTTTATGGGTTTAGGGTTTAGAGCTGGTTGAGGATAAGGCAGAAATGAAGTCAAGTGTCCGGCCCGCAAATCCCAAGAACCCCTTTCAAGAAGCAATAACATTTAATGTTTTAATCCTATCCCAACCATGAACTAGTTTCCTTAGCCCTAACGCGTAGAGCTGCGAGGACGGTGCGGTCGTGTCGCACTGGCTGCTTCACACAGAGGAGGTGCTTTGTTTGAGATGTCTGGGTCTAGACTGGGAGAGAGGGGTTCCCTTACAGCCATCTTGATGGGTGCTTTCGGGGGTTCATACAAACATTTGAAAAGTTACCACTTTCTGTTTCTGCGCCTCTATGAGATGCAGACTTGTCGGATTCTTTTTCAGGTCCTAAGCAAAACTCGACAGATCGATTCGGTATCGTTTTGTAAGGGGTCTGTGCTTTCAGGGGGTGGTACCGTTTTAACGGGGTGCCAATGGCTCCGAAACCAGGGGAATGAATTATCGGCAACACCAGTTCTCTGGGCTCTCTGGGAATATGTACGTGTATTGCATGTACTGTTTAGTGGCCCACCCCAAACCCGGGTCTTGTTGTCAACGCCTTTATTCGGGTCTTGCCGTAGACAAAACACTGTCAGCAGAAGGCCTGAATCCGTAATGCACATGGTTACGGCTCCGTTAGGAAAGGAACTTGCACGTGTATTGGATTGTTATGCCGACCTAGCTACGCCTAAACTCTTCAACAAGAAGAACCCGAAACGAAAGTCGAAATGTCCTGCCTGAGTAGCTGGCAATACTATTCCTGCGAGCTCCGCGTTCTGATGAGTTAAACTGTATTCTGCCCCGAACGCATATGCCAGGTTTTTTGGCGCGTCCATCTCACCCCGGCAGTACAGGGCCCAAGTCTAGAACGTAGACCTTATGCAAAACTAACAGCATCCCACAATCCAGCCAACCACTATATTGGTTAAATAGCTACATCTATCTCCATCTCTATCTCAGTCGATCGCTATCGCTATCTCCATCTCTATATCCGTCTCTCGATCTCTCTCACTCTCTCTGTCTCTCTCTCTCTCTCTCTCTCTCTCTATATATATATATATATGTATACATATGCATATGCATATGCATATGTGTATATATATATATAATTTGTTTATTCACATGTATATTTATACTCATATACGCATACATACACACAGACATCTGCAGACCTGCAAAGGCAACTGGCTCGTAGGGAACGCTGAATCGTTTTGAAAGCCGGTGGGAGCGTTGCGAGGCCAAGACTTACTTGTCCAATCACACCGGTGACTACCTAGGCCGGGTTTAGGGTTGCAACCCCTAGAAACCCTAAACCTTCAACCCGATAGAGCCCCGATGAGGAATAAATGAGCCCTGAAGGATCAGTTTCGCGTTTAGTCGAAGGTGTTGGGGGTTTAGGATGGTTTAGGGGGTGTGAGTTCGGGGTGTGAGGTTTTAAATAGAAGCAGGTTCGGTATACGGTTCAAGGCTACGTTCCTGGGTAGTACCCTCTTGCCCTTTTTACTTCCTGGCTCCCTCTCTAAAGCCAAATAGTAGGAAAAAGGGTACCCTTAGTATAAAGGGGCTTCTCAGAAACCAGGAAGGTTATCCGTAAGGGTTCAAGCTGCCCAGTGATTCGCTGGTTGAGTTTAGGATCATCTAGCTCGTCGGCACTTGGTTTCTGTGTGTTTCGGCAAAGGGAACGTGACAGATCAGTGATTTAAAGTGGATCTTCTCAGGGTTAAGAGGAGGAGAGAATTGACATACTCAAAGCTTTGAGCTTCGTCCTCAGAGCCTTGTCTTGCAAGTTCGATGTCAGGTGTAGGATTGATAATTTGAGCTTGAAGGGTCTGGGCTCGGGTTGACGGTACCGGTTTAAGGTTAAAGTTTGGGCCTTTGAAGGGGCTACAATATTCCTATGCCAAGCAGAGATACCCAACGTGCCGTACTCGCTTCGCGCAGCTTCAATCGGCATCCTGTATGTTTTTGTCAACAACCAGATCTCAACAAGATTTGAAAGTTAAGGTCTCAGTGCGTTGACATCAGCGATGTGAGAACCGATTTGCAATGTTTAGTCCTGCTAAGATTACCCAGAGGCCCCAAAGTAGTTCCTTTTTGGGCTTCATATTTAGAATCCTATTAGGTAATCCCAAAGCGGAACTACTTTGGGGCCTCTGGGTAATGCAACAAGTCGGTCTACAATACCTGTGGCGAGAACGCAGTCGGACCTGAAGCGTCTTGAACGTGCATGAAGTGTGAACACAAGGCACTGCATGGGTTTAGGGTTTAGGGTTTGGGGTTTAGGGTTTGGGGTTTGGGGTTTAGGTTTTAGGCTTTAGGGTTTAGGGTTTAGGGTTTGGGGTTTAGGGTTTAGGGTTTAGGGTTCAACTGCAAATAGCATGGACCAGGTTTCGCAGAAGCTTTACAGGTCGCAGCAGGAGACTCGTCAGCATGACACTCCCGACAGCCACGGCATCAAGAAAACCCGCAAAGATTATCTGCAACAGCAGTCGTGACGAGAGCAAAACGCACGTGTCATTCACACGGCTAGGAAAGATTCAAAAACATTCCTGAAGGCTGAATATACCCTAAACGAAACCTCAACCCCAATTGTTGCGTTCTAGTGATTTCTTCACATAAGTCTTGAACATAAGTCCTTCGAACAAAGGGTACACTTTTGGAGTTCCAGGCAACTCCTTACGCCTACCCCCTATACCCCGAGTCAACGGTTCCGTGAGTTGCAGCACCAAGAAGAGCTTGTTAGAATAGCAGTATACGATCAACATCCTAAGGCGTAAATTCTACTCCCAACCCCACAAAGGGCGAATGAATGTATATCAGATTTCCCGTGGTCGAAGCGGGTCGGATGGAACAAGGAGTGCTTCTAAACCCCAAAAGGTAGACCCTAGTGTTTGTGTGTGCCAGGCGCCGCACTGGCTGCGGTGGATGTGCTGCGAAGGCGCGAATCGAAGAGCAAGCTGTTTAAGGGCTTAGGGTTTAGGGTGGTTTACTACAGACCACTGCACAGGTTCCGCCCTTCTTTCTTGTAGGTTCCGTAGTCAAGCACCCTAATAGTGCCCAACCTTCAGACCTTTAGCTGCAGTTTTTTTGGCATGTCCAGGAAGGTCTCAGACCTCCCTATATTCCGAAGAATTCCTTCATGCATTCTATTTCGTTTGATGGTCCCTCACCTGTCGGGCAACAACCTTCTGAGAACCCAAACCCCGATCCCAAACCATCCCAAACCCAATCTGTTTTTGGGGCGGCGAGTTTCGTGCCCACAGAGACCAAATCCCCACACGAGTTACGGAGTAGCATGAAGTCCGTTGTAATGCAAGGAGTAGAACTCGTTTAAGGAGCTTCAGTTTCAGGAGGATAGTTTCAGGAGTAGTCCCTAAACCCTAAATTACTAAACCCTAAACCCAACCTCAATAATCTGTGTTGGGCCTTGGTCCTTAGGGTCTTCGCCGCAGGACGGGTCCAGATTGGAACGACCCGTACTCCGAGGAAATCGCTCTCAGCTTCAACCTCCACAACGCTCCACGCCAGCAAAGCAGACGGTCTACGGGTTCAGGCGGTTCAGGGGTTTAGGTTTCGTTTCGGTTTTAGGGTTAATGAGGAAGCTGAGACATGCCACATAAAGGCATTCAAACATCGGATGATGTCGCAGGAGATTTTCAGAGTGGGGTGCCATGAAAATTGACGACGCGGCTTGGGCACTTTCGCATTTGGGTACTTCTCGCTTAATGTTATTATGTTTGAGCCTGCACGTACCCAGAGGCTCCAAAGTAGTTCCTTTTTGCGGTTCATATTTAGAATCCTAAACGGTAATCCCAAAAAGGAACTACTATGGAGCCTTAGGGTATTGCTATCTCAGGGATCGCTTTACACATTGCTTGCTTTGTTTGTCCCGCTGGTGTCCTGCCCAGCGGGTTTGTCTCAGGTACCCATTGCCCGAACCAGCCCTGAACATCCAAACCCTCAACTTTCAAGCTTTATCCTTAACTCGAAGCACCCAAGCCCTAAGCCCTAAGCCCTGAACCCCAAACCCTACACATCGCCCATACCCCCCCCCCCCCCCCCCTCCCATGAAAAAGCGAACTGCGAAGCCAAACCCTAAACCGTCCCCAAATCCGCCCACCCCAGGCTCCCGCCAGCATGTTCCTGAACATCCAGGCGGCCTTCTCCCGGTCTGTCGGCTTCGGGGTTTGGGTTTACTTTAGCAGGCCCTTGATCAGGCTGTCGGCCTTCACAACTTGTATTCAGAGGGGTTTAGTGGCTATTGGGTCTTGGGGAAACACTCTGGGACCAAAACATGTCTACGAGTACCTTGTTGGGTTCCAAGAACTCTTTACAAGCCACCATGGCTATTTCGGGCTGAAACTTGCAGGCCCCTGTAGATGGTTTGGCTGGTAGCGTGCAACACTCTATCGGTTGTGTCGGCTAGGGGTTTAGGGTTTAAGGTTTACTGTAGGGAAGAAGAGACGGCTGAATGACTGAACTTGTATACCGTTACAGGAAGTCCAGGATGAGGATATGGTCCGGATGGGAGGAGGGGAGGACGATTGGACCGATAAGGACATTAACAGAGCATCTACCCTAGATTACCGGGGTATATGATTATTCGGAACATGTTTTGGGATTGCCGTTTAGGATTGTGACGCGCATCCCAACGTTAATGTTCATCGAATTCCCACATGCTTGCCTTGTGCGGCTCAGCAATCTTAGTAGAGCAGTGGGTTTAGGGTTGAGGGTTCCTTCTGTAGCAGCGTTTAGTTTCAGGGTGTGGTGACTTCGAGCTTCTAAATCTCAAACCTGGAATCACCAAGTTAAGCCTAGTCAGCCCTATATCTCATGTCCGGAAACCGTGAGTCCCCAGTTTATGGGAAAACCAGGATTCCGGTGTTATCGACTGCCTTCAACAAACTAGGCTAGGGCTTTTGGGCTGAGGATTTCCGGCGAGGGGTCTAGTTTCCGACATCGAGCATGTCGATCACCGTAAACGTTTCACTGCTCAGTGGCAAGACAGCTGCAGTGCAAGCAGGTCTGGACGAAACTGTGCAGTCGTTGGCACAACGGGCGCAGATTGCACTGGGAGTAGGGAAAGGGCGGCTGCTGGACTCGTCTGGAGTCGTTCTGAACGGACGCGCAGAGACCCTGAATTCCCTGATATCGAACGGTGACTCGCTGACCTTGCATGTGAACAGAATTCAACTGCAGTCCAACGGCTACTCGTTTGCTGCCATTCTCGGCGATGGATCTGTGGTGACATGGGGTGATGCTCGGTTTGGCGGCGATAGCAGAGTCAGCTGAAGAATGTGCATTATATTCAAGCTAGTATGACCGCGTTTGCTGCCATTCTTGGTGATGGATCGGTTGTGACATGGGGAGATGCTGACAATGGCGGCGGCAGTTGTGCTGTGCAGGGCCAGCTGCAGAATGTGAAGCAGATCCAGGCTACTCATTCGGCTTTTGCTGCCCTTCTTGGTGATGGATCGGTTGTGACCTGGGGTGATGCTGGCGGTGACAGTAGCTCTGTGCAGGGTCAGCTGCAGAACGTGCGGCACATCCAAGCCTCTGTCGGTGCTTTCGCTGTCATTCTCAGCGATGGATCGGTTGTGACCTGGGGCAATGCTCGCTTTGGTGCTGACAGTAGTGCTGTGCAGAATCAGCTGAAGAATGTGCAGCAGATCCAAGCCCATAGCAGTGCTTTCGCTGCTATTCTTGATGATGGTTCGGTTGTGACGTGGGGTCCTGCTGAGGCTGCGCCTTGGTATTTGAAGAATGTGCAGCAGATCCAAGCCAACAGCATAGCTTTTGCTGCCATTCCCGGTGATGGATCGGTTGTGACATGGGGTTTTGGTCTCCATGGTGGCGACAGCAGTGCTGTGCGGTGTCAGCTGAAGAATGTGCAAAAGATCCAAGCGTCTGGCCTGGCTTTCGCTGCCATTCTTGGCGATGGATCCGTGGTGACCTGGGGTAATGCTCAATGGGGTGGCGACAGTAGTGCTGTGCAGGGTCAGCTGAAGAATGTGCAGAAGATCCAAGCGTCTCACTCGGCTTTTGCTGCCGTTCTTGACGGTGGATCCGTGGTTACGTGGGGTCTAGCTTGTCGAGGCGGCGACAGTAGCGTGGTGCAGGGTCAGCTACAAGGTGTGCAGCAGATCCAAGCCTCTGGCGGCGCTTTTGCGGCCATTCTTGGTGACGGCTCGGTCGTGACCTGGGGTGATGCTAGCTGCGGCGGCGACAGCAGTGCCGTACAGGACCAGCTAAAGCCTGCTCGATAGATCTATTGCGTCCCCCATATTATATCTTTATGACATCCCTTACAGTACCCCTTGTAGTGGCCCCTTAAAGGAGCCCTATTAAAATTTTTGTCGCTGCGATATCTGTGCCTGCGTGCAAGTCGCAGAGCTTCGAGATGGTCTTAGTGTTTCACTGGCAAGATGTGCAGTGCAGAGCCCTCCGGCCGAAAAATTTGAAGCCCTCAAGGTTGAATGAAGTTGGGTAAGGATATGCGCTGTCCTGCAGAACCTCCAGACCAGTTCAACATTTCACCGTGCATTGCCCCCATGCGGCTCGGCCGCTTGACCATGTCACCGTTCATTTCCTCACATGTTTAGGCCATTTCACCAATGCACCATTTCACCAATTAGCCGTCTAACCAGCTCATCATTTCACCAGTTTACCGTTCAAGTCGCCCAAACGGTTAGTCCTGCTCACCTCATGGGGCCAAAGTAATTGGTGAAACAGGGACATGTTGAATTGGTCCTTCGTCATAAGGTACAGCTCTCCCCGATAGCTCCTGAATAACTTTCCCATGCAGCACCCTTACTCTTATTGTTATGAGCCTTTGTTGTTGCCCCACTTGGGGAAGTCCTCATTGTATTTGTTGAGCGGCGGTTTGCCCAGGTGCGCTCCCAATTCTTCCGGACAGGCACGCGACAGTTTCGGGCAGGGCAAACGCATAGTGCTGGGTGTTGTCCACCAGCAGTAATGTTGAGGTTCGTTCTGTAGTGTGTCTTTGTCAGGTGCTGCGGGCCTAATTAGGCTTGTGAATTACTCAGGCCCCTATACTTCGTGTTAAGGATTTAGGGTTCCGCAGACTTGGGCAAGGATTATGGATCATGTTTGGGGTTGCTCAGTTTTGGTCACTGATAAAAAGCCATGTTCTTCAAGGATTTCGCTTGATGGTTTTACGTAGTGTTAGAAGTCTCACGGTAGGTATTTTTGGGCTGCCACAGCTTGTGGAACGTTTTAGGGTTCAGGAGTCGCAGTCTTCGCATTTGGAGCGTCAGTTTTATGCAGAAAGTCAGCATACAGGAACTCAGCCACTGGGGCACGGTACGTGGTCCATCCACGCGTGTGCGAATTTGCAGCAACCTCAGCTGTAACGTTAAACATAAGCTCTTCCCGACAAACAAACACCCTAAACCCTAAACCCTCGACCTCTTTACCGGCCGAGTGGCTCTCTTCTCTATGTTCGAGCCCTTGTCTGAATTCATAAGGACCCCTAGGTATATACCCTTAATAGTGCTATTATATACCTTATATACCCATTATGTAGCCCATTGTAGGGTAGGGGTCCCCATTAAGGGTCCCTTGATCTTGCATGCCAGACAGAGCCCTAAACAATGAGACCAGGGTTGTTAGGGGGTTGGCACCCTAAACCCTAAACTCTAAACCCTAAACTAAAGCCTAAACCCTAAACCCTAAAGCCTAAACCGTACTTTGCGAGGCCAAGGGCCCATGCTGCCCATGCTGTTGCTTCCGAAAGATCCTGTGACCCAAACAACCTCGAATCACTGGTCTACCCATAGGCCCCATAATAGTTCCTTTTTGGGATTACCTTGTAGGATTCTACATCTACGTCTGAACCCCAAAAGGAAACTACTATGGGGCCTGTGGGTAGTTAAAGCTTCAGAGTCTGTAGTGCCTTAAGCTTGGGTTTACGGTGTGGGGTATAAAAGGTTAACATTCCCGCCCTTGGTAAGACGTCTAGGACTGTAGCAGATTTCCTGAGATCCAAAACTCATAGGTAATGCAGGAACCTGACAAAGAAACTCTGGGCTATAACCCCCAACACAGTAGGATTCATATAAGGAACCCTAATAAAGGCCCAAGGTTTCTTAATCAGGTTCCTACATTCTCATAGTACCCTTAATAGATCCCTTATAATAACCCTTATAAAGACCCCTTTAAAGGAAACCCTAAGGCCCAAGGCTTCTTAATCAGGTCCGTGCATTATCTCCTTCTCAGCGGCCCGATATCTCCTAACTTAGTTAGAAATTTATCAAATAATAACAATAATATTCATAAGAATATTAATAATGATAATGATAATAACAAACAAAAGAAGAACCCTTTGGCCCGTCGGTCTCCCTGGGATCCCAGCAGCTCCTGCCTGAGAGTTAGGATTTAGTGGTTCGAAAGTATCAGGAACGTTGGGTTATAGTGTTTGAGGTGTATGACATCCCGTGAATTTCGTAAAGATGATACTACGAATCCTAGGATGAAGCCTATGTAAGATAGTTGGGGCCTTATAAATCGCTGTAGCCGAGATTCCTATGGTGACAGCCTTAATGAATCCTTGTAAGCAGTGTACAAATACTACAGCAAGCCTGTGGAAGACGTCTGCATGGTGGCGCGGAGGAATTTGGAATAGCATCTTTTTTTTTGGTTTCTATGTGCTTGTAAGTATACCATCGTATACTCAAAAGCCCACAGAATCCGAAAACCCCCGGTATGTATGGTCGTATGGTTTATCTGACGAATGAGCACTTGTATCTCTGGCAGCACCCATATTTTTTAAATAATTATCACAATATACTTTCTTTTTTGTCTAATCGTACATCGTCTCCATTATTGTTCCTTTGTTGGCTACTGAATATCTAGCCGGATAGACCGAAACCCTAAAACTCTGAACCCTAAACCCCAAAACCCTGAACCCTAAACCCCAAAACCCTAAACCCCCCAAAACCAGGAAATCCAACGGAGACTATGACCCCAAAACCCTAAAACCTGAACCCCAAACCCTACACCCTAAACCCCCCAAACCCGGAGATCCAACAGAGACTATGAGTACCTATAGTCTTCATTGTAGTTCCTTTTTTTGGTTAACCAATTTTATGGTTAGGATCCTATAATAGAGTTTTTGGTTAACCAAAAAAAGGAACTACAACGGAGACTATGAGTAGCTTCCAAGCCCGACGCAGGAGACCTCGACGTGCGGGTGCAAGCCCAGGCCTCGATAGACAATGCTGAGGCCACGACCTTCATGGGTAGTTGTCGAAATTATGGTACCTTTAAAGGGATCTATAAGGGTTCCTTTTAAAGGGCTCCTATAAGGGATCTATGGGGTTTAGGGTACCATATGGGTAGTTGTCAAAATTATGGTCCCTTTTGGGGTACACTAAATATGAGGTGTGTATTATATTAAGGACCCAAAAGGGGATCCTAGTTTTCACAACCACCTTCATGGTACCTCCCAAAATGGGGGGTTCCGAAAATAGGGGGAACCCTATTTTGGGGTCCTTATAATAAGGATCCCACTGTTTAGGGTACTATATCAGGGCCCCCTAATTTCGGTACCTCACAAAATCAAGGGTCCTATGAGGGATTGCCTTTTTAGTGAATTTGCAAAATAAAGGCTCGTATGAGGGGTTGTATAAGGCCAGAAGCAAGCTTGTAGAGGGTTTGCATGGGGTTTGTTGCGGGGGCCCGTAACGGTTCTGCGGGGCTGTTACTGGGTTTATAAGCTCCTTAAGGCTCCAAATGACCCAGTTGGTGTTTGCATTTAGGATAGTGGTGTCGTGGTGGACAGGGCGTGTCGTGTTTTAGTTTTCATTCGGTTACAGGGAAGATCTCGAAATCTTATCCTGCAAAAACTCTTATAAACCCTTACCTAACCCCACAAAAGTAGGTAAAATAATGGCCCAATACCTATACAGGGCGATTATTCTACATACATTTGGGGGTCCAGGTAACAGCCCTCTATATGGGTAGCTGTCAAAATTGTGCTCCTTTTTGGGTACCCTAAATATTAAGTGCCGTATTATAATAAGGACCCAAAAAGGGACCATAAGTTTGATAACCACCCATATGACCCACAGAACAGTTAACTCTCGTTAGGGCTACAACTTTCATAATCCCTCAACCATAAGCCCCCCAAGCCCTACATGTGAAAGCCCTCTACATACCCCTAATTCAGTGTTTTCGGACCTCCGAGCAGTCGGCAGATCTCCGCCGTCCAAGCTGTCTTGGACATCCTCCTGGTGGTTCTCATCTCATGGCTCGCCATCGCGGAGGCCAAGGCCGGATAAGATCGGTGCCTTAAATTTAATATAATACAGGTGCCTTAGATTTACTAATAGTATAATATAGGTGCCTTAAATTTAATCATAGTATAATAGGTTTGTATTTTAAGCCCCTATATTATGTCCGTGATTTGGGTTTTTGGGCGTCGTTCTGCTCATTCTTTTTGAAAGGGAGTGCGGGGGTGAGCGCTTGGGGGGGCTTGAAGATGGAGGGTTTCGGTGGGAGGGTTGGAGTCATGTCTAGAGCCTGGCATCTGTCTCTGGGTTCCCCGGTCGTACCCCTGTGCCCTCCCGAAACCGGGGAGTCGAAGACGCGTAAAGGCCATGTCTTTGCAAAACGTGCGACTCTGCCGAGGAAAGGCCGAAATTGGGCAACATGAACCCTGAAGCCCGAACCCTAATTTGGTCTCTCCCGTTTAACTTGGTCCCTGGGGCTTAAGTTTGAAGTGGGACTTTTCGAGTTTCGGGTGGTTTTGTCTACTCTATGGTGTTACTGGAGTGTTTGGGGTCGAGTTCGTTCCCCACAGTTTAATTAAGTACACGGTAGGACCAAATTAAACTCTGAACCGGGAGGGCGAAAGCCTAGACCTCTCCATGGCTTCGCTGCTTGATCCGATGAGGATGTCATTGCTGCATTGATGCATGGCTGCCGGGCATTTACCTCGCACCTCGGAGCACGACAAGCACAGTTCGGCTCGGAGAATGCGGGTGAAGAGATCAGGCTTCAGAGTTTGGGGTTTTTAGGGTTTTTTTTTTCTATTTTGGTTGGCTGTTTCGTGGATCCCTCGACTAACAGCTTGTATTCAGGGTGCCCAAAGCCCTCCTGAAGTGAGATCCTCGGTCCCTTGCTCTTGCAGCCCCTTGGTAATTCCCACGCCTTGAAGCCTGCACACACCGGTTAGGGGCTGCAGCGCAGCTGAGCACAGTGCTGCCCAGATTCCAATTTTTACAACAGCTTGTCGCAAAGCAGGATAAACACACAAATCCACTGCCCCAGCTGGCACGCAGAGGCTTTTTTCCTGGGTTTTGCAGGCTTTCGAGTTCGTTTTGGGATCATCAGCAGGAGGTTCTAAGACTTAGGGAAGTAGCTTTGATAGCTTCAAGCCTTCCGAAAGTTTGGGTTTTCAGGCTTTTGGAGGTTCGATCTCCGGGAAGGTTTATGACTAAGCTATTTCAATTTTCAGAGCGATCTAGACAGAAGTGGTCCTCACAGGGCGTTCTAGGGTTTTGCATGGCTTTTCTACTACCGTCTGCGAGGCCTTGTCGGGTTTCCAGTTCGATTTATTGATCAGTGGTCGACTGTTGACAAGTGTTGGCCATTCTTCTCCAAGGCAGGTAAGCCCTCTGGTAGACAGTTTGGGCTTGAGGGCTTTGGCTTTGGGGTTTGGGGTTCGGGTCATATTTGAACACATTTGCTCTTGAGCCCCTCACACTCCAAAACCTCTACGTACCTTCCCATCCAAAGCCCTAAACCCTACGCCCAACACCCTATGCAAAGCCAAAAGCGCCCGCTTCGAAGGTACATCGGATTCTGGAATGCGGTGGATTGGGCCTGTGCTTCGGCAGCGATGGTACATGCTTCCGCCAAGTTGAGATCTACCGAGCTTGGGGTGGTCTGCTGTTTTTGTTGCATGGCTCAGTGTTCTGGAGCAGTTTACAGCGTTTCTGTCACCCAGACATCCAAACCTTCAGGGGATTTAGACTTTTATCGGTCGAGATCTGCTACTCAGGAACGGTATCACCGTCTAGGCCCTAGGCCCTTCAGAGTCATGGTATGTTGGATATCCAAAAACCCTCTTTCTACTAAACTGATCTAATGAGGCTTCGAAACTAGCACCTTTCTGAAGATGCAAAGCCCCCGATGAAGCAAACAAGACAGTCGCCTTATTTCAAACTCTGCATTTTAAGTATGGCCCAGGGGCTCCTGAAGCCCCACCCTGAACCCTACGGCCCTAAATCCCGCCAGCTTGGGTTCTGAGGACTACGCTGATCCTTTTTTGCTACCAACCCCTGCTTCCCAAAGCCCTAACGCCCTCAACCCCAGGGCATTGAAGGTGCTGTGTTCAATCCTCGCTGCAGGTATCAGCCCCATAAAGACCCTACAAAAGCTACCAACCCCAAAGCCTCGCGCCCAAGGCGGAAAACAGCCCTGCTTTCTCGCACTTTAGATCCCGAGGGAAAGAATCGCAGTGCCGACGAAATGCTGCCTTACCTATAGTCTATTGTAGTTTCTTTTTTGGTTAACCAAAATCTCTATTACAGGGTCCTGACCATAAAACTGGATAACCAAAAAAAGGAACTACAATGGAGACTATAGGTATCCACAATCGGGAAGAGTCTGTCTGGATTTATCCATGGATAAGGGTGCGCAAGTTTTGTTCAGCAGCAGTCGATGCCTGAAGTGTGAAGAAGAATCATGGAAAAAGCCATTAGTCGTATCCCCCTCATAACCCCTATATAACTTGAATATGAAGCAAAACCCCTAAACGTTATTCTCATTAAGGCCCCTTTACTGGCAGGTATAGGCCTCGCTGCAGTCACGGCTTGCGTTTGGGTGCTCACCGGCACGTGCCATCGTCCGCAAGCAGAGCCTGTTCTTAGGGGTACTTAGAAATATTTTTTTAGTTTTTGGTTACTATAATCCCTAAGAGGCAACTGAAATTATGTTTTTTGCTAGGGTTCTAAGTTCAGTATAGGGTTCTTGAAATGAGTTCTTGACTCCACCTGGGTTGTAGGATACTTGTGAGGTTCTTTGAGGTTCTGCACCCTTTATTGGATCTCTGACAGAATAGCTTTGGAGGAGTACCGCTTTGGTTGCGGCGCACCTGAATCGAAGCATCAGGTGATATCAGGTGACCGTCTGCGCTGAACAAAATAAAGAACGGACCCGTCGTTCTTGAGAGTTTGCTGTGGAAGGTTTCTCCGGGATTTACAGCCTGTGTCCGCAGTTTTGTTGATTTAGGGCTTCTGCTTGACACACCTTCGCCTAGTTTCTGGGACTGAATGAGACTAAGCAACGGTTTGGGATGTTGGGTTTGGGGCTACCGGACGGTTTCAAGGGCCAGTCATCGATTTCTTGAAAGATGGTTGAGTAGTTGTGTGAGTGTTCTTCGACTGTAAAGCCGAAGCCTTAAAACCCGTAGCCCTAAAGCCCAAATCCTCACATCAATGCGTTATCAAGCCATGTACCCCTTCATACCACGCTGTGAAGCTACATAAAGTCTCATCAAAACCATGCAATGGCCCGAAACCCTGCAACTCCCGAGATGACTCCAAAACCCAGGCGCATTAGCTCGGAGAACCTTCAGTTCGCACGGCAGGCCAGATTCAGGGATTAGGGTTTAGGGCTTTGGGCTGTTTAGGATTTATGGGGTTTAGGGCTTGGGGTTTCGAGCCCAGTCCTCCCACTTTGCGGAGGGTTCGATGAGACTTCGTATCGTCCGGGGGGCTGTCGGAGTGCACCTTTTTCCACAAAATCTAAGTATCGCATTGTCGAGCCACCTAATGAACCACCTGCGAGAATAGGATACAGGCACACGCACACATACTTAAACAAGCATTCATTCAACTTTGTTTACACACATGTGTACCAAGGTATGAGTACACAACCGACATTCTTTCTTTCTCGTTCGCAAGCTGTTATATCGTTGCCACGGAAGCTCAAACAGTCTTTCTTGGTTTTCTCGTTTCGTATCTCTGAAGCCATGTCGGAGTTTCGTGGTGATCATGTACCAGGTTTGCTTCGTGAACTTGGAGGGCGGGATGGCGCACTTACATTCGATGATGCTATCATGCGCATAGATATAAATGCAGAATAAAGATATACGGATAAATCTATATACATATGTCTATGTATATATATATATATATAGATATCCATATACAAATACGGATATATACATATGTATATATATATATATATATGTATATACCCTCATATGTATGTGTGACATTGCGCATAATAGAGAGCTCGGCATATGTACAAATAAATAAATATATATATATATATATCTATATATATATATATATATTATATAAAGTGCCTTACATGAATCGACAAATGTCGACTTTCCACTATTCATACATAGTTACATACACATATCTGTGTGTGGAGCATGCTTCTAGATGTAGTACAAACTTCTGATCTATCAATGACATTTTATTTGATTATATTCCTATTATTATCACCAACCATGCCTTTTGCATTAATACTCTTATCGATACATTTTAAGATAATAACCGACTATGCCATCCAAATATAGACAACAATAGCACTAGATATACGAAACTTTTCAATACACACCAAACCGATATTCTATAGATTACCAGCAACAATTGCGTTGTAAAGTGGCACATACATGTATTTATCATATTTTTATTACAGTCATATTCAGAAGAGTAATCGGAATATAGAAAGCATATTGGAATACCAGCAACAAATGCGTTGTAAAGTGGCGCATACATGTATTTATCATATTTTATTTATAACCATATTCAGAAGAATAATCGAAATATAGAAAGCATATTGATATGTGGACAAGCTAAACATATAAATCAATGAACAAATCCTCTAACAAGAACGAAATATAATTTAACACACAAGCTTAATATGTTCTTTAAGCTTATAAAGTTGTTGGCCAATACAATATATAGATATGCACCCATTTAGGAAAGCCTAGGTCTTCCAAATAATTGACTTCATATAGAGATTTATATACAATAAGATAACATATAATCAAGATTATGAAAATCGACAATAACGAACCCGTATCGTAATAACGAACATGAGATTAAAGATAAAACTTCTATTAGTATCCAATTACGATATTTAAAATTAGCAAATAACTTTCTTATACAATAACGTTATGATAAACAAATAAAAAAATATACAAGCAAATGAAATAAGCTAGATTCATTATTATCGTAATTGGATACTAATGGAAGTTTTATCTTTAATCTCATGTTCGCTATTACGATACTGGTTCGTTATTGTCGATGTTCATAACCTTGATTATATGTTATCCTATTGTATATACGTCTCTATATGAAGTCAAGCAGGGATACCCAAATAACAATCCATATAGAATTATGTAGCGTTTGCTTGTGTGTGTGTGTGTACGGTATGAAGTCTGCACTCAAGGTGACGTCGCTGTAGTTTTGATGCGCCTCGCATACCCACAAAGCTTATCATCATCCTGAGAACAAAAAGTGCTGATGTGCAAGTGTGGTATTTCGCACTGTTAGCTAGTCGTATACGTTGGCCATGCTGCGTAATGTCCCTGGGAGTGCGCATCTGCCGTGATTTACGCGCGAGTCTTTCGAAAAAAAAAAAAAAAAAAAAAAAAAAAAAAAAAAAAAAACAATTATCAGAGACTCCTGGACTGAGGTGTCCACGGCCGGAGAGTGTCAGATCTTTGTTTTTTTGGTTTTTATGTTTTTTTTGTTTTTTATGTTTTTTTTGGTTTTTACTGTTTTTTGTTTTTTATGGTTTGTTGTTTTTTGTTTTGAAAGACGCGAGCGTACATCACGGCAGATGCGCACTCCCAGGGTCCCCCGTTCTGAGAGCTTATAATTCAAGGTTCTATGAGGGAGTGTAGGGTGTAAGGGTCTACCGTGAGGATTGTAGGTATGTCCTTCCGAGGGTCCGGAATCTCGTAAGGAGAGCTCATGGGTTGGCCTACGCCCTTATGGAACCCCAAACCCTAAACCCCCAAGAGCCCTCTGAAGAACCCACAAAGCCCATGGCTTGCTTGAGAAAAGACTCCAGCCCTATCCGCTTCTGACGCCGCTGGGCGAGGAAGGCTTTGACCCGATGGCACCGACCGAGGAGCAGTTGGCAGTGATGCAGGAGACTGGGTTCTGTAACCAGGACCCTCCTTGTACCCTCAAACAGGGGTATATGGTGCCAAATAAGAGGCATTTAGGGTCAAATAGAGGGTAGATGGAGGGTCTAGGTAAGTTGGGCTTTATTCAGGAAGTGCAGGGAATTGAGATTGTGGTGTTGAGATGTCCAAATGGGACACTGGTGCCCGAATGTAGGTGTCAGGGATTGGTGGTTTCAAAGCTCTGCAACATCTCGTGGATCAGACCTACTCGTTCTCAGTGTGACGAGTGTTTCGGACAGGTTCTGCTACTTTCTGGGATATGCTTCTTTCGACACGCTGTCGCCAGGAAGAGCTCTTAAACATCCAGCATTGGCTGCTTTCCGCCAGCTCCCAAGACAACAGAGGGTTTAGGGGTAAGGATTTATGATTCTTGGGCGTCGAGAGCTTCGGGTTTAGGGCCTGGGAAGTTCCAACAAGAGCCTTCAGACAACGTGCCAGTGAGGGACATTGCATGCGATGTGTTTGCTTTGTTTTTCTTTTTGTTTTGGTGGCAGGGGGCGGGAAATATGTTCATGTGACCGTGGAGAAAGGAGTCATGGAAGGGTTTGCATTCTCACCCAACAGCCGGACCATGGCTTGCTGTAGTTTTCGGATGATGAAACCTGGGCTTATCTGTACTTGACTTTGAGGCCATCTTGCTGACCTAGCTTTTAGGGAAAGATACCTCCTTAAGTTGCATTCGTGATTTCGAGGATTTGGAGTGCAACACCTCCTCGAGTGTACACCTTCAGTATCATCAAAGTTCCGACGAAAGTCGAAGCTGCACCTGCAAGCCCAAGCTCGGTAGAAGCTCTACTACAGCCGGCACGATTGATGATCCCCTAAACCCTAAGCATTAAGACGAAGATATGAAAGCAGCCCACTAACTCACCTCGAAAACTATGATGCTCATTCCTTGAAGCCCAATTCTAGCCGGTGAAGCCAAGCATCGAGAAGGAGGGCTTAGGAGGGTGCAGGTTTCAAGGCTTCGGGTTTAGGGTTTTGGGTTCCTGAGAACATCCGGCCCAGGTGAGGATTCTCACAAGTCTCCTGACCCTGACGGTCATCATGAAGTTCTTCAAGGCATTCCTCCCTTGACTTGACCCAGGATACTTCGACTTACACCATAAATCCGAAGCTCCATAAGCTCGAAACCTAGATTCAGAACCCAGATAGGTACGACTCAACGAGATTCTTCTTGTGAGTGCAAAAATACGCCGAACAAAGGTTTTGATAACTCTAAACCCTGCAACCGATTTTAACCTTTCGCCTTAATTGCTGAACCGGAAGCCTGATACCTTTCCGCAAATAAAGACCCTAAACCCTAAACCCTTAAACCGTGCTTGAGCCAGGGCTTTCGGGCCAACCCGCGGCTTCAGATCGTCGCCGATGCCCTGATGAACAGACCCTCGGAATTGCTTTATTATGTATAAAACCTTAGGGGTACTTAGAATACATGTGTAATTTTTGGTTACTATAATCCCTAAGAGACAGCTAAAGCATAAAACATCGGTTAGTGTGTCGGGGTTTGCGGTTCAGGATTAACGGGCGTTGTCTGCAGGGCGAGCGGGTCTATTGTAGAACTTCCAAAACCCCTTAATTAAGGAATATACCTTAAGTTATAGTAGGATCCTTAATATGATTTAAGGTCTATTCCTTAATTAAGGGATCTTGGAAGGTCTGGGATTGTAGAATTTGAGGGTTTCGAAGTTGGGGTCTCCACCGCTGAACTGCCAAGCCTGATCCGATTTGGGAGTTTCCGAAAATCGGGGACCCTAATATAGTACCCTAAATTATAGGATCCTTATTATAAGGACCCCATTTTGGGGTACCCCTACTTTTCGGAAACTCCCATTTAGGTCCTAAGGTCACAAACCCCTGCTCCCCTCAACAAGAACCAGAATGGCACAACCCATGATAGAAACCTTGTCAAACTCTAAAAGCCAGAACCCCTTAGATGTGTCCCTCAACGGTAGGCCTTGGATTGCTCGAGCATGGACCTTGACAGAAGATTTCGTTGACATTTCGGGCGGAGGGTTGTGGGTCTTTTCGGAAGGTTTTAGGTTTAGGCAGCTTGCTGCCGGAGGGCTCAAGGGCATGCATGTAGCCTAAAGATGCCAACCATGAACATAGACCGATGCTTCAGAAGCACCCTTTCCCGACATGGACTGTACTCGTCATAGATGTGCAATTGATTGAGAAAGTGTGTGCATTCTGAAGGACTCTCACGTTTCTTTTCTTGGTAAAGGATTCCTACCCTAAACCCTAAACCCTAAACCCTAAACCAATGAGCCGCTTGTCACCCTCCAGCGTCAGGTGCCAACAACATAGCGACGCTTGGCTTTGATGGGGCTTGGATTTTGAAATTTCGAGTTCAAGTTAGCATGGCTTGGGTTTACTGCAATGGTTTCGGGCTTCTTGACTTGTTGTCAATTCTGAATCTGATTTCCTCAGGCTTGGCTTCAGCAAAGAGATTCACAGCATGGGCTCGGCAGAACACCAGGTACTTAAACAGTGATACAGTGACGTGCAGAAACTTCCATATCGCGCAACTAGCTAGCTCTTGCTGCAAGTCACGCTGTTGCCTATGTGACCTTCACTGCTTTCTGCACATGCACCCCAAAAACTCATCCTTCTGCATTGTGAAAAATGTCAATTGATGTGGAAGTTGGATTGATCAGTGGGAAAACAATTACTGTGCAAACATCGTGCGACGAAACAGTTGGAGCATTGAAGCGACGCGCAGAGCTTGCGCTCGGCGTCGGGCAGGGGCAGCTTGTGGACTCAACTGGTTGCGTCGTGGATGCAAGTGCGCCGATCAAGAAAGCCAGGGTGCAACATGGTGATTTACTGACCTTGTTGCGCATAAGCAGAGTTCAGGTGCAATCCGCTAATGATGGTGCCTTTGCTGCCATTCTTCCCAGTGGATCTGTTGTGACCTGGGGCAGCGTTGAGTATGGTGGAGACAGCCGCTGCGTGCAGGATCAGCTGAAGAATGTGCAGAAAATTCAATCTTCTGGCACCGCTTTTGCTGCCAGTCGGAACGATGGATCCGTTGTGACCTGGGGTGATGCTGAATGGGGTGGTAATAATAGTGCTGTGCAGGATAGGTTGACAAGTGTGAAGGAAATTCAAGCTACTGGTGGTGCTTTTGCTGCCATTCTTCACGATGCATCCGTTGTCACTTGGGGTGGTGCTGCGTACGGTGGAGACAGCAAGGCCGTGCAGAGTAATTAGGCTGAAGAAGGTGCTGCACATTCAAGCTTCTGGGGGCGCTTTTGCTGCCATTCTTGCAGATGCATCCGTCGTCACTTGGGGCGAGGCTGCGTCCGGCGGAGACAGCAGTGCCGCACACGATAGGCTGAAGAATGTGCAGCAGATCCAAGCCACGGAATGCGCTTTTGCTGCCATTCTTGCCGATGGATCCGTCGTGACTTGGGGTGATGCTGCGTTCGGTGCTGACAGCAGCGCCGTGCAGACTCAGCTGAAGAATGTGCAGCAGATCCAAGCCTCCGATGCTGCTTTTGCTGCTCTTCTGGACGATGGATCTGTTGTGTAACGATGGTGGCGACAGCAGTGCTGTTCAGGGTCAGTTGCGACATGTGCAATGGATGCAAAGCTCTTGTGCGGCGTTTGCTGCCCTTGTTGACGAAAAGTCGATCGTGACCTGGGGTGATGCTGACTTTGGTGGTGACAGCGGTGCTGCGCAAGATCAGCTGAAGAACGTGCAGCAGATTCAAGCCTCCAATGGTGCCTTTGCTGCCATACTGGACGATGGCTCCGTTGTGACCTGGGGTCATGCTGGGCAGGGTGGGGACAGCAGTGCTGTGCAAAGTGAGCTGAAGAATGTGCAGGAGATACAAGCTTCCTGGAACGCTTTTGCTGCTATTCTTAGTGATGGTAGTGTTGTCACCTGGGGTGATGCTCAGCATGGTGGCGACTGCAGTTCTGTGCAGGACGAGCTCAGGAGCATAGCAAATCTCCTATGAGTTGTAAGGCCCAAATAACCTAACTACCTTTTTCAGGACCCATACAAGGAAATCATAGCAAGGAGCCCCAAAGGTGTAGGTTTGTTGGGGTCCAGGTAGGGTTTAGGGCCTTGGTGTTTAGGGTTTAGGGTCCTCGCTTGCGGATCCTCCCAGAAAGGTGGAGCCCTCGTCTGGCTCGTTCCCGCGCTGCGGGTTTTGGATCCAGAATATCTAGGGTCTTGGATATATATATATATATATATATATATATATATATGTATGTGTGTACATTATATATATATATATATATGCTTTGAGGGGGTACCATATACATATATGTATAGACATATACACACACATATATATATATATATATATATATATATATATGGGGGGTTTTAGGGTTTTGATGGTTTTGGGCATGGGTTTGGGGTTTTAGGGTGGCCATGTACAAAGAGGTAGCTCTTCAGGCACCCTTTTCTGCTAGACGCCCCGCTTTGGGAGAGGGGGTCAGGATTCTGCGTTCCGGGCAGTATTACCACACAGGCTGAACCTACATCTAAGGAATCTAAGGTTCTGAGATGCCTACACAGCAGCCTACACAGCAGTTGACACTGGATTGTGGAAGAGTCTACGTATAACCTTCGCATTAGGGGGTTTCCTCCAGTCTAAGGCTTCATGGTGAAACCCATAAAGTTGGAACGTGGGATAACGACAAGGATATGTAGTTAGTGTGGGGTTCTTATACTTCACCAAGAAGGCATGGTAATCATGACCCAGGTTTCTCTCGCTTCTACTTTATAAGGTTCTGCGAGGGATCTAAAAGGGTTCAATAAGTCTCCCCGTAACACAAGCGAAACCTGCACCACTTCAACTAATAGTCTCTAAACGTTTGAAGTCATAAACACTTGAAGTGTTAAGCTGCAGCACCTTCAACCGCCCCTCGCCGAAACACAAAGAAAACCGAGCTACGAAGCAAGGCACTTCTTTATGATCTTTTGGACTCTGCGCCTGCGATGCAATTTTGGGAGGTTGGTGGAGGGTACCTGAAGACATGCCAATCCCTACCGGGTAGGGCCAACAACCTCCATCGGCGAAGGTTCATTGCTGCTTGGTAGTCAGAAATCCAACATTGGAATTTCAGGGCTCCTACAAGTCAGTAATCTTTCCCTGGAAGTGTTCAACTCCTCATTGCACTGGAATTGTTGGATGGACGGATTTTGAGTACCGCAGGTATGGTCAAGACGGATCAAGGGTCCCCATGTCAAAAAGTCCCTGCCCGCAGGGTCGGAGGTTGAGGAGAGCCCGTGAGTTCTTGCCTTCGAGGTCGGAGAAGTCCTCGTTTTGAGGTTACATTGGATGTCTTTCCTGCGTTGTTCGTGTCCTCTAATCAATCTTGGGCTGCCAAACAGAGAGCAACTTGAAGGGGCTGCTCTCAAAAGACGACCGAGTAGTGCGTAGTTTGTTCCGTTTTGAAAGCGCCCCTCCCCGTCTGCAGTCCGGCATTTAGGGCTGATGGTTGGCTACGGAAGATATCCAATTGTCCAAGAATCCGTCTCTATACAGAGCTTCAGGGTATTCCTGACGCCATAAGACATACAGCTCTGATTTAAGTATGTCTTTCCGCCCCCCACACGTGCCCTCCAGCCTCAAACTCCTGTCGAAGTACCCCGCGACGCGACGACAACATCCGGAAACTCCGTCAAATTCTGTCAGGGATCCTACCCGCGATGAGACCTGTAATTAAACAAGAGATCTGGGCGTGTCTGAGGCAATATTCTCTGAACCTTCCTCTTCTGAAGCCTGAACGGAATAATTACTGATCAGCCTCTCTCTCCCGCAAGTGGTTTTGGATTTTCAGGCAAAAAGTTCTTAGCCTTACCCGAGCCGGACTGCTGATGCACAAATCAACAAGAAGAAATGCATCCATACATTTGATCATAGCTTCTTTTACAGGGTCCCCGAACAAAGAAGATCGGTTGGGGTACTCGGGTACCCTCTTGAAGGGATTCCTGCTACAGGAGGTACAGGGCCCCGTCTACTCTGATCGGAAGAGACCAGACTCTCACCTAAGTAGTTCCCTGCGCTCTCTGAGGTTCTCGTGTTTTGCCGTGATTGCGCACGTGCTGCATCTTGGCCTGCCTTCACTTCCATTTCTGCAGCGTACACCCTCGATAGCTGATGGACACAGTCCTGCGTTGCCTTAAGACTCTGGGACCGATAAGAGCAGTGTGTACGGTTAATTACGGTTAGAAGTACCTTAATTGGTGTTATGAGTATAGTTACCCTAATTATAACCCTAGTTACTACGTCCGTAATCGGCAAGGCACGAGTTAGTCCAAGAACCGTAGGTGGTGGAGCGGAAGGTATAGAGACGGCATTGGTCAAGGTTACCTGCGCATCACAGTTCTCAGGATACATCTGGAGTTACTGGGCACTTTAGGCTGTGCTCTGTTTATTTGGACAGGATCTCCAGACTGGCAGAAATGTACACTTTGCGTATCTTCCAGCAAATGAAGAGAAGGGCATGGAGTGGTAGTGCTACTGGGCGGTCGAGAGGAAGGGCTGTTGTGTAGTGTAGTCTTTAGGGAATGCCCTAGGGTTTAGGATTGCTGAAGCCCTAAACCCTACAAGGCATTGATGGTTTCCGGGGAATGTTTGCACACGCCCTGAACAACAGGCTGAAAGTAAGATCGCGCCGGCGCCCTTCCAACAGGGCCAATGTAGGGTTACACAGACCCACAAGGAATTCGATTCAAAGCAGTAAAATGCCGCACAAAACGCATCCTACCAGAACCACTGTGGGCTAAAGCCATCCGAATATCCAATACAAATAAACTCCAAAGCAAGGCATGCTACCATGGTAAAGGCCGGGGTAGGGGTAGCAAGGGTTTGCGCTTGAGGTGTTAGGGCTGTTAGGGATGATGATATACATCCTGCATTACCCAGAATATATGGAATATACCATAATTCCGATAGTTTAGGGTCCTTAAGGTAATGCATGATTTATATCATCAACCGTAGGGATCAAGGGTGTGTTCATGAGACCCCGAGTGTGTTAAGGAACGCTGGCTTCAGTCGATTGTCCTTAGCACAGCCTAAATATGTAATTTCCTATAATTACTATTTTGGGGGGGTTCATGATTATTGGTGCTATTATATAATAGCCCCAAACCCTATTCTAAATATTAAGGCCCCTACATTATGGTTCCTACAAACTCCAAAGCTGTCCAAACCGTTGATACGAAGCCTTTTCACGTTTCGGGACCGTGAGCTTTTCTTTCGTTCGGTGTTGCGGAAGTATGCTTGCACTGGCTTAATTGCTGCGTCTGGGGCAGTTGCCGTCAGAATTAGCGACACCCCAGAAGGGTTACACGTCACACTCATACGGTTTTAGAATTTAGTTTGTTTGGCTTTAGGATAGTTTGTTGGCGCACGGGAAGTAGGGTGGGCAGGCATCATTCGGGTGTAGGTCTCAAGTCATCCTTAGAAGCGGTTTAGGGTGTAGGGCCTGGGGTGTGCAAAGGGTTGGGAGTAGGATAAACCGATAAGAAAGCAACTGCTACAACATAGACCCCTCCTAATCGTGAAGATCCCGTCAGACAGGAACCTTAAGTTTGCCTTGTTTGGAGGGACGTGGTTCTTGATGCGCTCTCTCCTCACTCTTTCTCTCTCTCTCTCTCTCTCTCTCTCTCTCTCTCTCTCTATCTGTCTTTTGTGTTTGTTTATCTCTCTCTCTCTCTCTCTCGCTCTCTCTGCTCTCTATCTCGTCATTTCTTTCTTTGCTTTTTTTTCTTTCTGTCCCTTTCTCACACACGCACACACACACACACACACACACTCTCTCTCTCTCTCTCCACCTATCTCCTTGTTTTCTGAGGTTTGGCAACGACATCGTGGAGTTTGCTTCTTTAGCAAACAGCTTGGAGGTGCCTCAGCAGAGACTATTGGAGTTCCAGGCATTAAGTGGCTGCTAGTATAGTTCCAAAAAAGGCGGATCCTGATTGTGAGGACACGCCCGCTTCAACAATAAGCACGCATAAAACGGTCAACCATGCAAAAACGCGTTGACTGCAAGAAGCCACCAGTTTTGCTTGAATGCTTCTGCAAGTGGGTGTAATTGGGGCAAACTTGAAAAAGGCCTCAGGTTTGCTTGGGGCTCATGGGTCGGGTGTGAGGGTTGGGGGGGGGGGGGGGGGGGGGGGGCTTGAGGTTGGGAGGCTAAGTTTTAGCATTACTAGAAGGTGTCGTTTCGGCTGCAGGGCATTGTTTGGGGGTTGGGGTTGAGGGCTGGGGTTTGGGTGTGAAGGTTTGGGCTTTGGCGTTGAGGGTTTAAGGTGCGAGCACAAGGATTTTAATGCAGGGGCCTTAAAAATAATAGTACAAATAATTTCCTATATGCTATTTGGATGTTCCTTACCATAATTGTAGTACAGTATCTCCCAAAACCCTATTCAATTCATTAAAGGCCCCTGCATTAGGCTACACGCAGTTGAACCCTGGCAGGGCCTCAACAACAGAAAGCCCTAAAGACCTAAGCGTCCCAAAGCCCTAACCCTGACGTCAAAGCCTAAAGCCCAGCGACCCTCAACCCAAGCCCCGACCTGCCCGAAAGCTCAAGCACAGAGGTTTAGGGGTCTTGGGTTTAGGGTTTAGTGTGCAGGGTGGGTTTCGAATGACCGAGACTTAGTCAGCAAGCTCAGTACCCGGTTCTTCTGTGGACTAACCTCCTAGGCACCGAGCAACCTATTCTTGAAGCCTAGGCAGTTGAGGGTCAAGTTGAGGGTTTACCTGCAGGTCTTTGTATACTTTGGGCCCAGTAGTTATCCTGCAGGAATATTAGAAAAGGCTTGCTTACATTCGAGCCCTAGAGACCAACCTACATGGACTCCAAGCCCCTAAACCCCTAACTCACTGAAACCAGGCTTCGATGAGCACCTTGATGGGCGAGTTCGAGTGGTATGTTCGGGCATCAGGCTCGAAACACCTTGCTGTGATGTGGGGAGAAGCTTTGTGCTTAGGGTTTAGGGCTTTGTGCTTAGAGCTTCTCCGGTCTTTGTGGGGTCTCCCGATTCAGAGGGGAAGCCGCTGAAGCCTCAAGAGCAAGACTCGGATGCCCTTGGCATATTATAAAGGGATACTTTGGGTGGCTTCTAGGGTTAACGGATCACCCAAAAAGCCAGACACGAAATCCTAAATCCGACCGCCCTACACCCCGAGCCCTCAAGCCCCCAACCTTGAACCCTGAAATTCGAAGCCTGCGCTCCCTCAAAACTATAAACCTTAAGCCAGGAAACGCCTCTCAGATCACGGGTTTTCGGGTTTAGTTGAGGCATCCTCAACCCTACCCTCACCCCGAAACCCAAAACCCTGAACCCTATACTAAACCCTAAACCCTAAACCCTACCCTCACCCCTAAACCCTGAACCCTATACTAAACCCTAAACCCTACCCTCACCCCGAAACCCTAAACCCTGAACCCTATACCTTACCAGAGAGAGAAGCGCGCTTGAGAGGAGTCAAGTCGGGGCTCATGAACTCGGGCATGCCTATTGCCTCACGGTTTGCAGTCATGGGAGGTCTGCGGTCCTCTTGGGGTTTGGGGTTCAGGGTGTAGGGTGTAGGGTTCAGGGTGTAGGGTTTATAGGGTTTAGGGTTGAATTAGGGTTTGGGATGGATGGTCTTGCTCCTCCTCGATGTGTTCAAAGGGTTCAAGGTCTTCGGGCTCTGGGGGTTCAGGGTTGCAGTTTCATGTCAATTGGGTTGATGATTTGGGAGTTTCCGAAAATGGGGGACCCTGATATAGTACCCTAAACAGTAGGATCCTTATTAAAAGGACCCCAAATAAGGTACCCCTAATTTCGGAAACTCCCATTTCGTTTCAGGGCTTGAGCCTTTGTGGAGTCCCTTTTTGGGTACATGCGACTGTAACTGCTCATGGACAAAATCCTGCATTACAGTACCCGTTATAAGGAATATACCATAGTTCCCATAATTTAGGGTCCTTAAAGGTCATGCAGGATTTTGTCCATCAGCAGAATCTCCGTCACCTGCACCATGAAGCCGAGCTCTCAAGGCCTAGAGTCTCAACCTCCCCTCGCCTCACTTGAGTAAATCCAGACTTAAGCCGGCACCGAGAACTCTTAAGCCAATTACCAGCAGCATTTTGGGGGTTCCTTATTATAAGTATGGTAAAATGGGCCCCAAAACCCTATCCTAACTACTAAGGCCCCACAACAGCCTGAACCCTAAACCCCACATCCTGAGGCCTCAAGACCCTAAATCCGGAACGACCCCGAACCCGAGTGACCGCCCCGAGGTTGCAGTGCACCTCTGGTTCGCCGGGACCTCGGAAGGATGCCGGAGTAGGTCTGAGGGCTATTTGGGTTTTGGGGGGGCTTTAGGGTTTCGGGTTTAGGGCTTAGGGCCTCAGATTTAGGAGTCAGGGTTTAGGGTTTCCCAGGAACCCCTAAGTACCCTTCAAGGGGGATGTTGTAGAGTTGTGGTTTTGGTTGTTGTTAAGGGCTTGGGGCTTTGGGCCATGAGGGCTTAAGACTTCTGGGATCACGGTTGGGGAGTTAAGGTATGTATCCTCCTATGACATCGCACCTGGCTCGCCGACAAAGGTTCCTGGCGAGCTTGGACAGGCAAATTAACAAGAGGCGCACAGCTGAGCCAAAGCGGACAACATGAACTTGTTTCCTGCGCTACGGCCGCTATGTGCACCGGGGTGTTGCCTCGCCACAGAACAAACGACGCCTTGGTGGAGTGGCACCTGTCATGCAGCCTCAGGACATAGTGCTTTAACCTTTACCCCTATACTGTACCAACCTCAAACCTCTAAAACCCGAGCTTCGTAACCCCCGGAACATCTAAGCACCCTTGACACAGTGACCGAGTAAACTAAACGAGGCCTTTTAGTTTACCCTAAGCTAGAACAGCCAACACCCTAGACTCTCGACTTTAAACAGGTGGTGTACATTTGCTTCGCCTTGCTCGTGCTGTTCAACATGCATCTTGGCTGTGATGGTTACAGGTCGTGAGTCAAGGTGCGGGGTTCTAGTATGTCTCACAATCGCTTTTACACATGGTTCAGAATTGAGAACAGCAAGAGCAGTAAAGTGCCAGGAGCATAATCAGAAATCGAAATCATAAGACAGAACAAGTAGGATCAACGGTAATAATTACCGACCTTACTTGGTCAAGGAAGAAGCCTTTGAGTTTTTACAGTTCTGTATTTGATCTTTCTTGAGCTGGCCTTGAAAAGAATCACGGCTGGAGTAACTTACCTTTGGTTAGTAGGGAATGGAAGAATGGTAGTAATAGTAGTTATAAGTTATAATTGTACCCCATTCCTCCATTCCCTACTAACCAAGGGTAAGTTGTTCGGCCAACTGCAAAACCCAACCCAAAACAGGCAGATCTTGTGCCGTAGAGTACTATAAAAGTACAAGTGGTGTCGTGGAATTTTCTATGTTGCGAGGGCTTTCAGAGCTCGGGCCGCTAGGGCTTACGGGTTCAAAGTCAGATTCGGGGTTGCGATATTGCAGCTTAGAGTTCAGGGTTAAGGGTAAAGTTTAGGATGTACTTAGATTCACCAAACTGGCGTCTACTGCAGGTTACATATCCACTCTCTAGGACCAGAAGGGCTCTATCATTGGGCACTGGGGGGCCCTGGTATGGTGTGGGGGGTTTCGCAGCAACACACCCTTCGAGAACTGCGCTGTGGCCTGTTAGTTTGATACCCGTATAGAAGTAGAACCCCTATATATACATATATATATATATGTACAGATAGATAGATAGATCCCTTCATCGGGGTCCATCCCCACAGTTCCATACACGCCAACTCTTAGGGCTTTCGGTTCTTCTACAGCCCTCAGAGTTTCCACGAGGTCACGGGAAAACCGTCAAGTTTGCTCCAGACTCACCAGTGCATGTAGCTTTACTCTCTAAAGACTAGAAGCCTAAACCCGGCGCTCCCCAGCCATAGCTCCGGAAATCGGCGGATCTGGGGGCAGCTTCTAATCAATGTATAGCTCCCGCGCATGTGTTATCGCAGGGCGTATGGCAGCAAAGCTTCAGCCCAACCTTCAAACCCAAGAAACCCTGAAGCCTAGAACCCTACATAATGTCTATGTCTATGTTCTAAATTCTTACAAGTCTTACCTTAACCCGGAATAACCTACCTTTTTAAGGACCTATATAAGGAATTCATAATAGGGAACCCTAAAAACGTAGGTTCTTCAGGGTTAAGGTAAGCCCGAAGACCACAGTCAAAGCACTGAGGCTGCTGGCCATGGTTTTGGACAGCTACGCCGTCGCAGCCCAGGCCGGCTGAAAGAAGCAAACAGCAAGTGCAACACATGGGTAGTTTCTCAAAATTAGGCTCCCTTGTTGGGTACCCCAAAAACTAGGTGCCGTATTATAGTAGGACCCGAAAAGGGACCATAATACTGACAACCACCCACATCGAGAAGAAGCCTAAAACCATAGCCCCTAACCTTACCGTTGGTTAGCAGGGAATGGAAGAATGGTAGTAATAGTGGTTATAATTGTAGCCCACTCCTCCATTCCCTACTAACCAAAGGTAAGTAACATCTTTAAGACCTGTAATCCCCAAACCGTAGACCCCAACAACCTGAAGCCTTAAACTCTGATCTCCGAGCTGCGGCGCAAAATCTAAACACTGCAAAACCGCGAGCCGCTATCAGGAGGTTTAGGGGCTGTAGTTCTTAGGCTTTCTATCATTCCATAAAGTAATTATCGTATGGCAAACAGCACTTGGAACCTAAACCCTCTGTTTTTTGGGCATTTGAACAGACCCTCCAGAGCACTTAAAGGATTTGGGGGGGCGCGCAACAACTTATATCGCTGCTGCTACAAACTACCCCTGAGCCTTCAAGCATGTTTGAAGAGTATAGAGTTTGGGTCTTAGGGTTCTCTTAAGGGGCATAGGGTTTAGGGTTTGGGGTTCAGGGCTTTGGGGGTTGAAGGTTTAGGGCTTCATGGTGTTCTGAGGATGGTATTTTGGTTTTCGGTTCTGGGGTTCTGCTCCTTGTCATAACTATATTGGGTTTTGCTGAGCTTCCGAGACTATGACATGAGAAGTTTCAGGTTTAGTGCCGTTTTTTTGGGTGCTCAGGAGGTACACCCTAAACCTTGAAGCCTGGATTTGGGGATCTGTGGCATGCGGCTTTTGCAAGCCTTTCGGCTCGTGGGGGCTCAGGGTTAAGGCTTGTAGAGCAATAAGTGTCCAGGAACCCTCCCCTAAAGGCCCTACCCTAAGGCTCCGAAAGGGGTCATGGGCTTTGTGGGGGAGGGTTTGGGCTTTGGGGGCTAAGGTTTGGAATCTCACTACGAGGGTCCAGGAGCATCAGGGTAAATGCTAAGTAAGCTACATGACGACAATCCTAGGCTCCTAGACGCAGGTGCCGTATGTAATTTAATTTCAGATTGTTGAAACTCAATACACACGTATAAGAAAGTTCAGAAAGCCGTATGTCATTAGGTTCCGTAAGGGTTTGGGGTTTAGCAGAGTTCAGCACCATGAGAGCGAACAGCCAGCAGTTGGTGTGGCTCCTGGGTCCTCAGGCACGGTTGTGTTATGAAGCTTGGGCTATTACCCTGCATATGTGATCATACTTCTAGATACCTGCCCCCAACCCTTCTCTGTCTCCTGAGGCACTTGTAGACCCCTACGCCGTAAGCCCCTAAATCTGCACAACCTAAACTCCTAAACCTGCAGGCCCGTAACCTTAGCCTTGAATCCAGTGCTCTAAATGTGGATCCTTACATAGAAATCTGATTATTCGTGCTTACTATGCCTTATAGTATACTATTCCCCCTCCGAAAAAACAAAGCGGCCCTAAACTAAGCTTCTCCCCTGCGTTGGGGCGCAGGTGCTCACCAAAAGAGCCGATGCCCCCACGATCGTGGTCCAGTGTCCCGGCAAGAGTTGAGATTAAGGATTGCAGGTTTAGCCTTACGCCTCAACCCACCCTAAATCCCTAGGCCCTAAACCCTGAACCCTAAACCCGAACGCCGTGTGAAACCTATGAGAAACCAGTGATGAAACCTGTGAGGAACCTGTGGGAAACATATGAAAAGCCAGTGAAGAAACCTGTGAAGAAACCTGCGAGGAACCTGTGAGGAACCTGTGAGAAACATATGAGAAGCCTGTGTGAAACCTGTCAGAAACCAGTGATTAAAGCTGTGAGGAACCTGTGAGAAAGATATGATCCGATGCAAAGTGTCGGGAGTCGTGGCACCGAGCGAAGCTTTCAACAAGCCACCCTGGTGCAGCTAAGCAAGAATGGATGCTCTGCCAAGGATCGTTAACATCCCCCCCATCCCAAACAACAGAGCAAATCAGTCCCTGAGCTGTTCCTGCAGAGGGTTCTCCACGGAGAACCCTGGAGATCGAGCGAACCCTCAACCCTGGCCTTTGAACCCATAACTCAACCCTTATCCTCTCGACCAGAGCTACAGTTGGCTCTGCCAGTGAGCGTTGCCAAGCATAGAGGGCCCAAGAAGATGTGAATCAGGTTTACTACAGGCCATGCCCTTTCCCCATCATTTGCATGGAGAGGCCTGAACATGTGGTCTAGCAAAGAAACTCCCCCAAGCGCCAGTGTAACTACTCAAGCCTCTATATTATGTACACCCAAGACAGTGCTGAGGACCTTTCGATACATCCAACGATGGAAGGACCGCAGATGATGGGCAGCAGCTACTTAAACCTACGAAGTAGGAAGTGTGTAGAGGTCAGACGATATGTCATGGAGCACTTGCATGCTCACGGTCAGCCGTCCAAGGCAACCCCGAACCTACATGTAATTCAAACCCCGCAACCCTCGAACGTTCTGACACAAAGAGCCCCTGACCCTCCATCCATGACAGCAAGTCCTACACGGCGACCCTCCTTTGATATGACCTCTAGGAGAACCCAGCAGAAACCAAGGGCTCTCCGTAAACAACGCATATGCTGTAGACTATCCTTAAGCGCAAATTGGACGCACTGCGGATCCCTAGACCCTAATCCCTAGACCCGAAGCATTACACCCTAAACCGCCAACACCCTGTAAACTAGAAAGCTAAATCCTTTGGGCAGGAGACCTTGAGATTTATCCCTCTCCGTCATGTGGCGAACCAGCTCTATGACTTGGATTGTCATCGGCAGAAGGCGCACCGGGAGTTAACCCTTTCAGTGTAGTTGGGGTTTTTGTTTCTAATGCTTCCTTTTTATAGGGTCCATGCTCCAATAATGGTGTACATTATATCTTACGTAATAGACCTTCACCCAACATGTATGCTGTCTGGGCGCATGGATCCTGAGGGGGGGAAGCTATTTCTCTGCGGAGTATTGCTGTTGACGGTTCAGGGTCTGTCTTGAGTCTCAGTGTCTACAGCAGGGCTTGGGTTCAATCTGGAGTGTGTTGTTCTTTGCTGAGCTTCCATTGTTTGGCGTTTAGCGGTTTAGGGTGTTTTCTGTGTGATTTCTGGTGTTTGTCGGTTTCCAGGTCGCGGGTCTTGGGGATACGGCCTAGACTTTCGGTTTCGAGTGTCGGATTGCAGGGTGTTTTCTAGAGCTTGGTGTTTACAGGCGATTTGGGGTACGAGCTTCGTGCTTTTATTGGTTGTACATTGGGTGATATACAACCATATGTTATATATATATATATGTATATATATACACACATACATATGTACAGAGTTGGGTTTTGCCGGCCCGAAGCAGGTTCTTCTTCTTGCAAACCTACATGTTGCTGCCCGCCGTTAAGTGTTTGGACAGATCTGTTGTCACCTGGACGAATATCGAATATGGAAGCATGAGTACATTGCTAGTAATTCCATAGGGCTCCGTATGACAATCATAGTATGTAAGCCCAGAGCCCATGAAGCCTCTTTGTTGTAAGAACCCCACTGAATGCCTACAAGGCCATACCTAAACCCTAAACCCTATGCCAACTATAAAGGCCTCGATGTTGGGTTCTAGATTCGCTTGTCAACATTCCCTAGTAGTGCCCACAGCTCTTTTGCTGTCGTTTCTCTTTTAGAGTTGCATGGGTTTGGGTTGAGGTTTATTATAGCGCTTAACGGCTTAATTAAGGTTTAGGGAAAGCCTTTAAGCCGCCAATTACGGGTGGACCTAGTTTGACAAGCAGGCTGCAGACAGAATCGTACGAGCAGAACAAGCAGAAGCCCAGTGTGGCCCACTTCAGACAAACACGCGGCCTTGAGCGCATTGCTTCGCATTGCCCTAAGGGTAAGCCCTAAACCCCTACACCAAACGCTAAAGCCACAAACGCAGCTCTTTGACAGTTCCACTGCCAGAGGGCTTGGGCCAAACGAGCCTACACTCTTTGATCTCGGTTTCTAACTTAGAGAAGACAGAACCCCAAAACCTGTCCTCTAGCTTACCCAGAGACTCGCAAGCCCCGTAGATTTAGCAATAAAACCTTACAAGGCAATAGCACCAAAGCTACGAGTTAAGGAATAATAGCTCAATTGAGGCTTCTTAGGGAACCCGGAAACGAAGACTTGTGGAGGTTGTGACGGTGACGTCGTTGCAGGAGGTGGGCTTGATTTTCGGGCCATCCTAGACCCTAAACCCTAATCGTAGCCCTGCCCCGGGTGAGTAGACCCCCCTCCAGAGGTTTGAAAAAGCTGCTAAGTTGGCCTCCCTGTGTAGCCCTTGTAGTCAATTCTAGACCGCTTCTCTCAGGGACAAGTTCCTTGTCGATGGTTTCTGGCTCCGGGTTCCCGGAGTTCGGACTTCTTGGATTTGGGAGTTTCTGCCCACGGATTTCGCGTTTTGATGTGAAGGTTCGGGCTTCGAGTCAGAGACCAGGAACCCATATGAACCATGGAGTCATCATAGGGTTCTAGTCATTTTAGCCGAATGGGGTCCTTGGGTATATCTTTATAGTATAGTTGCATGTCGGAATGCTTTTCGTATTTAGTCAAGGCCCCTGCATTAGGGTCAGTGTTCGGGTTCGGGGGAGCGTATATAGGGATCCGAGCATTGCTGAGTGTAGCTTTGGTGTATCTTCATGTGGATGCCCGAAACAGAATACCTAAACGCTGTAAAGGCCTATACCCCATAACCTCATTCTACTGCTATTCAGTCCGTATAGTGACTACGGATAATTGTTGTTGTGTTAATACGATAGGGACATCTCGATGTTTACAGCCTCGGAGCATAAAACTGCCAAGCCGCTCAGGGCCGCGACCCTTGACTCTTGGGAGGTGTCGAGATCTAAATGTAGTGTAGATTTTAATTGAGATTTCACTGTAGAGGAGCGGATATACTTTCAATATATAGACCTGGGCGCCCTGAAACGCAGCCTTGCAGAACCCCTTTAGGCCCCTTCGACGATAAACCTCCTTAAAGCACCCCTTATGGGTCCCTATATAGGGCCACGGGTATGGATTAGAAGCTGCCCCCACCCTGTCATAGTGGTATAATAGGAATATAATAGGGCCCTAATATATTATAAATATAATCCTTATGGTCACTATTACAGGGTGGGGGCAGCTTCTAGTCTAAGGTATGGACCCATAATGCAGCCGCGGATCTTTTCAACAGTGTCGCAGTGAGCTGGGCATGCCAGGCCTTCCCACAGATGAAGCGGAACCAGGTGCGATGGATAGGTCATTCAGTAGAACTTCGCTGTTAGGGTCTTGGGTTTAGAACTTAGCTGCAGCTAAGGCCGAAATCCATACTAAGTTAGAGTCTTCAATTCTTGATTCCTTGGTCTCGGATTTTGGACAGCTCTTTGGGAAAGTCACATCATTTAGTTTGTTCAAGTGACTACTACCGAAATTTAGCTCATACTGCTGGGCTCCTAGAATCTGGCATTGTCCTAAGAGTAAGCCTTTCGTGTCCATAAGTGAATAAGGAACTCCGAACTATCCATCACTGCAAGTTAGTCTCTATTGTCTGGTAATCTGGAGTCAGGCTACAATACCTAAACCCTTTATAAACCCTAAACCCCCAAATTACCCCCTTGGTAGCATAGAAATCATACACCGTCGGTCCGAAGCCCGCTGTTGTGGCTGCTGCGGCTGTCGGGTGTAAGTATCGGGTTTAGCTTGTGCTCTATGGTTTTGGGCGGATTGGAGTTGTCGGGTCGGTTGTTAAGTACGTCCCAGCTATTCCCTATATTTAACCCGAATATGCCTTTATACTCAATTCTGAAGGTGAAGGGTCTAGGTAGATGGCTCGTGTTTTAGCCCGAGGCTTGAAGCCCTTAGCATCCAGTTCCTTCTTCGCAGAAGGCATCGCTTAAATTTTGAGCATCGCTTTTACATCCCTCCCCTGGAGACCCCATCATACAATCCAAATTCAGGTCCGTCAAGCAACAGGTGGTTTGGGTTTCGCAATTCGTCTTTCTCCCTATGGGTCCTGCCCCGACAAAACCCTGTAAGTGCCAACTAAGCACATTCTCTGTCATGTAATATGCCTCTCCACTTGAGTGCTAAACCCTCAACCAGCCTGTAAGCCGTTTCATATAAATCCTAAACCACATATCTACACATTCTACAAACCGCAGACGCTAAACCCTAGTTAACCCGTATATAGATCCTAAACCTCAAACTCAGACCCTGATACGTTAGGGAAAACCCAACTCGCGCGTTTCTGAGACGCGGGGCCCCGATTCCTTCACAGAGCCTGTGACAGCCCTACGTCAGTTTTTATCCACAAGGGCCTTGGGATGCGATTCGATGTTGAGGGTCCTTAATTAGGGTTGAATACGGTTGGGGTTTATAGGGTTTGGGGTTTAGGGTTGAATACTGTTAGGGTTTGCAGGTTAAGTGTTTCGGGTGGAGTGGTTTTGTAAGCGTCTGCAGGGTTCGTTTGGACACAGCCCTGCTGACAAGGCCCACTGGTTGATGCGCACACTCTTCCAAGAGGACTCTTCCCAGCCAATGTGGGGTTGTGCCATGATAAACCCTGAACCTAAATCCTCAACCCCTGAAACCTATCAAGCCTGAACCCCTAAGACAGTTCAGGGTGTAGGAGGGGTTCAGGGGGCTGGCGGTTTAGGAGTGCCGTGTCACTTCCAACCTGCCTGCAGCCATATCTTATGTACCGCAATGACCCATTAGTTAGTTAACTGGAGCCCTAGGGTAGATGAAAGCCCAGACAAACACCTCAACTCTTAGAATAAACCCCAGGTGTTCGACATTTCACTTAGATTAATGTTCCCGGGCCCCTGGGTTCTAAGCTCAAAAATCATCAGTTTTTTTTGGAACTCGCCGCAGCATCTATATCTTCTCATTGTCAGGTCCGACCATGCCGGCGTCCTGCAATATCAGTTACTTTCGGGCTTCGCTCGCAATACCTGAAAAAACACGAGGCTAGGGTATTTGCTGCGGAATATCTCTCGAACATCTGTATATAAGCTACTGTACATTACCTCCTCACTCCATTTAACTGAGTAAGGCTCTACAGTATTTTCGTAGTAGTATCTCTTAGGGGCTGATTTTGGCAACCAGGTGTTTCTTCATCGAGTTGTTGCGGTAGCTGCCTCTAGCACAGGACTAAACTACATGCATGTGCTGCATGTGCATAGTTGAGGGAATACTTGCACTACCCTGCAGTCAAAGCCCTACTTCAATACAGTCGTCTCCTCCATCTTGCAAGATAAAAATCCTCGATCCTTTGCCCCTAACCCTAAATCCTAACTCCGTACTTTCAGACCAGAATCCTGCACCTGACGCGTTGTGCCCGCAAACCCTATACCCGACTCCGAAGCCTGCAACCCTCAACCCGAGAACAGAAGCCGTGGTAGATCCTTTGAATGGGTGGTTGTCAAAATTAGGGTCCCTTTTTGGGTCCTTCTTATAATACGGCACCTATTATTTAGGGTACCCCAAAAGGGACCTTAATTTTGACAACTACCCAAATGGCGTTTGCGGGCAGGACAAGCGAGCCAAGGCAGCGATGGGACTGCTTATGGGCTGATTGAGTTCTGCACGGGTCTTATCCTACCAGGTCCTGAAAAGGTTCCGCAGGATTTCACGGGTGTATGGCCAGCCGGGTTTCAGGGTTTGTAGTGGAAGCCAAAAGGCTAGAACGACATATGTTCCCCACATGCAACATCCCGAAGCAGTGAGAGAGGAAGCGTAGCATTATTTACGCAACGTTTCGTTTAGAGATGTCCAAAGGTATCTGCGTAGAATATATGATGCGCATTGACTCCAAGATTTCTGAAACAACGGGGCTCGGCCATCGCCCTTTGGCCCCCGGTAGACCCTGTAGACCCTTCGACGTAAGCCTCTCTTACCCGATACTCCGTGGCCAGAAATCCTGTGCAAGCCCAAACCCGAACCCGGGCCCCGGCCTGGGGGGTCCAGCACTTCTTGGACTCTCAAAACTAGCTTTAGGCTTTAGGGCTTAGGGTCTCGAAACTAGGAAAAGAGATGCACAACATTAGGTAAGGGGCCCTATGAACCCGAATAGACCCCAAACCCCAAATCCGAAGAACCCTTAGACGGAGGGTAAAGGGGGCCCTCCGTCTTTTTTGGACACCTGCGAACCCGGGAGGCAACGCAGAAGGCGCTGGAGGGCCAGGACTACGTGTCTTCATCTAGTTATCTATATATAGGTTGTTTTTGTATTTTCCTGTGTTTAGGGTTTAGGGTTAAGATTTATCCATAATTGGCTGTTTTATGTGTTTTTCCGGAGGGGACGAGAGAAGGAGGGTCAAGGTTAGTATTGGGTGTGTATGTAGGCCCTTGGATGCTCGATACTAGGATTTGACTTGACTTGAGAGCCGAGGTATTTACAGGGTTTACGGTTAAGGCCTAGGGGTTTAGAGTTCTGTTTTTTTTGTTTTTTTTGGTGTTCTTGGGCTTTCACAGCAAAGTTTTCAGCTCAAACACCCTAAATCCGAACCACGCGGTCTCCGAGTAAGTGAGCTTCCTCGTGCCGCCATTGGCCGGAGATTTGTCAGAAATGTTCCCACTGGGTACCTGGCTTTATTACATGCGGAGGCCGATGACTCTGGCAGATTCTGCGATGGTGTCGACGGTCAACTTCGGACACCGTGCGGGAGCTCGTTTTCCCAGCTGCGAGCCTGGCTGTGTGATTTGTGAGAATTGGAGGGTCACCAGGATCCATGTCTTCACGGAGCCGGATCAGGAGGGCCCCCCAGTGGCACCACAGCAGCCACAACAAGAGGAGGATCAGAGCCTACGCCTAACTCGGTACAACTCTAAACCTACCCTAAACCCTAAACCCTAAACCCTCAACCCTAAACCCTAAACCCTAAACCCTAAAACCCTAAATCCTTAACCCAACTCGAAAGCTTCACATTCCCTGGAGAGCAACTAAGCTAGACTCTACCTTGCTTTGGGGGCCTACAGAACCCTACATTTAAGTTGACCCCCAAAGTGTTCCCTAAGCCTTATTATTAGGCTTTAAAACCCTACATGAACCTTGAACCCTGAACCGTAGACAATAAAGCCCTACATGAACCTTGAACGCTGAAGCCCCAAAGTGCTCTGAACCGCTGCAGGATCAGAGGCATTTCTTCTCCCAGGATGCTGAGACTTTTGAAGTCCTCGATTTCGACTTACAGTTGGGGGTAGAGTTGTGGGGTTCAGGGTTTAGGGTTTCAGGTTTGGGGTTCAGGGTTTTGAGTTTAGGGCGCGGGAACAGCCTGTCAGCCTTGGGGGGAGTATATAACGCTTTCGGAGTGTCACAGTCCATTTTCTTGCTTCTGGGCGTAGGGTGGGTTTCGGGTTCGGGATCCTTGCCAGCCTGCAGGTCATGATTTGCAGATTGCCCCAATCCCTTCAAGGATCGAAAGAATACTCACCCCTTCAATCAAAGGCACTCTGCCATCGGTATGGAGTACGGTATATAAGCCCTCTACGCTGAACGCTTCTTAATCAGGTTCCTACATTAAATTGAATTCATGGGCGGTGGCCATTCTAAATTCACACTATTCCTTAGTTAGGGGTTTTGAAGTTGTTGACTTCCTTCGTTTTCCTGCAAGTGCGACGGTTCCCCCATGCAGCTCCGATTCGACCGTCACATCCTGTACCTGACTGTCGCAGACTGCATCCTGAAATCCTGGCTCCGGTAACTTGTTGGCGACGGCATATGATAGCATGTAAGAGCCTACCCAGTCTCCCAAAAAAATCCTAGATTTGCCACACTTAGGTGGGGCCCGATGCCCGAATCCCCCTCTAGGCCCTCGGCCGTCAGAGCTGCGACGGAATAGTCCAACCAACTCCAGCAAGAAAGAAAAGAAAGCTCACACAAGGAGGGCCCGGATCCAAGCCAAATAGCAGCAGCATGCGTCCCCGTCTTCAAGGCGTCGTACTTCGGATTTTTAAAAGGGAATGCAAGCTCATGGTCATCGTGATGATGATGATGATGACGAACTTCTTGAACATGGCAATGTTGACAACAATATCGAAATCCAAAGCGAGAATATATATATATATATATATATATATATATACTAGCAGCAATCATATTCCCAACACTAGCCGTCATCATACTAACATTCATAGTTGTCGTAGTAGTAGCAGCCATAAACCATTATCGTAATCAGGATTCTGGTGGCCTTTGTGGTGCTCCCATAGTTGTGATAAACATTGTATGGTGCCGACGATAGCTGTTAATTGGAGTCCTACACCTCCTTACCTGGTCACCCAGCGCTCTGTCTGTAGTAGTCTTGAGGCTGCTCTGCCGTTGCCCTAACCATGAGATTACTGAAGCCTGTGTCCGTTAAACTAGCCTCTTCTTTTTGAATTATGTTTTGGTCAAAGCGTCGCTTGTGAAGATACGGTCGTGTTAAGCATTCATGGTGATCGAACATCCTATTCAGCATTCATGGTGTTCGATGATGTTCCCAGCTACTTTCCAGACTATTACCGTGTTACAGCTGGCTGGGCAGAGCAAGAAAATACAACACAGCCATGAGCACACAACATAATGTATCAACAGGTACAGACAGGGACAAACACATACTTGTTCCTAAACCAGGTAAAAGCCGTAATCCCCATAAAAGACAAGCAAGCAAACAACTAGCAAAGCTGTGCCTGGTAGAAGCCTGTAAAGTGTAAAGACCCCAATCTACTGAACATTGTTGTCAGGCCGCTGCCTAATCCCTAAACCCTTTCAAAACTTTTGAAAGTTGTTGTCAGGCTGCTGCGGAGTCCAGCTCGCAAGAGCTGCTGTCTCGGCTGTCGGTTTTGGAGGCGAAGGCGGCAAAGCTGAGACGAGCAAACAGAGCTTCGGAGTTACTAGTAACAACGTTCCTGAAAGTCCCTATATATACTCATAACTTCAAATTTTGTCTGTATGTCATACGATATACGACAGAATATACCCCAAAACCCTGTTCCCGAGGATACAGAGTTTCGGAGCTGTTGGCTGGTGAGACCTGCAAGGAATCTTTGAGGCTTCAGGGAGCATTAGCCGTAAGCCCCGCAACTCCCAAATCCCGCATCCGATAATCCCCAAACACTAGTCTATGTGGTTTTCCCCTTCACAGGGCTCTTACAGTAGCGACAGGTTTTCGGGGTCTTCTTTACAAGGCTACGTGGCGTGGAGGTTTGAGGTTTGCTCTGGATTTGCCTAAATGGCCTGGCTTGAGGATCTGTAGGGTTTAGGGTTTAGGGTTTAATAGTAGTTCCTTTTTGGGGATTGCTTTATATGAACCCCAGACAGGAACTACTACGGGGCCTATGGGTAATTAAGGCCATCAGGCATGGTTTAAGGTTGCAGGGTGCTTGGCAGACATCGGGATGTAGGGTTTAGTGTGTAGGACTTGAGGGGTTTAGTTAAGTGCGGTTTGGGGTTTAAAGTTTCGGCGCCGAGCGTGCAGAGATTGATTGGGTCTCTCAGTTGCAAATTCACCCAGCCACAAGACAGTCCTGCCGTCGCCTGTGCTTTACGATAGGACTTTCCTCAACCGGATCTGTGCTGCAGTGTTGAAGGAAGAGCCATGACATCCATTGTGCAAAGCTGCAGGGTGGCTTCTCTCAAGCTTCATGGGAAACGAAGCCATGCACAAACAGAATCTGAAGCAAGCACACCGAAAAAAGCATTACACCCCAATTACAAAGCCGCAAATCCCAAAGCCTTCAAGCCCCATGCGCCACATACGCGAAACCCGCAAACTCCAGACCTTAAACCCGTCGTGTCAAAACACAAACTCGAGACCCTAAAGCCCTAAACCCCAAAGCCCCAGACCGCAAGATCAGCTTTGCGATGTGTTTGTGGTTCAGGGCTTGTTCAAGGGCTTTCATTTTTGGTGCTAAAGACTTACTTCTGGTCTTAGTTCTGCCCTAAACTAGAACCTAAGCCAATACGCCTGCGCCAGCTGTATTACAGGTCAGTAAAGCCCTGAATTCACGGAACGTAAACTTTGCACCCTAACCCATTCGGTCAAGTCGTCAGGTGGATGTCCTGTATGGGCAAGCCTACACTGGCTTGCTGAAGGAGGCCTGGACGTCAGGGGTTGAAGATAAGACGTCCTTTCTTCTTCTGTTGTATGTGTATGGGTTTAGGCTGCAGGAATGCAAAGTAGCTCTTTTCATAGGGTTTACATGCTTACAGAGGACACAGACATTTAACTAGGGTTTGGAGGTCTTTTGGGAGTACGGTTGGGGGCTGCTCAAGTGCGCAAGTTTGTTGGCTGCAGGGAAGGATCAAATATTTCGCATCCAGGAATGGTCCCGTAAGTTCAAAGCCAAACATTCATTGAATTTATATATGGAATCCACGGTGTATAGGTTTGGAAAATCGCAAGCGGCTTCAGAATTTTGAGGAATTGTAATGCTAGAGATTTCTGTACTTTCGGCTACTAGGGTTTGGTGGTCAAGGGTCTTCTCGATGAGACTTCTAATCTTGATGGTCTGCACTGCACGGATTCAGGTCTTTAGGCTAAGAGTTTATCTTGTCGGCATGACGGCGCTTGATTATGTTTCAGGTTTGGTATATAAGATAGCGCAGGAGAGGAGCATCAACAAACTACAACATGGCGGTACCGTCTCGTTGAGAAGGTTGCTTACCCAGAGACTCCAATATCCCTTAATTAAGGAATATTCCTTAAATCATATTAGAGACCCTACTATAATTTAAGGAATATTCCTTAATTAAGGGATATTGGAGTCTCTGGGTACACCACCCATGAGGCGAGGATGAGGCCCCCGAACCCTTCCACCCAACACCCTTCTGCCCTGCAGCCCCTAGGTTCTGAGATTAGGCGCCCTTGGTTTAGGGTTTAGGGTTTAGGGTTTAGGGGTTTAGGGTTTAGGGTTTAGGGGTTTGGGGTTTGGGGTTTGGGGTTTAGGGTTTAGGGTTTAGGGTCACTCATAAGACTTCAGACTTTTGGGTCAGGGTATAAGGTTTGGTTTTGGGTCGGTCTGCTTTAAGGCTTTTGGAGAGGATTGCATTCGTCTTTAATGGAACCTTCCTAGGATTTGTGCTTGCTTGAGTCTGAAGTTCTGTTCAAACAGCTTGCAACTGACTCTCGAGGTCTAAGTCTGGGTTTCAGGTATACGTACTTTCTGGAACAAGTACGAGGCGCGATCCATGGTGCGCGCACGGATCAAGTCGTAGCCAGAGCTTGCCAGTTGCCAGTGCAGAGTTTAGCACGTAAGTAGGGCTTAGGATTTTTGTTCTCGCGGGTCAATTTTTCACGACTCGAGATCTCGCCATATCTGATAATTGGTAGGTTCCTCATGGAAACTACCTATCTAGACTCTCACAACAATTCGCGGACGTCGGGAAAAGTGAGTCTTCTTAGCTCCGGTTGGTCTTCGAGGGATCCTGAAAAGAACAGCCGTGGGATTCCTGCCACCGCAGCCATGTCGAAAAGCTTCTCCGGCGTGAAGCGCACAGCCTTGAGCCTTGCATGGTTTTAGGTTTACCCTATAAGGCTCCATAGTAGTTCCTTTTTGGGATTACCTTATAGGATTTTTAATATGAACCACAAAAAGGAACTACTTCGGGGCCTTAGGGTAAGGCTCTGAGTGTAAAGCTCGAGGGCATTCGGCTTGTAGCGTTGGGGTTGGGGGTTTATGTGTTGAGCTTGGATTTTGCATCGTGCGGCCTTCAGAAGCGTACTTAACGTGGAGCCCTGGTCCAAACACCCCTTTTTCTTGCGGGGGGCCATTGAACACTCGGATCACTTTGGAGTTTTGGTTGTTTGAGCCTTGGAGTTTTGGTTGCTTGAGCTTTTTGTGCAGCATGTCAAGTTGCGTTCACGGTGTAAGTGCAGATTCTGCAGGCTTGGGTCGATTGTTTCGGGTGTTTAGGGCTTAGGGCTTCGTGGTGTCGGGCTTCAGGGGTGTAGGGTTTTGGGATTTGGTGCAGCTTTTACGTGTTGAGGGGTTGGGCTTTAGGGTTTTCTTTTTCCAAAAAGGTTTCAGGGTGTTCCGTTTGTTGGAGGTCCCGTTGCTTGCTAGATTGGTCTAAATCACATTCGTCGGTGGTTCTGGGCAGGTTTTTCTGTTTTGCAACTGTTGTTTTGCTGTCTCCTTGTCTTACGATGCATGGGATGATATAGGGGCCTAAGTAATCATCGATACTACTTTGGAGGGTTCCTTATTTTCATTCTAGTATAACGGGCACCAAAACTCTATTCTAATGGTTCAGGCCCCTATAGTACTGACGAACCCTAAACCCTAAACCCTGAACCTTCTTACTTGATGTTGCCGGGATCCCCGCGGATGCTGGACAGTTTGAGGATGGTTTCGGGTTGAATCCTTTCCCGAAGTCCCAAAAACCAACATTTCTAGGGTTCCACAAGATGATTTCCTCGTATACCAGCGAAAAAGGTTTGTTTGTTGCTTCTTCTTCGGTTCAGAAGTTGTCGTTCTTGGATGTTTCTAGGAAGAATTTCAGGCCAGGGTTTTGCTTAGTGTTGGATCTTGGCTTGACGGCATTGGGTTTAGAGTTTAGGGGATAGATATGATCAAGCAATTCGGAGTCTGTTGCAGGCTTGGGGTCTACGGTTTAGGGTTGCGGCTTCGGGTTCAGAACTTGGGGCTTAGGGTTTAGGCTTAAACCGCAAAGAGCCAACAAATTAAAAAGGCCCTTGAGCGAACCCTGGTCTTAAACAAACGATACATGAAACACTGCAAGGAACTTGAAGCGTGTAGAGCTTATACATAAAAGCATTCCAAAAGAGTCCATATACACTACTACTACTACTACTACTACTACTACTACTACTACTACTACTACTACTACTACTACTACTACTACTACTACTACTACTACTACTACAAGTACTAGTACTACTACTACTACTACTACTACTACTACTACTACTACTACTACTACTACTACTACTACTACTACTACTACTACTACTACTACTACTACTACTACTACTACTACTACTACTACTACTACTACTACTACTACTACTACTACTACTACTACTACTACTACTACTACTACTACTACTACTACTAGTACTACTACTACTACTACTACTACTACTACTGCTACTGCTACTGCTACTGCTACTGCTACTGCTACTGCTACTGCTACTGCTACTGCTACTGCTACTGCTACTGCTACTGCTACTGCTACTGCTACTGCTACTGCTACTGCTACTGCTACTGCTACTGCTACTGCTACTGCTACTGCTACTGCTACTGCTAGCTTGAAAGGTAGCAAGCCCTACTGACGCGTACTTGAGTTGTATGTTCTGATATGCTGCAGCTCGCGAGTGCTTACGATTGCATGCTAACTTGAAACCTCGAAGGTGTTGTATAGTGCAGGACTGACAGCATGTCATCACGTGAAAAGGGTCAATCTGCATTGTGTCATGTACACAGTTTCATGTGGAGCCCAGGGGTTTCAGAGGGACGTTCGTTTCTCAACTTGCTAGCGGAGCTGTCGGGTGTTCGTTCAGGGCTCATGTTCCTCTCGTGCCTTGCCATGTTGACCACCCTTGTGTTTACTGGCATTGGCAGCGTAATGCCCAAGACGATTTCCGACATGAAGCTGAATAACGAGACGTACGCAGCCAAAGAAGCATTCAACATCCCTGATGGGATTGATTCTGCTTTGCTTGACCCGAACGCGAGCGTTAATGACACAAACATGATGAACATCTTGTCGATGCATCGTGAATCTGATGTTGCTCTATTTGCCAAAGAAGAGATTGCACAGCTTCTTCATGATCAACAAGAGCTTGTGCAGATGCTACGTGAGATTGATCGTCTTCTGGAAAACGGTTCTGATTACGGGAATGGCCTTCCTGTGAAACGTGAGTTGCGGAGTTTTCCGGAGGATGACCAAAACGACGACTTTGCAGGAAGGAGTTTGGTGATGTATGATTCCATCCGGGCTTCAGCCCAGGACAAAAGAAGGATGCATGATGTACAGCAGTTGCGTGAGCGGGTGAGGCGTTTTCGTGAGCAAGCTCGTTCGCACTTTGAGTCACGAATGCCTCCTTTCAAACGAGCGCAAGATAAGAATATGCACCTTAATACTCTCAAACGTCTTTCCCGCAAAGAGCGCCGACTGCAAGCACGCGCCAGTGCTAAGTCCAAGGTCAAGTCACATCAGGGTTGGGTCCAAAGGTTTATTGCCAATAAATGGTTGGGATTGGTTTTGCTGGTTTCCCTGGTTCTTTCTTACCTCGCGTACATGATGCCAGGCGCACCGCATAGACCAACAGGTTTTGGCAACGGACCGCGGCAACACGCCCATGTGGGCGATGCCGGACCTCCATTCTTAGGCACAGCTACCCTTAAAGTGCCTCCGGCATGGAGTGTAGAACGTAACCACCATTACTCCCTGAGATCTTGGATTAGTGACCTCATTATGTGGTCAACGGCCACTGACGTTGAACCTCAACGTATGGGTCCTATCGCCGCGCTTCAGGTAACCGGTAGTGCAAAAGAACTGGTGCGTGAAATCCCTCCTGATCAGTTGGCAAATGGTGGTGTAGACCCGGTAAACGGCAATCAAGTTACGGGTTTGATGATGTTGGTTCAAACTCTAGCCCGTCGGTATCTGCCACTGGAACAGGAGCAATCCACCCGTGCCATCAGTGATTTCATGAACTTTGATCGGATTCCTGGTGAGAGCGTTGATGCACTGCTTGTGCGGTTTGATGTGCTGCGAGCTCGTGCTCAACAACGGGGCGGTTTTGGGATCAATCACGGGGGTTTGGCTTGGATCCTCCTTAGGTCCCTCAGAACAAATGCTGAACAAACTGACCGTCTTTTGCAGTTCATGGGTGGAGCGCTTCCCAACAACGATGCGGAAATGGGAATGCTCATTGAACGCATTCGGCGACAAGGTCATTTGTTTGAAGGCGGGCTCAGGCATCCAAACCAGCAAGCAGGAGTTGGAGACCCAGGAAATTACCATGTCCAGCATAATGTCTACTCCTATTTCCCTACCTTTGAAACCGCCAATCATCCCAACGCGTCAGCCTGTGGAAGTTTCTGTGCGGGTTTCGCGCCAAATACAGCCGCCCGTGAGGGCACGGCCGGATTCAGCGCACACGGCGCATATGCAACAGGCTTTGATGCTGATATGGGTAGAATGGCAGGAGGCTTGGGCATTGGTGATGAAGGTCAGTGTTCCTACTGTGGTTTGTATTTCGAGGATGATGACATGTCATCGGCAACTGAGTCCGACACAGGTTCGTATGACGCTGATGCCGCATCGTATGCCACAGTGGAAGTCGATGGCCAAACACGCCATGATGATGATGCAAGGGCAAACGCACTGTATCAGGATTATGTGATGGCCCGCAGGCGTTGGCGTAGGTACTCTGGCAAACCTCCTCGTAGATACCGTCGGTATGGTTTCAAGCATGGTGCAAGGTTTCAATCAAAACTGGAAAGAGGGCCGTATGCCAGAACTTACTCAACTTTCCTTCCGCAAGGGGCTTTTGCAGGCGGAAAGGGAGGAAAAGGTAAAGGTAATTCTGGTGGTTTTCGCCGAGGTCCAGGTGCATTGAATCCTCGCGGTAAGGATGGACAAATTATGAAGTGTGCAAAATGTGGTTCCACATCGCACTTGTGGCGAAAATGCCCTCAGGTCGTGTCAGGCAATCAAGCAAGTGCATCAGGCACACATTGGGCACAACAAACCAGCGTATCCCCAGCCTTAGCTCTTATGACCAATGCTGGCAAACGATCTGCAGTTGAAATGTGGCCATCGGCCAATGCAGCAGGAATGCCAGGTCAAATGAGCGGGGTTGCATTTCATTACTTAGCTGGTAGTGGTTCTTCTGCACCTTCTCAGGTTCCATCCGAGATTGGATTCCCGGTAGCCACGCCGTCCAGATACGGTTCGGGAATAGATGAGGAAATGCGTAGGTTGGAAACCGCTTCCCAGGTGAGTAGTACCAGATCTCAGAGATCGCAAAGGTCTCAAAGGTCGAGGGCATCGCGAGATGTGCCCCCACATTGGAATGCAGATACCGAGCATAACCCGGAACCATCTCCAGAAGATGAGCCTGCAAGCAGTTCAAGCGCCATATCAGGTGTCGCAGCCGTTCAAGCAGTAGGTACAGGCAACAGGCCACCAAGGTTTCCACCCCCAAACGAGCGAGCACCGAATGAAGATCAACTTGATCGTCAGCGTTCTGTCTTGGAACTCAGCTCTTTGTTGCATCACGCGTGGTGGGAAGGCGATGCTGATGATTACAGCTCCTCTCAAGAGGTAGCCGGTTTGTACCATCAGCGTACACGCCTAGAAGGCAACCGAGTTGGATTGTTGGTTGACCCCGGGGCTCATGATAATTTGGTGGGTGGTCTGACTGCAGAACGGATGGCTGAACAGGTTGGCACGCCGAACCGGCAACTTCGCATGTCCAAAAGCTTGCAAGTTGAAGGCGTAGGGCAAAATTCCCAAAGCGCTGAGTATGCAAGCCGTGTCACTTTGCGATTGCGTGATGTTGATGGTTGCGACGTGCCTGGAAGCTTTACTGCACCTGTGATTCATGGTTCTGCGTTGCCGCCTTTGCTAGGTTTGCGTAGTCTGAGGCGTGTGTCAGCGGTGTTGGACACAAAAGGCCAAAAGCTGTACTTGCCAGGTGCCGGTGGGTTGAAAATCGAGTGTTCACCCGGAACTCGTGTGTTCGATTTGGAACTCTCTCCATCCGGTCACCTCATCTTGCCTATTGATCGTGATTTCGGAAATCAGCCGAATGACAAAAGCCGCGAATCCAATGTGTTGGACTTTGCTATGTCGGTTCGTGATCGTGCGCGCTCCCGTGAAACATCGGTTGCACGCAGCAAATCGCCAGCACACAGGGGTGCAGAGGAGGCTTGATTAAGGCCGAAACACTTGTAAGAAGCTCTGATGCGCCCCTCGCCTGGATTGTTTCAGACAAGAATGCTGAGCGCCAGAGCGTGTTGCAAACACACGGTTACACCACATCACATTTCCATCACGACTTGCATAGCAAAGGTCACTTATCCTATTTGTTGCAGCTAATACAACAACAACGGCCGAGTTTACTCTGGGTAAGATTGGCTGGTCCTGTAGCGGGTAGCGGAAATAAATGTGACGCGCAGCGCACTTTACACTTGTGTGCTCTCGTTCAGGCCCAGCAGTCCTTGGCGGGTGTGGTTGTATTAGAGGCAAATGCCCGAAGTCAGGTTTGGAACATGCAAAGCATTAAGGGTTTGATAAATGGATTAACGATCTCCCAACATAGTTGGTGTAAATATGAAACCCTTGGTGCCTCAGATTCCAAGCGTGTTCCGTGCAACAGTGTGGTGCAGCTTGCGACCAACTTTCATTTCCCCAGTGCGCTTTGTGAATGCACCACGCGTGCCGATCATGTTGACTCCAAGCGCCTAGGAAGAATGAAAGATTGTCGTTGGAGCGCAGTGTTGAGTAACTTAGTTCATTGTGCAATTCAGGTGTTGTCTTCAGGCCGACAGCGTAGGCAACCCGAGTTGAAGTTGAAAGCATATCGTCCGAACTTGGATGTCCAGGTGAGTTCACCGCAATTGTCCCGATTTGTCGCTCCAGCATTTCCCTCGACGGTAATGGCACTACCTGATGCCGAGTCATTTGCCAAAGCATGTCGGTTGAAAGGTGATTTCTCGTGGGATACTTGCTGGAAAGTTGCGCGCGCCACACCCTTGATTGTTAAGCATGAGCTTCGTGACATAGTTTCCGGAGCCGATCCGCATGGCGAAGCCTTTGCGTTTGGTGTGTATGCGTACGGGGCCTTTGCTGGAATTACAAATCTCACCGAACGTCATTGCGAGTTCGTTCGCTACTTGAATTGCTGTCTTCGTTTGCGTGATAATGACACGCGATGGTCCAGCCTAGCCCTCAACTGCAACGCCAAAATGAAGCCACACAAAGATGTCCACAACTTAGTGGGCAGTATCAACCTCATTGTGGGTTTTGGCGATTATGTTGATGGTAAGGTTTGGATTGAGGATTGCACCGCAACGGTCAACGACGGCTTGGTTGCAAAAGACATTAACGGTCGTACCGTCCTGGGGCGTACTCATGATTGTAAACAGCGTGTGCTTGCCTTTCCTCCTGACCGCATGCATTGCCCTGAGCCTTGGAAAGGCGAACGTTGGACACTCGTTGCATTTGCGAGCCGAGGAGTGGCAAAATGCTCGCGGGATGAACTTTCCGCATTGCGTGATTTGGATTTCCCCGTTGGGTTCACTCCTCCTGAGGCTTATGTGGCACAGGATGCCTTCGTTGAGTGTCGCACGGTGTCGTTTGTTGACGAAGTCGAAGCTTATCCAACGGAACAAGCCATTAAGCGGAAAGCTGTTCTTGCGTCGGGACATAAGCCCACTCGCCGTAAACAACAGGTGGAACAGCATCGCGATGATTGTGGAGATTCCTTGGACAGCATTGTTGAGTTTGTGGAAACCGTCCCATGGCATCCGCACCTTATGGGAGCCATGTTTGAAAGCCCATTGCATGAAGCGGAGTCGTATTCAGCTATTGCCGAATTTGCGTTTGGCCGTGGATTGTGGTTGCATGGATCCGGTGTTGATATGCCCATGAAGAAATTGCAACAAAGGCCTCACATGAGCGTTGGGGGACTACAGGTCTTTCATCAAAGTGCTCTTCAAGCGAATGATGGCCGAATTGTTGCAGTGGTTGAGCTGTTTGGAGGTGTTGGTGAAACTTCATACCTCGTTGCTAAGCTTCATGGTCTCAAAGCCGGTGTCAACTTTGACATTTGCTGTGGGTTTAATCTGAGCAAAGCTCGAGACAGGGAGTTAGTTAAAGAATACGTAGCCACGCGCAAACCGTTGGTGGCAGTCATGGCTCCTCCTTGTAAGGGTTTTGGGCAACTACAGCATATGAACAAAGCTATCCATCACGACACGTGGCATCGAACTCGTGCCGAAGGTTTTGCGTTGGCGCAGTTTTGTGCCGAAATAGCACGCGCACAATGTGTCGCAGGTCGTCACTTTGTGCTAGAGCAGCCTTTAGGCAGTGACATGTTTGCAATGCCCGTTTGGGAACAACTAGCTCGTGAGTTTCCACTTGTCAAGTGTCACTTTGACCAGTGTCGTGTTGGCTTGCGCATGTCGCGACATCCCTACTTACCTGTCCGTAAGCCCACTGTACTTGTAAGTTCCCATGAAGGTTTAGTTAGTAGGTTTGGGGATAAACAATGTAGGGGTGAACACGAGCATGCCGCAATCACAAGCTTAGCCAATAAAGCGCAGTATGTGCACAGCAGCGAGGCCCAGGTGTGGCCCCCGACAATGTGTCGTCTGCTAGCCGCAGGAATTGCAGACCTGGTTCACGAAGTTGTTCGTGCACGGTCCAGCGCATCTCAAGATGACGCCGTTGACGCTACACGCAGCAGTGCGTTTGTGGGCACTGTAACATGTGTGGGGTGCAAACAGCATCGCCGTCGCGATGATGCACTTCACGATCGTGGACCTGGTTGCAAATTCCCTGATGACGAAGCCGTAGACTACACTTGTCCAGCCTGTGTCAAGCGACTACCGCGTGCGGACCCCAAGCACGTGTTAGACCCTACTTGTCGTTGGTCACTTGCCCGGACTCTAGCGCCCAACCTGTCACGAGAACGGCGTGGCTCACACCCGCGTGATGGGCGAGTACCAGCCTCTAGTGAACCAACAGCAGAGGTGAGAATAGGTAGTCTGGGTGACAGTGATGCACCTAATAGAGATAACCCCTCGTCCTCATCTGGTCGCAGACCAGAGCCGCCGCCAGTAGCTGATAGTGCGGACTCTCCAGCCGTCGATAACGATCTGGCCGAAAGACGGCACAGGAGCAGCCGTGGCGTGAATGGTCCAGCTGGGCCGAGACGTCGTGACGCTGAAGCACAGGTTAGTGAAGGCGGTCTACTTGGAATCCTGGTTGTTTTATAAGTGGTTAACATAGTTATGTTAGTTAGCTAAAAAGTTAGGTGGAGTTAGCTTATGTTATAGACATCAAAATTGTAGAAGTAACTTGTGTGTTTTGGCATTGAGGTTTAGGCTAGGGACTCTGATATGAGAAGACACTTCATGGAGCATAAACACTGGTATCGGAAATGAAATATATAAAACATGTAGCTTGTCAAACAAATTTAAAGCAAAAATACATGTCAATGGCCTGCATGGACAGGCTGTCGTGCATGGCCTATGGCTAAAAATGTCATGTGCATGTGGTACAGCCTTGTGGCGGATTGAGAAGCACTGTTTTTCAAAGCCTGTGGTACAGCTGGTACGGTAGCAGCACAGTGGCCTCCCTCTCTGTGGTCTTGCTGTACACCATTGGGTACAGCAAGGAGTCCATGGACACGAAGCCTTGCTCGTTGGTGATGGAGCACTTGGCGAACTGCTTTGTCTTCTGTGTCTCTGTTGGCCTCCAACGTTGGACGAGTGTGGCTTTGTCGCCTCCAAGCTCCAAATGGAAAAGCACTTGGCCCATGTCCCATCTTCCGTCTTCCTGGTGGAACACCACGACGTCGTTGGCATGGATGGCACCACCCCTTGCGAGCCTCGCGATAGAGGCAACCATGGCTTCAGTTGCTGAGCAATCCACAAACTGGTTGAGGAATTGCAGCTGGTGCTTGTTGGGCTTCTTTGGCTTCACCAACTGGCAGGAGTCTGGAAACAGCCCGGCCTGTGTCAAAGTGGTGATCTCGGTGGCGAGCACCTGGTTGAGCAAGTGGATCTCGAAGGCGGCTGTTTTCTGGAGCCTTGTGGCGAAAGCAGATATGGTTTTGTGCTTTCGTTCGCTCGTAAATGTCGATGGCAGGCACCCATGCCGTTGGAGAATATCAGGCAAGTGGAGCAGCCAGTGCCACTTCCGCATCAGTGGCACGTCGAAGTTGGCCTGTTGGAAGGTCTCGATGGATTCTTCCGCAGCCCTGAGAAGGCTGGCTCTGGTGGTGGCTCCATACATGACCCCTTGGTGAACCTGGTCGATCAAGCAGGCCTGGCTCAAGAAAGCTTGGCAAGCCTCTGGGCAGATTCCGCTTGACACAACAACAGAATGCAAAAAATGGCGAATGATTGGATAAAGCCCTAGGAGGTCCGAAGCTTGGCAACTGAACTTCTGGCTGCTCTTGTACTTGGCGACCTTGCTTGTGTCGAACAAACCAGCCAAGTGACCGGCCTTGGAAGCACCTGGAAAGTTCCACATCCTTATGTATGGGCCCATGGCCTCCCAAATGTTGTAGTGCTCGGAGATGGCTTGGAAGCTCTGGAACAGCACGACTGGGGCCGTTCCTTGCAGAATGCCGTGCATCCAGTCATGGCAGAACTGGCTGACTGGCTTCACTTGGTTCTTCGCCAACAAAGTCTGGTTCAGGAGCAAGGCCTGGGGATTCCAGGTCCAACCGGTGGCTTGTTGCCATTGCGAGAATTCTGCTTTGGTCCTGCACGTGGCTCGCCTTTCGTCTAATCTGCGGTAGGACTGGATGACGTCTTCATCAGTGGTCAAAACCAATTGGCTGTATTTGGTCGTGCGGTGGTCCATGATGTCGTCGTTGTCGCCTGTGGGTGGTCCTGAGTGGATGTTGGCGCATAATATGCAAAATTTGGTACCAGAATCACCTTTGGAAGACCAAATCTGCTTATGGGCACCGCCGTCTGCCAGACATATGGCCCACCGGAAATGGAGCCGGACATCGGAACCTGGGCCATGTGGGGATTTCAACACAAACCCTGCCAATGGTTCCACGTGGGCATTGGCGAAAATGGTTTCCAAGATCTTGGACATGATCTGGCAGATGCCGCCCTGGACATGGCTCACGAAGTTGGACCTTTCAAGAGAGATGGTCAGCCAGAGGTCCTCGTGGTGGAGGAATTGGTCCATCTCCCTGAAGCTGGCATAAATGGCCCAAAATTTACGTTGGGCAGGTCCTAAGACGTTTCCTGGTATCACCTCATCTGCATAAAGTATAAGTTGCCATGGCTTGGAGACGGATGATGGGTTGGCTCGGTGCTTCCTTTGGATCAGATCATGGAAGCTTCCACCCATCTGGAAAAGACTGGCCAGGTAAACCAAGAGGTTGGCAAAGTACATGGTGACTTTGGCACCAGCATCGGTGGTGACCTCTGCTTCTTGGATCAAAGGACCCAGTAGCCCACCATGGCAGCTCTGTAGAAGCTCCTCCCTGGCTTTCCGCTGGTCATTGGAAGAGCTCTTCTCTGGGAGGCCTTGTTCCTTGGCGACTTCCACAAAAGCAGCCAGTGCACTTTGGGAGTGACCTGGCAAAGCAGCTTTGAAGGTCAGCAGCTGCTGCAGTTTGCTCTTCTTCTGTGGAGGTTCCATGGCCAAAAATGGCTGAGAGTGGGTTTGGGGGCAAGGGCAGTGGCAATGTGCTTTGCTTCACATGGGAATCAATGGTATGTGTGCTATATGGATGAAGGCTGCATCCCTGTCTATATAGGCTGTGGATGTCAGACTCACATGCATGGACCTCTTCGTGGGAGAAGTCTGGAACCTTCGTTGCTGAAGCGATGGCGGGCACAGTGCGTCAACAAAGACCTCGGAAGTGCATATATACACAGAAACAGCATGCTGCAGGATGGCCACGGCATGGCTTCAAAGAATCACTTTGTCCAAAGACATGCAGGCGGTCTTTTTGCTCGTGTCGGCACGGTGCACCCTGCCTGGGCTGTTGTGGCTTCTTGCTACCCTGCACCTGGGCCCCTTGGTGCTGCCCTGCAAGAAAACAAACTGCCTGGAACCATGCCTGGCACTACTTCTTGGGAGCCTTCTTCATGGCCTTGTTGGCTTTGTGGGCCTCGATGTACTCCCTCCAAGCTTGGCGGCCGTGGAGACGGGTGCCCCGAAAGTTTGGGTCCCAACAACTGGAGCATCCCTTAACATTACCACGACAGCGGATACATCCGTAGAGGATCTTTGTGCTGCCGCCTTTGGCGGCGGTGGCACCTTTGCCAGCCTCATGGCCGTTGCAGGTGGTGCCCTGGTTCGCCGAGCTTTGTCGGGTAGACATGGCTGCTGCTGGCCGCTTCATATGCTGTTTCTTGGGCTTCTGGTCGGCCTGGCCGTCCTCCTTGGCCTTCTTCTTCTTGTCGGCCTTGGCATCCAGCAGCTTCTGGAACTGCTCCTGCTCGTACTCCTGCAATGTCTTGGCGTCCTTGCAGGGTGAAATGCTGCAGAACAACCCCGAATAAGCAGTATGGAAGGAAACTAAACAAAAATATACACGTGTCCTGCTTGGCACTGTCTTCCTTGGCAGTCGTCTCCGTGGGAGCTGCTTCGACTCTGGTCGTGGCTTCAGGAGGCGGGCTTGCCGGAGGAAGTGGCAAAGCAGCGGCAGATGCTGTGCTCTGGCCAAAGACCTGGCCAGGGGCAGTTGTGCTGGCAGCACTCTGGCTGTGGGACTGGACCATGCTTCGCGGCGACAGCCAAGGAAACACTGCTGTTGCTGCGGCGGTGCACATGGGCCCTTGGCTTCCCTGCAGAGTGGCTGTGCCTTGTGTGGCTGCTTGGGCTTGGATGCCATGCCGCAGCTTCAGCATTTCCAGCTCCTGGTCGAAGTAAGGTGGAGCCCTGAGGTGTCGCTGGAGGCCGCTTGGACCTGCACCTGGTGCCGCCGGCCAATGAAGCATGGGTGCTTCGAAGAGGCACCTCGGGGACGAAGACGTAGAAATGTCTACATGCATGCAAGAAACAAATGCAACACGGAACAGATCCAAGTTATGCAACCAAGGGGCTTTCTTCAAAAATGGAGCCAGGCATGGGTCCTGCAGATCTGGCTGGTCGCCTGGACCATAGGCCTTGGAGAGCCAAAGCTGGCCCATCTCTGATGGATGGTCTGGATATCTGCTGGCGCCGGGGCAATTGCTGCTTGGCAGGGACTGGAAGATGATTCCGAAGTCCTGGACTGCCGAGTTGATGGCAGCTGCCGAAAGGCTTGGCTTGCCTTGCGAAGCTTGCACCATCAAGACAATGGCGACCGCTTGGCCCTTGGTGCATTCTTTTAAAGAATGCAGTCCCATGGCTCGGAGTCTTTTGGCTAAGAGCTCCAGCTGGTCCGTTTGGCTCGTGAGGGTGGACAAAGCGACCCAGTCTGGCCTGGTCAAGTATGGACACAGCCGCTGGACGGACTGGCCAGTGTTCACCAACTTGAGCTGGGAGCCGGTGTTCATGGACAAATTCTGGATGGTGTCCAGAATCTTTGCTTTCATGGCCTCTGGCAGTTTGGAAGCTTCGCCGGCCTTGGCAAGCATTTGGCAGATGCTCTCCGAGGACCAGGACTGGAATCCCTGGATCTTAGCCATGAAGGTGTTGGCCATGCTCTCGGTGACTGGTGAGTCTGGCAGCATCTCGGCCAGCTTCTGGAGATGAGCAATCTCCTCGACGAAGTCTTGGCACCCGTACCGCTGCATGGCCCTGAGAAGCACTGGCTGCTCACACTGGCCTGGTCGGGCTGAATGGCCTAAAAGGCTGCAATGAAGAAAGCATGGGAAACAAACACAAAGGAATGCGACTTGAAATGAAGTTCAGAGAGAGATATATATATATATAGTATAAATATGTGTTCATGGCCAGTTGGCTGCTTCGAAAAATAGGGTGCTGGCCACATGGCTCGCAAAGCATGGTATGGCCGATTGGCTTGCATGCAGATCATGGCAGAGCACTGAAAGCTTTCTTTTTGGCAGCGACCACTGTGGCAGCTGTGGTTTCACGTGGTTTGTCTGGAAGAAGCCAGGGTCGTCCTTGGTCCTGGCAGGAGCAAACTGCATGGGTCATCTTTGTGAATGGACACACTGGCCTTGTGGTCACTGGAGACTTCTGTAGCGATCTGGCATGGCCGTTGGACTGGTGGCCCCAGATCTCTCCATCTGGTCCAGTTGGTCCTGGACCCAGGCCCCGAACTTGGGCTCCCCCATGTACCTTGGGCCAAGTGGTTGGCAGGCTTTACCACTGAATGGCTTAAATGGCAACAAAAAAGATTGGGAGGTTTCCGGATCAAGCCTATGCTGCATGCTGTTATTGTTATTGTAGAATGAAAACTATGGAATCTATATCTGGTCGAGCTGCCACTGGATTTGTCTCTGGGCTCGTCCATGGTCGTCCTTGGCAATGGCTCTGGAAAGCCAAAGGCACTTCTGGCACCATGTTGGCGAACCACTGGCAGCCTCCAGTTGGGTTGCCCCGGTGGCGACTTGCTCGTTGGCCTCTTGGATGAAAACACTGGCCAGCTCTTGGGCCCTGGTCCATCTCTGGTTGTGGAGCAAGATGGCTAGCCAGCCAACCTTATGTTTCCAGCCCGTGCTCTTGGTCTTGCTGTGGCTGGTTCCTGAAATGCCTTGGCTCCACGGAACTGGCTCTGCTGGTGGTGTCTTGGGTTGTGGGATGGCCCACTTTGGTCGCAGCATGAGAGGTTTGGCTTTTGGTGCACTGGAGCTGGACCTGGCCTCTGATTGTGGCGGTGATCTTGGTGGGGTTTGGGCTCGTTGGAGCAGGTTGATCCCTCCCACTGGTGGGGTTGTTGGCGGCGGTGGTGTGGGTGGTGTCTTGGGTTGTGGGATTGGGGTTGGAGGGGTGCTGAAAGGGGTGGAAATGGTGGACTTGGCTGGGGGTGGTGTCATTGGAACCTCCTCATGCACTGTCTGTGGCCTTGGGTGGGTATTTGAGCTTGGGTTTGGGTGTGATGGTGGTGCTGCCTGCTGGCGGTGTGATGGGTGTGGTGCCGTCTGGCGGCGGTGTGCCGGGTGTGGTGTGTTGGGTGTGGTGCTGCCTGGTGGCGGTGTCAGTGCGGTGGAGTGTGTGGGAGGGGCTCTGCTGGTGTGTGGGTGGCGCTTTGGACGGCAGCTTGGGGCCCATGTCTGGGCCACTGACAGGGGCTTTGGGCTGGATGGTTTGGATGTATTGGGCGGTTGGTTGAAGCTGCTGTGGGGCAAAGGACACTGGGAGGCCACTGCTGGCGGGACACTGGACTGGTGGTTTGGGTGCTGTGGGTGCGGTGGCAGCATGGCAAGCGGGGATTGGCCATGTTGCGGGCGAAGTGGCGGGGGGGTGGAAGGGGATCCTTGGTAGGAGTGGATTGGTGGTGGGGAGAAGAGGCATGCACATGGGAGCTGGTGTTGGCCAGGTGCATGGTGCTATGGGTGCTGTGGATGCCATGGGCAGTGTGGCGGTGGCCTGAAAGGATGGCTGTGCCAGTGGCCTGGCCGAGCATAGCCAGTGCATGGGTTGGGGATTGGGCATGGGTTGGGGATTGGGACGTGGAAGGGCCATGGCATTGGGGGGACGGGTTGGGCCATGGGGGGTTTGAGTTTGGGCGGAGGTTGGGCTGTGGTCTGCTCGTCGAAAGGTGTGACGGGTGATGGCGGGGCTCCTGGCGGTGTGGGGCTGGCTTCGGTGGGAGCCTCCGGGGATGGGCATCGCAGGGGGATCTGGACCGTTGGTTGCCCTGGTGGGCCTTCTTCTGGCAAGGTTGGGTCGGCCAGCTCCTCTGTGGGCACCTCGGTGGGGTGCTCGCTGGGGCTCGTTGGCACCTCCGTCGGCGACGTGGCCATGGCTGGCACTCTGGAGGACGACTGAGTTTATGTGGAAATATTTGATGATGTTTATATGGTGGCTGTTATGTATGTAAAATGGCTAGATTCAGAATTTGAATCTAAATGCGGATATCTGGTAGTAAGATTCAGATTCTGAATCTTGGAAAATCTTAGATTCAAAATTTGAATCTAACTGCCAGAATCTGTGAATTAGATTCAGATTCTGATTCTACTGTATTTCTTACTTTGGCAGTATGGTGACATACAAAACTTCTGTCTGTGGCTTCCTACAGTGGTTCGAGCACTCTGGGCTGCTCCGAAGAGCAAAGATTCTGGCAACAACTGTGGTCACGTACCTACCTGGGCTGACAAAAGGGACGGTGTGTATGGCCAATTGGCTCCCTACAATGGTGGTGCAAACAGTCTGGCATGGCCACATGGCTCCCTACAATGGCTTGGCTTGCTGCTACGAAGCTTGGGTGTTCTTGCAGAAAGTTGGCTGTTTCAGGAGTTGGATTTGGTGGCTTTTGCTTCAGGGCCTGGCATAGGAATGGCGCTTGGAGCTCTCGGGTTTCGCAGGTTTCGGCTTTGGGGTTCATGGGTACATCGTTCTGGGTTTATATGGGGTCTGGGGTTTGGGGTCTACTGAAGTGAACCGGCACTATGGATCTCCACTTCTATTTCAGACCCTAAACCATGAAGCTTATAGACCCCTATCGGAATGGATGCTGGTCTCAAGCTTGGTGCCCCTGTTGCTGCTGCTGTGGCCGTGGCCAGCTGTCCTTCTTGGTCTTCCAGTGTGCAGCTGCTGCTTGCTCTGGTTGTGACTGCTCATGCTGCTGTTCTTCTTCTGCCTGTTTCTGTTGGTGCTGAGTATATGATACATGGCTTACAAAGATATCTTCATTACAATCAGAATGTAATATACAAACAAGTTACTCCAGACAAATCATTTCTATATATGTCTCTATATCTGTACAAAACATGTATGTGTCCTTCCATGGATGTTCACCCAAATGGTCTTCTGAACATATAGAAAAAAGCATACATCTGTGCAGATATAAATATATAACCGACAAAAAAATAACACATGTGATGGCCTTTGTGGCTTGGCATGTGACAACCTGCTGCTGGTATGGCCATGGAAGGCTTCTGGAGTTCAAGCACCCTTTTTTTGGCACGGCTTGGAGATGCTGCTGCTGGCCTGCATGGTGCAGGCTGGGTCCTTCAAAAAAACCAATGGCCTCCATACCTTTGCAGCCATGGCCGACCTGGGCCGTCTGGAGAGAGGCCCTGGTGGCATGGAAGAAAGTGGCCCATGGTGCCTGGTTGCTGGTGGTGGGTGGCCCCTCACCACCTGTAGACGAGGCCTGCTCCTCCCGCCAAGCTGGTGATCCATGGGGAATCACACTGGGTGCAGTTGGCATTGTGATAGAGCTTCCACAGAAAGATAGTGGAGCGGTGGCATACCACACACCGCAGCATTACGTGCGGCCCGATGGGCTCCTCTGGTGGAACCATGGCACTGCTTGGGAGGGCCGTCACTGTCCCCTGTGGTGGAGGCTGGACGGGCTTGGAAGAGACGGCCGTGGAGTCCGTGGAGTCGTGCTTTGCTGCCGGCTTCTTGGCCCTGGGCTTGCTCCTGGTCGTGGCCTCCTTGGCAGCCGCTGGCTTTTTGACTCCTTTGACCATGGCGGCACTGGAGTGGAGGCTTTGGCTAGCTGTGGGCAGCTCGCTATATGGCCAAAAGAGGCTGCAGCGGAACGAAAAAGAGAGACGAACATGTGTGCCATGGCATGCCTGGCCACTTGGCTTTCAAACAACAAACTCAATGGCCTGGCATGGCCACAACGGCTCAGGCAATCGAAACTGGAGGCGTTTTTTTTGGCCGCTGGTGCACAGCTGCTGTGCTTGGGTTTCCGGCAGCCTTCGTGGTCTTCTTGGTCTTCTTGGTCTTGATGGCACCCTCAGCAATGCTGCCGTGGAGATACCTGGTGGCTTGGCAGCTGCTGTTGCTGCGAATGGTCTGTGTTTTGGCAAAAGCTGTGCTCCTGCAGCATGGACCTGCCTTGCATGGCTCTGCACACAGTCTGGTATGGCCATTTGGCTCCCTAGAATGGAAGTGCAAACAGTCTGGCATGGCCACTTGGCTCCCTGCAAAGGCTTGGCTTCACCCTACGAAGCTTGGGGGTTCTAGAAGTTGGCGGTTGGAGGACTTGGATGGTGTTGGCTTTGCTTCAGGGCCTGGCTTAGAAATGGCGCTTCGAGCTCTCGGGTTTGGGAGGTTATGCTTTGGGATGTAAGGGTATATTCTTGTGGGTTTAGGGTCCAGGGTTTAGAGTCTCTTAAGGTCAAACTGCACTATGCATTTCCACTTCTATTTCCGACCCTAAACCCAAAATGCTGAGACGTGACGGCATGGCATGGTCCTATGTACACTTGGCTTTCGCACAACACAGCAACTTGCCTGGCATGGCCACAGTGGCTACATGTCCCTCGTATATAGAAACAGGACAAAGCTCTGGATTTTCTGCTCTGGGCCTGCAACTCTGGCTGCTGTGCAGCGAGTTCATGTGGCCTGCATTGACCTCACATATGCGGTCCGTCTTGAAGAGCCTGGGCCTGTGATGGCCATGTTTGGCTTTAGCAATCACGACAAATCCCTGGCATGGCCATGCAGGCTGGGATGTGCATGCACTCGTCGAACTTGGCATGAAGTATAACAAAGCAAGCATGACATGGCCCCTGAAGGCTCACTTGCTCCAGGAGAGTCCTGCTACATGTACTTTTCCTCGCAAACAAGCAGAGTGCATGGAAGTCTGCATCAACTGGTGCGGTACCTTCTATGGAAATCCTTGGGCAGAGCACATTGGCCCCCCCAT